TGGGTGAACAAATTCACGTGTTGCATGTTGTATAGCTTGCTACATTTGTATGTCTGGTTGTATATATTGAAAAAGTTTTCGTATTTCAGATCAATTGTGAGTCAGAGGTTGATTTTTGCTCTAGTTAATATTAATAAAAGAAAAGCTTTATTTGTCTCTCTGTCATTCCGCTCTAAGCCATGCCCACTTCCAAAAAAAATTCAAAATGGCGGAATCCAAAATGGCGATTTGTTTATTGCAATCTCAGTATAAACCCAAATGATTTAAATAATGTTACCTTAGGAAATTGGCAAGCGGTAACCAGCGATAGAGCCAGTTTTAGGTGGCATCTGAAGGAGGCAATTGATATGAAACAGGGGCGTAGCTTGGAATTAGAAGAGGGGGGTACAAAAAAATTTATATGGAAAATTTAGAGGGAAGGGGGGGGGGGGGTTCATAAATGATTTTTTCATAAAACTCCTAGCAAAATGAAGAAATTTCTGTTGACGTCGGGGGATTTGCCCCTAAATCCCCGTCTGGTTACGCGCCTGATATATAAGGTCATCGAAGTAATTAAGTAAGTTTAAATGCTGCCCGTAATTTACTACGGGATATCACACTAGTTATGATATAAAAATAATACAGTACCTTGACATTTACATACTAAAGCTGCATCCTCGTCAATATCTACATAAAAGCTTGTTATTTTTTTAATTAATTACATATATCATATCTCTAGCATCTAAAAACCTTAGGAAGTGTGCGTGATGTAATTAAAAGTTTTATTGAAACAAGACAAATTTGATATTTGAGAGTCAATACTTTAGGTAGTTTGAATGTGCCGGTTTTTGCTGATATCAAATTGAATGAGGATTACTAGGTATGAAATTAAACCACCACCAAACTAAAACAAGAAATTTTAAAATTTATTAAAAAGTTTAAAAAATAAAATTCTAGTCGATCAAATCCTCAAAAGCCAAACTTACCGAGTACAAAATCATCCAATCAAAGTTAAACAGCCCACAAGTGAATTCCGACTTTGAAGTTTTTATTTGTAAAATAAAAATTCTTATTTTTTTCTTAATTTTTTCTTGGATCTTTTCATGTAAAATTCGCACTAAAATTGTATGAGTTTCATTCATGCATCCAATAACGCTCATAGACATGGCAATTGTTATAGAAATATATATAAAGTAATGAATATTAAATAAAGAAATTGCAACATTGTATCCAACATGTCGGAGACTCTCATTTGGTAGTAAAGCCAAATCATAAGTTTCATACAATGAAAATGTGCAGCCAAAAAGATTGTAACCCATGAAAAATGCAATTGGTATTGAAAAAATCTTATTCATTGATTTTATGATGTCATTGAGTTGGATGTGAATTGTTGAGAAAATTTTGAGGATAATGATTGGCGACTTTGAGGTTAAAATATTTTGAAAATCTTTTTTATTCCATTTTGTGATTATTTTGTTGTCATTTGTTAATTTGAATTTTATCAACAAAATTTCATTAATGATTTTAAATCTCATTTTTGTATAATATGCAATGGCATTAAATAACATTATGTAAGAACAAACAGCAAAGATTTGAATTAGAATCGGTAAAGCATATTTATATCCTTCGTCTGCATGATAATTTTTTGTAATAGAAATTCGGAAAATAAAGATGACAATAAATGTTGTCAGAAATTCAACAAGTAAGACAGTAAATGCCAATGTTGATATTTTTTGATGAAATTTGTAATCGAATTCCTTTTGAAAATTTTGCGAAATCTAAAGCAAGATAGAAAACTAGTAGAGAGGTGGTCACTCGTGACCGACCGAAGCGCATTTTCCCTGAACAGAATTCGATTAGAAAATAAAATCCAAAAACTCAAAACATTTGAAAAGTAACGAAAACATTAATTAACCTTCCTGGTTATGGATATGGTTATGGATCGAGTGGTCAGAGATCTTCTCGTTTGAGGTTGTGGGTTCGATTCTCGACTTGTTTTACATTAGTATACACATATGATAACTAAAGAGAGATCTACACTGTGCACCAATAGTTCTGATTTTTTGTCCAGCTCTTGCCAGACTTTGCACACAAATTGTAAACCAAAAACCGCATCAAAAAAGTTTAAACTGGAGGAGAAAACAGATGAACAGACTGACGGATGGACAAAATGCGGACAATAGTGTCATTTCTTAAAAAGAAAATGCGCTAAAAAGCTCAAAACATTTATAAATTAAGAATAGTGAAAAATTAAGAAAATTTTAAGTTTTTAAATAAAAAATAATGAATTTCCAAAAATAATCGTAAAATTACTTTTAAGTCAATAATCCAAAAAGTCTTGAATAAATTTGAAAAAGATTTACAATTGATGAAATTATTACAAATTATTGCACTTGTTATTATTGTAATAAATAATGTGCTGACAATTCCAGCAATTTGTGATAAATCAGAGCCTTGTTCTTTGATAGTTTCAGTTTCATTGGTAAAAAGTTTAAAGAATACAAAACTACAGATTACAGCTACAATTGATTGAACAATACCAGAAAACGACACTTTTACTATACACTTATTATCTAAACTAAATGGAAAATATCCAAAAAGTTTGCCAACTTTAAAAAATGAATTGAAAACTTGTTTAATTTTACTCATATTTTATAATTTCGCTCTGAATGTTCAGCTAGATTGCGATACGATGTGAAAATCCTTAAATAATAAATGTTATTAATCAGTTTTGAGTCACATTAACATTATTAATTTTATTGTTTTCTTAACACTAAGTGACATGACAAAGAAATGTTTATTTATGACATTTGTAATTCTCAAACTGCAGACAGAAAAAGCAGTAGTAGCGTAGTGACTAGAGTGTTGGCCAATCAACCCTAACGACATTGGTTCGATCCCAGGGAATTTCAATTCGAATTTTGGTGCTTTTTCGCTTTACTAGTAATGGTAACTCGGTTTGTGTGATTCGTGACGCGCATTTTGTTGCAAGGTACTTTGCATTGATATACAATGGGTCATGCAATTGTGCACAGCTATTGTGCTAACTGTAGACTGCGTCACAGCTTTATTTAAGAACCCGATTCGAGCTGAAGTTGGTTGATGTCGTTCCGAAAACTAGCTTTTTAAAACTTATTGTGATCATGTTCATTATCGTGAATTTCTTACTCAACTAAGCAACTTATTACTTTGTAGCACTGGAAAGTGCAACAGCCACATCCATTTACTAATTCCTGTTCCTTTTAATAACATCAAATTGAATGAGAATGACCAAATAAGAAACTAAACCACCAGCAAACTGAAATGAAATGCTTATTAAGTTTTAAAACTTAGCACCTCTGCTTCACTTACAGAACACAGCAATGTCCAATTTAAATTAAATAATCCACACGAAAATTCTGTTCTTGTGTTTTTAATTTGTAAAATAAACATTCTTACTTTCTTCCTTAATTTTCCCTCTAAATTTTCATGAAAATTGTTGATCAATATATCTTGCGTCAAGTCTCTAGTCCTTAGAACAACCATAGATACGGCAACAATTGTAAATGTATAGAAAAAATAATGAATATTGAGAAAATAGATTGCCAAATTGTATCCTAAATGACGAACATTATCCTCAGATGATGAAATTAAGTCATAAGTCTCGTATAATGAAAATGTTAATCCGTAAAGATTTAAAGCTATAAAAAATGCAACTGGAAGAAGGAAAATTTTGTTAATTAGATTAATGACGTCATTGAGCTGAATGTGCAAAATTGCAAGAACTTTGAGGATATAAATTGGTGAATATGAAGCTAAAATGTCCTGGTTCCATATTTTGACTAGTTTAGTGTCACTAGTAAAAAATTTCATCATTAAAATTTCATTCACGACTGTAAATCGTAACTTTACATAATATGCAACAGTAATAAAGAATGACATGTAGGAATGCACACCGATAATTTCCATTAAAGTTGGAAAGAAAAATTTCATATTTTTCCGAAGATCTTGATTGGCATTTCCCATTGCGATAACTCTAAGTAAGGTAACTGATGAGAATGTCATGAAATATCCTAAAAATAACAAAAACAGCATCAACCTTGACATTTTTAAATGATGATGGTAATTGAAGGATTTTCGAAAATTCTATAAAATCTGAAAATGAATTTAAATTTTTTCATTAGTCAATTTGTTTGGAGTCCAAGGGTGTTGATGCGCAATATATGTAGTGATCTGCACTTAGCCTCTCATACCCATGTGCCTAACTTCAACCTTCTCGTGATGCACTCTGATAACCGGCCAGTCGGGCTAATGAAGAGGGCTTCAGGCATATCTGGATGTCGATGCTGGCAGACCTTGAGGTCTGTCAAGACTTGAGTTTCTTTACAGTGCACAATTAAGCTTACATGTATTTAAATCATAGCGTAGTCAAGGCCAAATGCAATATCGCAGTGCCTCTAGCTCCTCACAACGTGTAGTAACACATTGCTTGGCTGAAACCCTTTTATATTATTATTATTATTATTATTATGTCATTACTTTAATGTCGACATTCCACAACATTGTAATCAATTTCTCAAAATATTTATAGTGAAATAAATTTGACAAAATGATGAGCACAGCGATTGTTGTAATAATAAAGGCACTGCAAATTGACGAAATTATTGACAATTCTGATCCTTGTCCTTGCAAAATGACTGCACCAACAACAAATAATGAACACATTGTTGAGAAGAAAAGTGTCATTAAAATTGAATAAAGGACACGTGAAATCGAAGTTTCTGCTCTTCCATCTTGAGTAAATTCGAATGGATAAAATCCGTAAATTTTGCCGAATGTTAAAAATGGACGAATAACTTTTATAATATTTTTCATGTTTATTTCCTACAACTACAAACTTGAACAGACTTTATTGAATATTTTATTTATGGTTTTTACTGTAGTTTCTAATTAATTAATTGCTTTTAAAAGCTCAACTAATTTTTTTTTATCAGGCATTAATCAGTGTCCTTTCCTTTTAACAACATCAAATAATAATATTATCATAAATTTCCTAGAAATTTCCGTAAATAGTAAAAAATAAAAATGAATAATGACAGAATTAAATAAATATCAATAAAATATCTCGTAATAAATCCAATTCTTCTTCCTTCATATTGCTGATAGGAGTAGACATCTTTGTGCTTTAATAAAACCTTTATATTTTCTCTTGCAATCTCATGACTAGTCATCATTTGGTCATAAACATATTCTTTATATTTGCGGACATTTTTCTTATAAATGTACTTCATAATTTCATCGGCTGCATTTATGACAGATTTCTCACTTATTTCATTAATATCCAAACTTATTCCAACACCTTTTTTAGTCAAAAATTTCACATTAAATTGTTGATCACAAACCATTGGAATAAAAATCATTGGAATTTCACGATCAATTGCTTCTTCAATTGTCCTTGCACCGCCATGTGTGATAAGTGCTTTGACATTTAAATGTCCTAATATATCAGAAACTGGAAGCCAATTTGATGTTAAAACGTTTTTTGGAATTTCAAATTTTTTGACTTTTTCTGGATCAACTTTCCAAATTATGTCAAATTGAAGTTTTTTGAAAGCATTAAGAAATATTTGTTGGTGGATTTCAGTCAAGCTAAGTTCAGAGCCTATGGACAGTAGAATTACTCCATTAATGGAGGTATTGATAAAATTTTCTAACTCTATGTCCAATGATTTTGGTGGTTCTATATGATAGAAGCCAATTTGATGATAACTAGGAATAATTGGTCTAATACTTTCTGTCATTAAATTCAGAAATGTAAATCTCATTTGAAGTCTTTTGTAAGATATTTTGTAGCCTCGTGGATATCTCAGTTCTGATGGTAAACTATCCTGGAGTATGTCATTCACAAAAAATTCTAGGACAAAACTGTAAAAATATTTTAATATGTACAACAAAAATGACAAAATTCGATCAAAAAAACTCAAATTTCCATGAATTCTTGGCAGCATAAAAATACTTGTATGAATCGATGGATGTACGAGATTCCCAATCATTTCATGCTGGAAAATTACCATTTCACAGGCACTGAATTTGACAACTGGACAATCATAAATTTCAGCTAGTATTTCACAAATGTATAAATCTGTTTCTAGCATAATTAAATCAAATTTGTGATTTTCAGGTTCAAGAAATAATTTTTTAAATTCCAACATTTTCATATCGGTCTTCAAGACTTGGTAGACATAAGCAAGATTATTAAGGAAGAACCATCCACCATTAATAATAATGAATTTTAAAATTTCATCAATTGTAGAATCATTTGAGTCAAGATAATGTTCTTTAAAATGATACTGAGTTATATTCTCATATCCACTAAAGTCCATAATTCTTGGTGTAAATATTGTCAAATTATGTCCATGTTGGAGAAGATCTAGGAATAATGAATGTTGTACTTTAGTGTGACTGTAATATCCATAAGATTGAATTATTAGGATGTTTTCACAATGTGCTAGGATTAAGTTAGATATAAAAAATATTAAAAATGCTGTTGGGATGTTCATGATGAACACTGCTCTAATGGTCAGGAAGTATTGTGTTTTTTTAAAAATCAAATTTAAAAATCAACTAAGTTTAATTTGAAAATTGACAATTTAAAATCTCATAAACTGAAAAAAAGTAACGGTCATAAAAATTTCAAACCGCCTCAAGTGTGCCACAACAAAAAAATATTTTCCTGTTCGTGTAATGTTTACGTGGTTGAGCCGACAAAATAAAATTTGTTAAAATTATTTTTAAATATTTTGAGTCATTTAAAAAAGTCTTTCTACACAATTAAGTCGAGATGTCGATGAAGGTGCTTGTGACTGGTGGATCTGGTCTTGTTGGAAGTGCAATTAAGCAAGTTGTTGCTGATGAAGCTCCAGAAAATGAGGAATGGATATTTTGTAGCTCTAAAGATGCAGATTTGTGGTAATTTTTTTTTCTGATATTTTTGTAAAGTTTTAAAATTTATGACATTTGCAGTAACTATGAATCTACAAAGCAGCTTTTTGAGCAGCACAAACCAACACACGTCATCCACTTAGCAGCTATGGTTGGTGGATTGTTTCACAATATGAGCGATAATTTAGGATTCTTAAGGCTCAATATGATGATGAATGATAATGTTCTTAAATTATCCCACGAATTTGGTGCTAAAAAAGTTGTGTCGTGCCTGTCTACTTGTATATTCCCAGATAAAACAACATATCCAATTGATGAGACTATGGTAAGTTGATAAATTTGCATACAGCAATAAATGACACAGTTAGAGATGTAAACGATGATATGATTAAATAACAGTAAACTCGTAAAAAGTTGCTGATTAAGGCTCAATACAACTTGAACTTTACTATTGGAAATTGTGACAAAACATCTATTTTAAATTTTAAAAATTTTGCAATAAGTAAAAAGAATTTTAAAATCAATATAAATATAAGTTTTAAAATAAATGAAGCCATATCGTGACTTGGAGGACTTTAACTGATCATGAAAGAGCAGTTAAAAACTTTATTGGCTAAACAGTAAAGTTGTTGTGAATATTCCCACACATATGACCCAAATTTTACATAAGGATAAACTAGTTGGTCACAGTTTGCATGCTTATAAGTCTGTACCCTCTTATGAGATTAAAATTGGAATTAAAACTTAAGATGACTTAAAAAATGTTCAACTTTTCAGAAATAAAATTGTTAATCGCAAAAAGTATAGTCAATATGATTATAAAAGGTATGTATCTTAAAAAAATAAACCAAAGCTCTCTATACTGTCTGATTAGGGAGATCTCAGATATCAGCCTAGCAAACGAGCAGACAAAGCTACAAAGTTACTCGACTTACGTCGACTTGGAGTCAACTCAAGTTGACTCGAAAACAATAAAATCGACTTGAGAAATATTACCGAGTTGCCTCAAAGTCGATTCAAGTCTAGTTGACTCAAGTTGACTCAATTTCACTCGAAAACAATAAAGTCGAATTGAGAAAGTTAAATCGACTCGAGTTGAGGCGAGTTGACTCAAAACCCTTGCGGCTTCTAAATCTGCTTATTAATCTACCTTTTATAAAAAAAAAAAAACAATTTTCAAAAATCCTTTAAAATTTTATTTGCTCATAATTACAGGTACATAATGGCCCACCTCATGATTCAAATTTTGGCTACAGCTATGCAAAGAGAATGATTGACATTCTTAACAAGTAAGATTTCACATACTTCCTTAACATTCTGAAATTAATACTTTTTTTTCAACTTTATTATAGAGCATATCATGAGAAGCATGGATCATCATTCACAAGTGTCATACCTTGCAATGTATTTGGACCACATGATAATTTCAAAGAAGGAGTCAGTCACGTTATTCCAGGAATGATTCATCGTTTACATAAATTAATTTACATTGATAATCCAGAAGTTCCACAAGAGCAGAAGGAGTTTGTTGTTTATGGAACTGGGAAGCCATTAAGACAATTCATTTACTCATTGGACCTTGGAAAGCTATTCATTTGGGTATTAAGAAGTTACAACTCCGTTGAACCAATTATTTTGTCAGTTGATGAAGCCGCAGAAGTTTCAATTGCACAATTAGCTGAGTCAATTGCAGCAGCTTTTGATTTTAAGGGTAAAATTGTCTTTGACACAACGAAGGCTGATGGTCAGTATAAAAAGACAGCGTCGAATCAGAAATTGAGAAGTTTACTCCCTGAATACAAGTTTACTGATTTTGATAAAGCAATTAAGGATTCTGTTAAGTGGTTTATTGATAATTATGAATCAGCTAGAAAATGAAGACTTTGAAAAATTAATTTTTAGATAACAATTAAAAAATTTAAATTCAATACAAATGTAAGATTATCTATCAAAGTTCAAGAAATAAAGATTATTTTAAATAAAATTTTAAAGTTATTAAATTAATTATTGAAGCTTGAGATAAAGCCAGGGAGATAATTTAATAAACATTTGTCCAAACCTAAAAAACAATTCAAATCTTCAACTTCATCCCAAATAGTTTTATCAGCATTCAGACCTTAAGATTCATAGCTGCACGTTATATGCGTTACAAGGCTAATGATAATTTAACGAGAGAGGGTTCGCCAGACCTCCGACCCAAACCTAGAACTACTATTTATAGAGGGATCCGAACAACTTCTTTGATGACATTTATGCCTGTAGCCTACAAAGGAAGGCTGTGAGCCTCATTTCCAGTACATGCTTCTATGTAAACTACAGACAAAAATGTCATCACAGGAGTGCTTTGATTTCAACTATAAACTGTAGGTCTAGTTTTGAGCAAGAGGTCTGACAAATCCTCTCGTTAAGAAACTATCGTTAGCCTTGTTAAGCACATAACGCGTAGCTATGGGATCTAAAGTTCTGAACAGCTAAAGTTTATTTTTTTAATGCAAACCTAACGAATTTAAAATTATTTTTTTAAAAAATTACCATTCTCCATATTCGAGCTACAACTTTAATGTCTATAATTTCCAAAACTTTTTTTTACAAACAAACATTCCAGTCTCCACAATCACAACTTCTTTTCTCACTCACACATTCGAAAAACTATCTGACTTTTTTCTCTCACGAGCAAAAAAAAAATCAACAAAACCAAACCGCATAAAACTTTTTCCTTCCATTCCACGTTTCCAACATCGACCTTTCACAGTTATTTTCCATTTCAATTTTAAAAGTTTGTATTTTTTGAGTGTCTCAGTTGACTATGAGCAGTGCAACAATTCAGCCAAAAAAGAAAGCAACAATGTCAGTCTTGGATCAGTTGAAAGAAGTTACAACAATTGTCGCCGATACGGGTGATTTTGAAGGTAAGTTGAGTGCATTTAGAATCATAAAAGTGATAGGAGTTCTGGAAGGTTAAGTTTATGAAGGTCAAGCAACAAGGGGAATAATAGAAATGTTATTGTTTTGAATTTACAAATGTATTACTTTAGATTTTATTAAATAATCACCAAGAAATAGATTTTTAAAAATAAAGAAGACAATCGAAATCAGCTAATATAAAAAATACAAAACAAGCAATAAATGCAATAAGTATTTATTTAGTAAGAAACGTCAGAAGACAGACGGAATTGATAAGTAAGCAACTTTAAGGGTTATTATGAAATGTTTTTAAAAAATTTATTTAAATAATTCTTAAAATTCATTAAATATTTTTTACTTTGTGCCTTACTTTTTTTTTTTGAGAATGAAAAAATAACTACTTTTTACATTAGCAGCTTATAAACTTTGTACTTGGATCATGAACTTTTTAACCTTGAAGTCTTACGATCTGTTTCATTGCTTCTCATAAATAATGCTTAAATGTTCTGATGATTTTCAGAAATAATGTCATAAAATGAATTTGAAGACTGCAAAGTATGAATTTTTAAATAAATTTCTGTCAAAATTTTCATACTTTTTTGTGAAAATGCTGAAACATTTTTTGATATTTCATGTAAATATTTTTTGCCGAATCTTATTTTCTTTTCAACACATCTACATGAAAACTATGCTTTTATAGCAGACATTTATGCCAATATATTGCAATCTGTATAATATGCAGAAGTAAACTTTGATTGTATTTAAAAACGTTGTAACGTCTCATTGAAACCGCATGGTGATAAAGAAGAAAACTTAAAAAAACAAATGAGTTTAATGATCTAATTCGAGGGTTTGATCGTCCGAAACCCTTTACTTTAGTGCTTTGAAATGTATTGTCAGTTAAAATGCAATATAAACCAGGTCAAACTTAGTCGGTCTTTAGTTTCACTAAAGTGGATTTTCCTCGATTTCGGATTATCCACTTCAGTTTTTTGGAAATATCTCCAGACGCTTAAGGTTATTAAGAGATCTAATGTCTGATCTAGTTAGAGTACTTTGCTACATTAATTAACATATACTTAGAATTTTTATATCTTCATTAGTTTGAGAATTATAGCAAAAATCGAAGTTAATCTACTAGATTTGGCTGGAAAATTGAATAATTAATACTTCTTAAGGAAAAGCAAAAGTTTAAAGTATACAGAAATTTCAGGCATAGTTCACTCTATTATAATCCAAAATTAGAAATACCACACCTCCCATAAAGTTTAAGATGTTTACAAAAAAACTGAAATAGATAATCCAAAATCGAGGATAATCCACTTTAGTGAAACTGACCGACTAATTTTATGTATTTCAATAAAAAGTAACCAAATAAGCTCATTCAGAAAGTCTTGGTTGAAAAATAATGTGAGATGGTTCCAGCCAAGCGATGTGTTACACTTCGAGGCACTTTGATCCTGATCGATTATAGAATCTATTGTCCCATGGGCTTGCTCTGCTTCCTTAGCATTTAATCACAGTTAACAATCTCAACTTCAGGAACTATGAATAATTGAAAAAGTTCAAGCATTTAACTCAAAATCAACCCCGTCACTTTTGTCCTTTATTGGCATCTCCTTGAATTAGAATCACATGATGTCAGTCAATTTAACTTTCATAAATTTAGATAAACTAAATCTTAAAAAAATAACAAAATTTTTAAACATTTATTTATTTTAGCAATCAAGGAATTTAAGCCAACTGATGCAACAACAAATCCATCATTAATTCTTGCTGCAGCCAAGATTGACAAATACTCAAAGATCATCGATCAAGCTGTTGAATATGGAATAAAAAATGCTGAGTAAGTCTTCCTTATCAAAATATTAAGGCAATGTGGGAATTTCTTCTTTTTATTTAAATATTGTAACGTGATTCTCTTTGAATGTAAAGTCGTGTGACGTAGTGCAAACACAAATACTAAGGCAATCATATGCTTATGTAGCAGTTTTTGAGAGCTAATGAGAAATTCTTATTGGAATTCAGAGAAAAATACATGTCCATGGCATTGACCTACTATGCCGGTTCCAATAAAACTGATTTTGTTTTCACAGTTTTTTTACATTCAAAATTAAACTTTTTTATTTTATTTTAGCACTATCGAAGCACAAGTAACCGAGGCTGCTGACCAACTCTTTGTTCTCTTCGGTCGTGAAATTCTCAACGTCATCCCAGGCCGTGTCTCAACTGAAGTTGATGCTCGTCTTTCGTTCGACCGCGATGCAAGCATCAAGAAAGCTATGAAATTCATCAAAGCTTATGAGGCTTTTGGAATCGATAAAGACAGAATTCTAATTAAGCTTGCATCAACATGGGAGGGAATTGAGGCTGCCAGGATTTTGGAAAGTGAACATGGAATTCATTGTAATCTCACATTGTTGTTTAGTTTTGCACAAGCTGTTGCATGTGCTGAGGCTAAAGTTACGTTGATCTCACCATTTGTTGGACGTATTTTGGATTGGTATAAGAAAAATGTAAGTATGAGTTTTAATCAGGACATTGAGAGTGCTAGTTGCTTTGTATTACTAGGGATATATCCTAGAATAGACCATCCCTTTGGGCAGCTCTAGTTTAGTTCAACAGGTCAAGCTGTAAACTAAAAACAACCCTAGTTATGACTTAACACATACTCAGACAACCACTCATCAAGTTTTGAACAACAAAATGCTATAAACTATGTTTTTTGTTTTTTTAGAATGCCGGTGTAACTTATCAAGGAGAAACAGATCCAGGCGTTATTTCAGTTACAAATATTTACAACTACTACAAAAAATTCGGCTACGCAACAACTGTCATGGGTGCATCATTCCGCAATGCTGGAGAGATTAAAGAACTTTCTGGCTGTGACTTGCTGACAATCAGTCCTGCATTACTAAAGGAACTTGACAGTTCAAGTGAGAAAGTTGCTGTCAAGTTGACACCAGAAAATGCTAAGCAATCAAAAGTTGCGAAAATTTCAATGAACGAACAGACTTTCCGCTGGATGTTGAATGAAGACCAAATGTCAACTGAGAAATTAAGCGAAGGAATAAGGAACTTTGCAGCTGATTCGAGAAAGTTGGAGACAATGTTACGCGAGAGAATTGAGGCAAAGAATTAGGAAAAATATTGAGTTGTTGGACATCAGAGAAATTTCTAAAATTTATCATTCCTATTGGGATATCCTTTAGTATTTGGACCTAAATTCATTCCTATATTGATTTGTCAAAATTTATAAAATTGTTGATATTGGTGGAAGAAAAAAATATGTAACAAAATCTAAGTGTTAAAAGTCTGAACATATTTACGTAATGCTTTCATAGCTTTTCAAACATAAAACTGCTTTTTAAAAAAAAAAATAAATTGCAGAATTTATAAAAAAAAATATTAAATATTTCAATTATTTGTTACCATTTTTGATCTATTTTTAAACACAGCATAAACTAATGAGTTAATAGTCGATCAACAAGCAAGCAACCAACCAAAAAGTAAGCCTTCTGTTTACTTTGTTGCAACCAGATAAACTTCTTATCAATTATATAACAGAAATCTGAAAAAATATTGAAAATCCCAGGATTAACCTTTGCATTAACTTTATTTTTACTTTATCAACGTAAACAGATGTGTCGTGTGATTACATGTGCAGCTTTTACTGCAAAATCCCGATAAGATTACAAACACACTTTTGGTTTTTTAAATCTTAAAGTCCATGATTTTCAAGAATTCGGTATTTTTCTTTGAGAAATCAAAGCTTGGATATTTCTTTTGAAGATCATCGTATGAAATTTGGAATCCATCAGTATGGCTGACTTTAACAGCTCCTTTTTGTCCTCCAATGACTGTAAATGCTGTTGATGTAAGTTGGAGCCCTAAAGCCTTTAGTTGGTTGGTACGTGATCTGATGAGTTCAGTTCCGATTCCACGATTACGGTATTCCTTCTTTGTGCACATTGCACATTCACTAAGGTATGATTCGACGTTGTATTTTGCATAGACGTCATATTCATTGAAAACAAATCTCAAAAGATCCAAGATGTCCTTAGTGTCTTGTTCATTTGGCTACAGAAACCAGGACAGCATATTAGTTTGATTCTTTATGTATCGATTTCTATCCACTTACCTTCAATTCACCTGGTCGTGGATCTCCCTTGTTAAAAACTGTCATAACTGCCAAACCAGCAAGATCATTGCTGCCATCATTTGCAAAGCATCCAACAGAGAATCCCCCTTTCATCAATTTATGCCAGAAGTAACGAATCTCATTCATAGCTGCCTCATTGCTAGTGATGTTCTTAGCAGCACAGATTGTTTCATCAGGAACAAAATCACTTGTCAATAATTCCAAAGCAGCTTCAAATAAGCTTTCTGGCAAATCTTTAATTTCATATTCGATTTCAGCATCACCAGCCTTGTTCTTTGCTTTAAATGTATGGTAAACTTGAGGGAAGCTAAGGCTTTCTGGACGAACAAATTTTGACATGATGAGTTTTTGACGATTTGCACTTCTTGAACAGTAACACAAGACTGACCTGATAAGTTTTATATTTCTGATTTTATTTGATTTCTTGATGAAAAATTTCTTATCAATTTGGTAACGCAAGTCTCGGTGCACTTTGTATCTCGGTATATAAGTAAAATTAAGGTGGTAACGATAAAAATGAAATCTACTGATATTGCATGTTGTGGCAAATGTAGCAAAATTACTTAAAGGCTTAATAGAAAGACTTTTTAAACTGTTTACTTTCATAGCTGGGTGGAAGTTTGCTAGAGTGATATTCCATTTAGGACAGTGTTGCCCACTTCTTGACAGGGGTAAGAAGTGATTAGGCTGAAGACAGGCTGACTCAGAAAACAGTCTTCTATTCAGTTCATTTTTTTCAAATATAAAATAGTTTTATTTTGCTGTTTTAATTCGTCCAGAAAACGAACAAAATTGGGAGACACGTGATATGCCCTCTAATTTTCTTTCAGGTCCTCTATTTTTTCAAAAAATATCTGTTCACTCTAGGCTTAAACGAAGTCACGTACAGCATTCGGCTCGTGACATTTTTAAAAACTTTCTACGGCACACAGTGATAACACTGATTAAGGATGACTTCCGAACAAGAAAGGGCATTGGGGCAGCTGTGAATGGCAAGGATATGACTTGGAATAGCTAAAGTTGCCGTCTAATCTAGACCTTGGACCACAATTGAGTTACTAATCAAGTGCAATATTTTGGCAAACTGAAAAAAAAACAAGGTAAAGCATGGAGACTATTATTATTATTATTATTTTAATTAAATTTTCTTTTTTAAAGGAAATTAGAGGGTCCAGACTTTGGGCTGGAGGATATCTAGCAAAGGAGACACGTTATGTACCGAAGACCTCCCAACACACGAAACCGAGCTTCAAAACCGGAACAGTGATGGAATGAAAAAGAGCTCTTCAAACTTGATTTGGCTTGGGATTGAGAGAAGAACCTTTGGCACGTTAGGCTAACGCTCTACCACTTAGATTTCAAATAAGACATCTTTAACACGTCTTATCACAATATCAGGAGTGCAGCAGAAATATTACTACTATGCTAACCACATTAATGCTCTTACTGATACCCAAACATATTAAATGAACTAATATTTTGCAAACTTTCTTAACTCTTATTCTATTAAACCCATATTCCGATAACCCTAGAGTTGACTCAGCAATAATCTAAAACCAATATTATTATTTTTCTTCTTCCTCATCATCTCAATAACTTTATTTTACGTAAATTAACAGCTGCAAAAAATAAAACACATGTTTTGGATGAGAGATTATAAAAATTGTGTGAGAGAATTTTTAAAGTAAAAAAAAAATAACAATAGAAAAAATAGACGTGAGAATTTTAGAGTAAAATTGAGCAATTTAAATAGACATTTTCATCCTAAAACCATCTTTCTCATGACAATTGAAAATCAGTCACTCAGTCTGCTCTCGTCTCTCAAATTATTCGGTTGTGTTGTGTCATTCGTGTGCTGTTGTACCAGCAATATATAAAAAAAATTCTCTATGAATTTCATTCAACAAAAATCGATAAATTTTCATCTTGTTTTGTTTACTTTTACATTCTTACTGTGCCACTTTCAAAAATGTTGTGATGCTTTTGTTACAGGTGAGATGAAGATTGTGATGAATAATAATAAATAAAATGTTTTGTTGGCAAAGTTGATAAATGTATTGTGCGGGAGTTAAAAATATTTTTTGTCTCCTGAAAAGCTGCAATTTATTTTAAAATTGAGAATGAGGGAAAGCTTTTAAGCTGAGGTGTATGGAAAAAGTTATTGTTAGGGATTCTTGTTGGTTTTTGAGTTTTCGTTTCTGTTTATTTCTCCCAAATCAGGGGAGTAGCTAGGAAGCTAGGTCAAACCCCACCCCTCTTTTGAAATATTTCTTCAATTTGCTAGGGTTTTTTGAGAAAAAATCCAAAAACCTCCCAACATTTTCCCGTTCATACAAAAAATGTACACAGGATTGTGGATATGGCTCGAAGAGCATATCTGCCTGAGCATAGGGCTTGCTTTGAAATGGTTATATTTGTATGACGGATAGCACAAGTGAGATAAGTACCTCGGTGGTCAAGTGGCAGGAATCTCTGATCGAGTGGCCAGAGATAGCCCTGGAGATAGCTTCTTTTGAGGTAGTGGGTTCGCCTCCCATCGAATCCGACTTGTTTTACATTAGTATACACATATGGCAGTTATAGGGAGATCTACAGGGATATTATAAAAAGGCAATTGCCATGTCAAAGATATTATTGCGTTGCAATAATTTTAAACCTAGGTTGCAAGGAGCGTAGTAGTTTTCAGCTACTTCAGCAAAAATATAATTAAATTGAACAATTAAAGCGAATAAATAGCAAATGTGATTTACTTCCTTGAACAAAAAACAATTGAATAAAGTCAATATATGCATTTCAAAAGTAATGATATCATTCTTAAGATTATTACTAGACTTAATAATAACAAAGCTCTTGAAGTATTTTTTTCCAAACAATGTAAAATGGAATGATTGTTTACATATTAATGAAACTTCTAGAAGAAAGAAGCAAACTTCTAGATGACAAAATCCTAACCCACAAAGAGCATGATAAATTGAGCTTGATCAGACTTTTTGAGCGTGCTCACCTAAAGCCACCTACGGTACCTATTTGAGCATGATAATTAAGACTCTTTCGTGAGCATGATCAAGATCGCGATCAGAAGAGCTTGATCGATGTAACATGTTGCATGTGACATGCTCACAAGATCGCGATCTTGATCATGCTCACGAAAGAGTCTTAATTATCATGCTCAAATAGGTACCGTAGGCTTCTCTAGGTGAGCATGATAATTAAGCTCAGAAAATTGTACTGAAGAGCGTGCTCATGAGAGCTTGATTTTGAGCGTGCTCTAAAGAGCACGATATATTATTTAAAATATTAAAAAATATTGACATGTTCTCTTGAGCATGTTCTTTTGAGTTAATTGTTAGAGGTGCTCTTATGAGCATGATTTTGAGTATGCTCTCAAGAGTTTGATTTTTTTTACTTTTTTGAGATTTGCCGAGATTCGAACCTGGAGCGCTGAGTCGTAATATGCCGTTCACTTATCCTCTGATCTATTGCTGTCTGAAATGATATATTTTTAAAATGGCAAAAACGCGTACTGTTTTTAGGGCCATATTTTTTTCATTTTTGGATTTCTTGCCCTAATATTTTCAAGGGCAAGATATGTTTAGGTCCATATTTTTATGTTTTTTGGACATCTTGCCCAATTTTTTTAGGGCAAGATCAAGATATCAAGCTCAGAGTAGGATCTTGAACGTGCTCGGTAAGATTCTTTTAAGAGCATGAAAATAATTTTGTCACACGAAAAGTGGAGATTCTCAGATCATGCTCAAGAGCAAGCTCAAAAAGTGTCTCACGTGAGAACCTTAAATTTTCAAGCTCAGAGCACGATCTTCAGCATGCTCACTAAGGTTCTCTTGGGAGCACATTAAATAATCATTCTCTCATCAAGCTCATTTTTTGTGAGGTTCTCTTATGTTGTTAGGGAAACCACAGAAAAAGGTATAACTCCGAATAACGAATCACGAGCGGGACTCGAACCTACATACTACGATTCCCGGACGCATGCTCCCACCACTGAGCTATCGGGGGTTAGACTTTATGGCTAAATCCTAAAAAAAAGTTACACTCTTTTTACTGTTCCCTTGCACCACATGATTTATCGTTGACTGGCTATTACATGGAATCGCATATTCGAACAAACATTATTAATGGCAACCAGTCAAAGTACCTGTCGTTTAACTGCTTAACTGAATAAGACTGTCTGAATAAGATTTGATCTTAAACAATATCTATAAAGTCAGTAAGTTTTATTGCTTAAATATTAGTGAAAAAGTTTAAATCATTCAAAAATTGTTTAAGTTCCACTAAAGAATTAAAGTATGACTCAAATTGTGTTCTCGCACATTGGTAGACAATAGACTTGCTTTAACAAGAATAAATAAAAAGACAAACGATATAAACAAAATTGTTTCTTCAGTCTGATTCAGACAATTTAAGAATGAAATCTGATTCTTTGGGAAATTCGGTAAACTTTCTAAATAGAAAGTAAAAGTTTTAAAATTGACTATCTTGTGAAAATGTTTCTTGCAACTTGAGCATTAATGGACTATTAGAATAAAAACTTTTCTTTGTAGATTTAAATGCGTTGACAAGTTAAACGACTCTAGAAATCAAACAAGTTTATCATATTTTAAATATAATGAATAATTGTTTGTACTGGTATACTTTATTAGATTAACGATTCAACTATCCAACTTTAAATACATTTTTACGTGTTAAGTCACATTTATATTAAATTAGAATTAATTTAACTTTGTGGTTTTCATAGTCGTATTCAAAAGAAGCAACAAGATTAACATTAGCGATATATTGCTTCAAAGCAAGTCGGTTTTTCAATAATGCTAAACATTTCAATGGGTTTTTTAAGTTTGCACTTCATTCATATTCTGATTTGTGCGTGAATTGTTGTTTTTTTTTTCAAGTATTATTATTTTATTTTTTATGCTTGTAAATATTGTTGACAACTTGTTATAAAGTCACATAATGAACAGTTAAAACTTTTATTTTTGCTGTTATGAAACAATGTATGACAACCAAGCAGTTCAACAATTAAAAAAATTCAAAGCTGCAAATCAAATTTTTCATCATGATATTGTTATTTAAATGTTTTTTTTTCAACAGCTGATTGTGACTCGAACCCTTAAATTTTACATGCAATGCTTAATGCAATTGTGCAAGAGCACTTATGAACTTACAAACCTAAAATTTGGAATCTTTGTTGACTTTGTATACTTCTGATATTAAAACCTACATCTAAATGCACTTGAAAACCTCTTTTTGCAACTGTTTTTAATTCCAATACATCCACAAAATATAATCCACATCTTTTTTTATCTCCACAGATAATTTCTATCGACGTCCAACGATTTATCTGACTATTAATCCAATAAATTACAAAATAGATGTCAATTGGTTCCACATTCCACTCACACCAACATTAACCAACAGTTCTTCTGATTTCAACGACCCTTTAGCTTCAGTTCTTGAGACCTCGACTGTCATTTACCTCACAAATGATTCCAGCAATCCACTTGATGCAAACTTTACAAATGTATTTTATGAACTGTCACTAAATGTCTCTGATGGTCGACAACAGACTTATCTGACACATAATTTTGAGGACACATCACTTGATGTCACTACAAAATGTTATAACTTGTGGTTTCACTTGATTCAGAATGATCAGAGAATTCTTAATGGCTGCATGAAAGCAAATTCCAATTGGATGAATGAAATGAAAGATATTTTAAAGGAACGAAAGATCAGAGACTTGTTCATCCCTGGAACTCATGATTCTGCATCATATAAGCAGAGTTTTGATCCAACAACTATGGATAATTTGATAACGAGATATTCCTTAACTCAGGATGACAATATCATGTCACAATTGATCAATGGAGTTCGATACCTTGACTTACGTGTTGGATATTACAGATCTAACAATGAAAAGTTCTGGGCTAATCATGGAATCACAAGAATGCATCCACTAAGTGACATTTTTAAGCAAATTAAAGATTTTGTTGATGCCACAAATGAAATTGTTATTTTAGATTTTCAAGAATTTCCAGTCGGTTTTAGGAATAAATTTGAAGTTCATCAACAATTTGCTATGTATTTATTCCAACAATTCAGTGAATATGCAGTTGATCCAAAACTTGGTTGGGATACAACAATTGGAGATATTTGGAAAAGTGGTAACAGAATCATTATCGGCTATGATCATCATGCAATTGTTCAAGAACATTCCAACACTCACTTATTCCAAAGTGTTCGACAGCGATGGGGAAATGTCAAGGACGGTTATGCAAAACTTGAAAAGTTCTTGAAAGAACAAAGGGAAAATATCAGTCGTGAGGCATTCTTGAATTCACGTCCGTTTGCTGAGATGGCAGAACTGACACCACAAGCGATGGATGTTATCACAAATCGACTTGGTGGATTGAGAAAAATGGCAGACTCGACAAATTGGCATGTTACGAGACTTTACCATGGTGAATTTGGAAGGAAAGCAAATATTGTAGCTGTTGACTTTTATTTATCAACAAATATTGTCGATATTGCTATTGAATGGAATCGAAGGAAGCTCGGATTTAGTACAAAATATGAAAGTGATAGTCATGAATAGTTTTAGGCAGTGATGTGAGATTGGTACAGATGATATGATTGGATGTTTGATGTTTTGCTCTCTAGAGTACGAATTATCAAGTGACACGAATTTCTTTTTTTTTTTGGCATATTTATCAAAATATTATTAAAATTATTTGTAGACATGTTTGTAGATTAAAAAATTTTTGTGCGAAAAGTAAATTAAGTGTTTAAAATTAATGAAAGTTTGTTTTTTCTTAGTCGTTAATTTAGACCAGTAGTTCTCAAACTTTTTTGGTCCATGAAAATTGTTTTAACATAAAAATGTTTGCGGCACACTTAATCCTTTTTAAAGTTATAAAACAATTGAATATAGAGTCCATTTTAACTTTTTAATTTTTTCGCGGCATACTTGGAACTCTTTCATGGCACGCTAATGTAATCGTCAACCAAAAAACTTTATGAAAGTTATTTACTGTGACAAGAGACTATTGAAGTGTGCCGCTAATATTTTTATGTAGGAAGATGTGCCTTGTACCAAAAAAGATTAAGACACACTGATATAGACAATTAAAAAAGGCAAAGTTACAATTTAGAGAAGTTATTGGAGTAAAGGTTAATTAAGGTCATTCGAGATTTAAATTTGTGTTCGTAAAAATAACCAAATTTGAAAAATTTAATAATCTTCGAGCTAATAAATGTAAACTCTACACTTCCACAGCAAAAAATGAAATTTCATATCCTATGGATGTGATTCTATGACTCAAATTATTTTAAGTACAATAAAAAATTCACAAAAAAAATTAAATTCATTTAAGTCACCTGTATTCATTCTCAATATTCAATATTTTTACAATTTTATTTTAAAATTAATAATCATTTATCATAATCATTAAATCCATGGCAGCAGTTTCAATTCCTCAGTTCTTCATATTATTTTTTCATGATTCAATCACATTTGGATGAAATCCCATGTCATCAGATGTATATTCAACACGTTGTTTTATTCCGTCAGGTCGAATGTATTCATAAAATCCAGTCACTTTCAGTTTCCTTTTGTTTTGCTCTGCATCATATTCGTAAATTCCCGTTTCTTCGCGCTCTTGTAAGTCTGATTGTTTATAGCTATAATTGGATTATAAGTAGAATTTTGAATTGTGAATAAAGCGCATTTTTAAGTTACAAATTCAAAATTCTTCAAAAGCTTAAAAAGCTGAAAATTTGATGAATTCCGACCAAAGGAAAAACAGAAAGAAATGCAAAAAAAATCATATTTTATGACCTACTAGCGTCAATTCCACTTACGCGAAATAATAATTATCGTTTGGTGCTTTTTTGTATACATAATTCAGTGTCTGAGCTTCATGGCCAGGAGTATTATTGCCATAGACCGATTCATCATTATTCCTTTGCAACTTAAGTGAACTCACATCGCGCTTCTTCAACGTCTGTTTTGTCGTGACTTCTTCTTCCTTTAGCGGCGTTCCAGCGACAATATCAATTACGAATATTATTGTTACAATTACCTTTATTGCATGCCAATTTTTTTGTTTTTCAGTTGAATGTGCGTTGAGAATTGAAAGCAAAAAAAAAAATAATATCGATTAAATAAATGTGAACCTGCTACGTTCATTGAATTTAATTAATGAACTTTTTAATTACTTTGAATTAAGTTTTTGACACTTAATGATTACTTTAATAATTGAAAATCAATTTGGACAGTAGTAATTGGTATCATTAGTGTTGTAAGTTGTTAATTCAGAAGTTATTATATTTTGATGAAGTTATGATTGGATAAATATAATGTTGGTAACACTAAGTTCATGATTTAATTTAAAATTCACTATTGTGCCTGGTTTTAAATACTTTTTGCAACCTATGTGCCACGGCACATTAGTGTGCCTCCAAAAACTTCGATATACTCCACAAACCGTTTGCCGTATTCGGTTTTGTTATTGGATTACCATCAAGGTGTGCCGCTGGATAGAAAAGGTTGACCACCACTGATTAACTTAATCAAATGGAACCAAAAAAAAATACTCTGTGCATAGATTTTAATTGCTTTTTATACCAGATTTGAAATTCTCTTTATAAAAAATTACAGCCTGAATTCCTCAATATCTCAAGAAGAATCTTCAATAAGTTATAAATCACTACAACACATAGCTTACACCACTTTCATGTATTTTCTTATAACAGCATTACAAGCTTATTGATAATACTTCCTTTTTCAAGATTAATAATCATAAATTTAAACTCATATGAAGCAAAAAAGCTGCAGGCGGTGCTCATAAGAAAAGTAGTGAAAGATGTTAATATAATTACATGCTAAAAGAAGTTTGACATGAGATTTTTTATGATGTGAATGAATTTTATTGGAAAAAATTGGTAAATGTAAAGGGAAATTTATTATAGAGAAGAAATGCTAATGTTTTGAGAGCATTTTGTAGTTGGTATCTTTTTATCATGCCTTATTTTATTTATGAATATTGATTGATTCATTAAATTTTGCAATTAAAGGCTTCTTGATGTAAGCAAAGCTCATTTGAATACTGACAGTTGGCACAACATTTGTGACATGAACAAGCCAAGAAATCAGACCACTTTGGACCATTTTTAGAGAAAATAGAGTATCTTGGTTTAACATCTCATAGACTTAATATATAACCCGAAAAACACAAATCGGTTAATTGAATAGGCATGAAGCCGGTGTGATTCTGGCATGATGCTGGATTCAAATCTAATCCAATATCATGCCAGAGCTTCGATAGCTTGGTGTCGGATTTTCATTGGACCAACCGACTTGTTCTATTCGGGTAAATAGACTAATTACGTAGTCGATAAATAATTGGGGTTTATAACTCCCCTATCAGCAGGGACGGATCCCAATTTAAGCTCCTGCCTCCCCATTTAGTAAATATCCTAAAACACACGATTTCTATTCACTTTTTTGAATTTTTCGACCAACTCTCCTCAGAAACAACTAGCAAAGACATTCATCAATCTTCAATCTCCATAAATAGTCAGTTAAGTTAATAAATAAGTCACTTACCGTTAATTTTTTGTACATTTTTATTTAGAACTAAACTGTTTAGTGCTCTTGACTATTTTTTTTATTACTAGAAAGAATTTCTTGTTTACTTTTTCTTGGTTTTCAGCCTTATTCCTCTCTCGATATCAAATAGCCGATGATACAGTTTTATCGTGTATGTAAGAATAAATGCGACTGATGAACCAAAGAACATATCCACGCTTTTTATAATCAAAAACTTTAGAGAAGTTTTCTTACTCACTTCAGCTTTTTTTTTTGCGGTACATCAGAATCCATCTCACTTTTTTTATGAATCATGTTTGAAGTTGTGTGCTCCTACATAAGTGTAGCTGTAGTTGTGCATGTGATTTTCGCACATCTTCATTCATTACCTTAAACATCATCAATCTGAAGGTTATTTATGTTTAAGGTCATTGCAATTCAATTCTGATGTTAATGCTCTGCTTATTTGTTACTCATCTCTCTCTCCAATGCATGCTCCGCCGTTCTTTCCTTCTTTTGTTTTGCTTTTGTTTATAAAATTTACGCATATTTTTGTTTGAGTCGATGATATTGATACTGTTTGGGGGATAAAAGTTACGAGCATGCTATACATATGATTCCTAAGGTATTCTAACCAGAGTACTTACTTACTTACTTCTTTGGCTAAGCGCACGGGAGTCTGTTGCCCAGCTCAGAGTTCGTCTAAAACTAGCTCTATCCTTAGACAACTTTTGCCAGATTCTAATTTCCAGTACATTTGCATCGTTGCTTAGTTCTACCAAGGGTGCAATATTTAATACTTAAAACCAGACTTTTTGCACTTGTAATTTCTTTTCATCAAATCAGGAAGATTGTCTTTGATTTTTACGGGCGTAGACCTTTTTTAAGACGGGAAAACTAAATTAATAGGATCGTATGAAACCAGCTTAATTGAAGTCAAATGCCAATGTAATGGTCCAAGTTCTTCTAATTTTGCAACCTCATTGATTAAATCATAAAAAGTTCAAATTAAAGCAATGATGTCTAACCCATGTGCCGCGACCACCTGTGTGGCGTTAAAAAATTCAGAATATTCCAAGAACCGTTTGTCGTGTTCGTTTTTGGTCATGGTTTACCAAAAAAGTGTGCTATGGTACAAAAAAAGTTTGACACCACTGAATTAAAGTGTTACAATTACCTTTGATTTTTATCGAAAAGGAAAAACTCTTCTAAAATGCAAGCTATTGACCCAGGTTATTCAAATTTAGAAAAATATTTCTTACCCTTTTGCTCATCCTTATTCATAACGGACAGTTGTCAGTATTCCTCTTACATAATTATCAATAAAATCAATTAACAGCTACAATTTCTCACATTTTTTTAATCTGTAAAATTGCTTCCTTGTTAAACTTGAAAGTTGCTTCATAGGTACAATTAAGTTATCATAAAATTGCATCACATCCTCGTTAAAAATGAATAAACTTATCAAGCTCGAATGTTAGCTTTTCAATGATAATAAAAAAAATTTATTTGCTTAGCGTGGTTCTTAATAGTTTTTATTTAATTCTTTAATTTCTCTAGTTTCTGAGTTTTCCTGCATTAGCTTTGATTTTTATCATCACTTAAAAGTAAAATATTGCTGCGTACTTTGGTACAAAATCAACAGCAGTCGTGGCCGAGTGGTTAAGGCGTCTGACTCGAAATCAGATTCCCATTGGGAGCGTAGGTTCGAATCCTACCGACTGCGTCAAATCTTTTTGGTTCTTTTTTAATATAAGATGTATATGTATGTAAGATTGTGCCGGATTCTATTACAAAAACTGTAGTTCTAAAGGTATAGTAGATTTACAATCACAATGCCTTCAGCTCAAATTGTTGAGCTATTCAAGCATTATATACATCATTTTGACCAAAGCTAGTTTTTGGACGAAATCCTTTGCCATGAAATGAAAAATTATGGATCATTTAAGTATACAATTGACAAACTTACTCCTGAATAGAGAGTCCCAAATATTGTAAAATTTCAGCTGATTCAAACAATAAGAAATAAATTCAATTGAATAACTTTAGGTTCACATATAGTAATATTAAAAGTATGAACGATAATAATTGGAATAATTGTAAATGATCGCTTATTCACAATTTTACAACAACATTCATCAAGTCAAAAGAGAGAAATTATCCTTGACAGCACGCTGCTCTGTATTTTATTTTAATTTTCTTCTTTTAATTTTTTAAGAAGCCATCCTGCGATATTTTTATTCAAAATATATGAATATATTGGTAATTTAAATGGGAGTAATTAAGATATTAATTATTTTTGAATTAATTTTAGAGTAGCAACTTATCATTTGCATGATTAACTGACAATGTCCTGTAGAAGATAGCTTCTGGCATTTTCAACACTCATCTGTCATATAATTTGCTGTTTTTGCCATATTGTGATTAAATGAACAAAGGAAGTAAATAAATGTTTGATTGACATGCCTCACGTCTTTAGGTTCTAATTGTGTAAGGTTAAAATCCATTTTAGATCAGTTCATACATAAAGTTGCGTGTATTATTGCAAATATCAGCGTCAATATTTTACGCATTACTTTACTTTATTTCGATGACCTTACAGTTCAATTGTGACCCATGGCCTTCCCCAGATGTCGTCTAAAACTGGCTCTATCGCTGGCTACCGCTTGTCAATTTCCTAAGCCAAATGCAATACTGTCTGTCAACAGCTTCTTTTTAATAGTTCTAAGGACGTCTGCGTGATTTTTTACCATCCACAAAGTCTGACTTAAAGACCTAACTTAATAGAGCTTCTACAGGTCTCCTCATAACATGTCCAGCCCATCGAAGCCTGTTTACTCTAATATGTTTAATGATATCAACTGATACAACTCCGCATTGCTCCTGCACTATTAATATTCATTAATAATTATAATAATTGCAATTAATTGTGAAAAATTGCACATGAGAGTTTAACCACTTTTATCAACAAGAACACTGTATCCTTTACAGTAAACTCTTTGAACTGTCTTTACATCTAGCTTAAAGTCTTTACTTTAATTTACAAGATTTTGATTGAAATTTTATTCACAGTCATTTAAAATTTATGAATATTTCATGATAAAAAAAAATCAGCATCAAGTTCTGCTGACAGGTTTAATTAGCGAAGCAAAGCAGAATGATTAAGACATAAATTTGCGTCCTTAAAGTGATTTGTGGGTGGTTGCAACATATCATTTACATGATTACCCGACAATTTCAGTCCCTTAAACCCTAAAGGGTCTTGTTTATGATCTTAAGTCTTTTTAACACTCAACCTTCATTTTCACATCTTGCCTTTGTTTCCATTTCTTTCATTCAACAGCACATGATATTATTATTGGCTTTGACACATAACAGGCATTAAAGGCTTAAGAGGAATAACTGCCAGACTAATCATAACAATTTACAATCAAAGAAACGTAAGCAGTCGCAAGTCGTTTCCATTTGTAAAATGACACATTGATGTAAATGAAATTAAATTAAGATAAAATGTAGATATGGACATTAACATCTTAATTCGAGTTATCGTTCTGTTATTGCTGGATTTATTCAAAGTTAAAATAATGATTTTTTATGCTATATTAGAGATGACGGACCAGAGTTGCGAAACAGGTCGCCTGTCACAGGCACTGGTGAAAAATCTGTCATCAGATATTGTCTTTTAACAGTTAGCGCCTGTGACTGGCACAGATCTGTCACAGATCTGTTATATCTCAGGTAAATTTGACAGATCTGTCACAGGCCTGTTAACAGATCTGTTAACTGCAAGTTAACTAGCAGGTACGTGACAGGTGATTGCCTGTGACGGATTGCAACTCTGGACTTACTTACTTCTTACTTCTTTGGCTGGGGCGCACGTGGGCTCATTGCTGCGCTCAGAGATCGTCTAAAGACTGCTCTAGCCTTTGAGACCTTCTGCCAGTTTGGGATATTAAGGACTCTAGCGTCCTGATCATCACATTCAAACCAGGCGTTCTTTAGTTTTCCTCTAGATCCTTTGCCATCTATAAAAATTTTGGACTACACTAACTTTGTATGCGATTTAGTGTGGCTGGGAAAAGTATAGTGATGGTCCAAGTGGACTTTAGGAATGACCTTAATCAAAATCTGTAGTTTTTTAAATCTAGAAGTTTTATAGCTGCAAACAATTGAGCTTAGTAGGCAGAAACTAATTCCAAATTATGAATCTCCTGAGCCATCAAATTTCCTTAACTCTGAATAATAATGTCCATAAAACTGTTCTGCAATGAGCGATGAAGTATAAAATACAAAACTAATATAAGTTTATAAATAAAACCAATAATAATGACAACAATAATAATGATCATGCCAATAAGAATAATAGCAGCAATGAGAAAATAGTATAATCAGCTAAAGTCTCAATACAAATACTGCTTACACAGTCTGTACACAAATTTAATAGTTCTTCCTTTTCAACTTATCTAGTATCTACTCATTGTGCATATATTCTCATGTATTTGTTGATACCGTAAAGATAGAGTACATAATAATATTGTAATCATGAGAAGTAACTGATCAAAGAGCAACAACGTTGATGCCAAGAAAGAAAAGAGAAGGAACGACTCAAGAGATGAGAACCTGTTAAGAATGAAGATGAGAACACGACTAATTAACTGAAAGGGAAGAAAGGGCGGGATAGTAACTTGTTATATAAAGCGATGTTACCGTCAAGGTTTTAGTTTTAGTTCTGTGATAGTTGTGGATACCAGAGCATCGAATTAAATTGTGCAATTTTCTTCGCGATCGTGATAAAAATAATTTTAATAAAAATTAAAAAATGGTAATTTAAATAAAATAATTTACATTTTCTGACTAGTGTAATTTAAATTTAAAATATTAAATTTTAATGAAATTGCAGAAACTGTCATTATTTTCAATCATCCTACTCGTTGCATTGGCATCAGCCGATGTGAGTCACTTGAAATATGGAAGAAACAATCCATATCAAAATAATAAGTATAGAGGCAGTATGAGGTTTAATGGAAAAAAGGTACCACAAACACCAGCAAGATCTGATGAGCCACCACCTCCTCCTCCCTCATCTGGATATGAATATATTCCTCCAAATAATGCATACCTTCCACCAGATGTAAGTTTTGCTTGCTAGACAGGCAACCAATCAACTATATTAATTATTATATCAAAACTTTTATATTTCATATTAAGTCATGTGAAAATGGAGGCACTGGTGAATTCTGTTGTCTCAATGGTGCAAATAATCCTGATTGTTGTTCAAATGAAAACGGATCAGGTCCTTACTGTTGTGAAAATGGATCAGTTTCTGAGTTTTGTTGCGAGAATAATGCTTCGAATGAATTCTGCTGCGAGAACAATGCAAATAATGAGTTTTGCTGTGAAAATGGTGCCAACAACGAATTCTGTTGTGAGAATGGTGCCAATAATCCTGGATGTTGTCCAGATGATGAAGGAGCTTCAAATAATGCATATTTACCACCAGTGAGTAAAATTTGATTAAATAATTTACATTTTTCAAATTGATTTTATTATTTTGTAAGGTGTGTTGCAAGAATGGAGGTAAGCCACCTTATTGCTGCTTAAACGGTGCTGAAAATGAACATTGCTGTGAGAATGGAGCTGATAATTCAGAATGTGAACTTACTACAACAACAACAACAACAACTCAGTCTACTACAACAACTACACAATCTACAACAACAACTGAAAATGTGAGATAATAAAATGAATAATAATTTTACACTTTATTTACCAACATTGTTAATCTCAGGGCTGCGTCAATGGTGGAAGTGGTCCTTACTGTTGTATAAACGGAGCTGACAATCCCGATTGCTGCTTGTGTGGAGGAAGTGGACCATATTGTTGTAAAAATGGAGCAAACGAACCGAATTGCTGCGATAATGGAGGAAGTGGCACTTGGTGCTGTTTGAATGGTGTCGATAATCCATTTTGCTGTGAGAATGGAGCTAAAAATGAGCATTGCTGTGAAAATGGCGCAGATAATCCAGAATGTGAAATTCGAACTCCTACAACAACTATGAGAACAACGACCACAACAACTGAGCCAGAGACAACAACGACACAAGAGACAACAACAACAACAACAACGACAGAGAGACCAGGCGGATATCGATATAGACGACCAATCAATCCTTTTTATTATAACAGACGTGGAGTTTAGATGATAATAGGTATTGCTCAAATGACATGGATAAATAAATTAAATGATGATGGATATGAATAAATTATGTATATATGCTCAGATACTTCAATTATTTTCATTGTGGTCATTCCATGAAATTTGGTTGTTTTTTTAAAAATACAGATTTTACGAATAATTTCATGAATAATCCTATTTCTTATGTGACATCACCAACTTTATGCAGGAGTTCTTATTTTACAAAATTTAATTTTTTGTCTGAAACTTTGAACTTTTCAAAATGGCGATTAGTTTCTTTATTGTAATCTTCTATATTATAAAAGGCCAAATTCACTGACTCACTGCCTCTTAAACGGAAGACATGTGAAGCCATTTGTGAAGCCATTTGTTAAGACGTGTGAAGCCAATGATTTTGAGTGTGTTGATAAGGTGGGGGTCTTTGTGTAAGGTGTGGGTCCGAGTTTGAGGGGTTTGTGAAGCCTTATGAAATTTTGTGAAGCCATTTATAAAGTTTTTGTAGGATTAGGGGGGGTTCGAGTTTGAGGGGGTCTGTGAAGCCATGTAGCGGAGGGGTCTTAAGTTGGGAGGTTGGAGGTAAGGTGGGTGTCAAGTAAGAGTGGAGCAAAGTGGGTGTTAGGAATATTTTTGAAGCCGTGCGAAGAAAATGATTTGAGGGATGCTGACAAGGTGGGTGTCAGGTGGATCCGAATTTGAGGGTTTTTTTAATGGTGCACGTAATTTATTACGGGATATAAACTAAGGTTATCAGGGATTAAAGGAAAGTTAAAGAAAGTGGACTATTTAAAACTGGATTTATAATTATTCTATGTTGTCCTGAATGGATGTTAAGTTCTTGATAAAGAGTCAAAGATCTGAACTAGCTTCAACTGACAACATCATAAAATCTTAAAACAGCAACAAAAACCACCTGATTTTACAACAATATTTTGTTAGTAAAACATATGAAACAGCACGTGTTGCTTCTTAATTTTCCGGTGGAAATAAGAAGAAAAAAATGTTTTTCTAGACAATTTTTGTGCATGCGCATTTTTAATGTTTACATGAAAAGCATGTGATATTCTGAGTGGGGATGATTGTGATAATGGACCAAAAATACGTAAAAGAGGGGAAAATTTTCAGATGAAAGAAAATTTTCATCTTGTCGACTTAGCCATTGTGGAAATTTTTTAATTTTATTAAATTTCATAGTTTTTTTAAAGTAAATTGTAAAAGTTTTTACATTATAAAGTTAATAAGGTTAAGCGAAACTAAAAGTTCTTGGAATATAGATAAAAATTGTGAAGTTAATGTGTAAATTAAAGGAATGAAAATTCACGCCCATTCAATGTCGGATAAAAGTTAAAAATAATTACTTTTTATAGGCGAATATCTTACAGATTTAATTCGAGCGTCCTTTAAACGAACTAGTCATGAAGAAATATTTTCTAATATTCTTAAGTTTATTCGTGAGTACGGTTGCATTTCGAGGCAATTCTAATAGAGCAAGTTCACTCGGAAGTAGCAGTCAATCATCAAATCAATTAAATATTGGTCTAATTGCTCCGCATACAAATTTTGGTAAGTTCTACTTCCTAAAATCCTTAAAACAATCAACTTATTTGGTAATTTTTCAGTTGCAAATTTAATTATGTAACAAATATTCAAGAATGTGTGAAAACCTCACACCACTATCTTTTTCCATACTTTTTTTGATATCAATTGTCATTTCCCCTCACTTTTCCTTTCATTTCCCCTTAATAAAATTTCTATTGTCTTAGTTTCAAGTCAAAACAATCTTTTTGTGTATCATCATAGCATAGATTCATAAATTGAATCATTTGTTGCTTGACTAAGACGCCATGCTATGAGCATGATTTCAATCTTTGTTATTTCGGTAACCTTCTATACAATTGAATCGCAGTGCCTTCGGCTGAAAACGCACAACTTGAAGGTGAAGGTTGCTAAAGGGCCCAGCCGGGCCATTCACACATTATTACCCTTCGTTACAACGAATGTCATTAAGATAACTTAGAATAGGGTCAAGAATAAATAGGGTTACCATCTAATTTTCATGAAAATACAGGACTTTTGATAAATTTTTTCGAAAAATACAGGACATAGAGTAAAATTCGAAAATTAACGGAAATTTTCGTGAAAAAAATACAGGACCTGGAACAAAGTTTTCAAATTTATACAGGACAGGGTTTTGAAATACAGGACTGTCCGTTGTAAAACTACGCAGATGGTCACCCTAAGAATAAACCATCGGTGTAAATTACAACATTCAGACCTTAAAATCTATAGTTGCGCTACAAGGCTAATGATAGTTTTTTAACGAGAGAGGTTTTGCGAGACCTCTCGCTCAAACTTAGACCTAAAGTTTATAGGGGGATCCAAATCACTTCTCTGATGACATTTCTGCCTGTAGCCTCCAAAAGAAGGCTGTGAGCTTCATTTCCAGCAAATATGATTCGAAATAAGGACAAGTGAAACATTTCCAATGCCCAGTCTCGAACCCATGATCAATGTGTCAGTATTGCAACAATAAGGTTCCGAAGTACTAAACAATTCCACCACCGAGCCACTTAAGCTCACATTATTGTTCACATTAGACATTAATAATAGTAATAATGTGAGAGGGTTCCAGCCAAGCGATGTGTTACTACACGTTGCGACGAGCCGGAGGCACTGCGATCCTGATCAATGATAGAATATATTTTACCGTTCCCTGTGAATGAGTTTAGATAGTATTAGCTTTTTAAGAAATTCAATAAAAATACTTCATAAAAAAAACTTTTTAAAAAACCACGTTTTTTCCCGTGGACTAAAAAGTAGAAAATAACTTTTTTAATTGGGTTCAAAGGATATTGGTTTGAAATTTTCAGATTGATATTAAAGTTTTATACTAAAGTCATGACCATACATGAATTGCAAATTTGTTCACTTCGACCATATTGTATAGTTCTACATCTTAAAACGTGGGCGCATTCATTAATATTGTATATTAGGAAAGCTTAAATTTTATATAAATGCGCCCACGTTTTAAGATGTAGAACTATACAATATGGTCGAAGTGAACAAATTTGCAATTCATGTATGGTCATGACTTTAGTATAAAACTTTAATATCAATCTCAAATTTTCAAACCAATATCCTTTGAACCCAATTAAAAAAGTTATTTTCTACTTTTTAGTCCACGGGAAAAAACGTGGTTTTTTAAAAAGTTTTTTTTATGAAGTATTTATTTTCTACTTTTTAATTTTAAAAAATTATTTAAAGTATCCATCGATCAGCATCGGCCGATTTCACAAAGGTGGATAATCCTCGGATCGGATTATCCACTTTTTGAATCCAAGGATAATCCATGATTTTTTTTACTGCGTTAAACTGCACGGTGTATCAGAAAAAATGGATTTGAAAAAAATAATTTTTTGACAATGGATTTCACAAAAAAAGATTATCCTAGTATGTGGATTATCCTGAGATTATCCTAGGATTATCCACATAATTATTCCAAAATGTTAAAACTGGGTCCCCCCAAGATTGAAAATTCGGATAATCTTCGGGATTATCCTAGGATAATCTTAGGATAATCCATATACAAAAATTATTTTTTCGCTATATTCACAATACAATAATAAGATTTTTTCTCAAACTAGTTTGATTATTATTAACCAATTAATTCTACACCAGAAAAAAATTATTTGGATTTTTCTCATATCAAAGAAATAGATAATCCGAAAATGAGGATTATCCACCTTTGTGAAATTGGCCGCATAAGTTTGTAAACTAGAACAAAACCATTGAAAGTCTCCATCGATCAGTTGTGCTTCGCACAGCATAAGTTTGTAAACTAGACTCATACCATAGAAAGTCTTCATCGATCAGCTGTGCTTCGCACAGCATAAGTTTGTAAACTAGATTTTAACCGTAGAAAGTCTTCATCGATCAGCTGTGCTTCGCACAGCATAAGTTTGTAAACTAGAATTTAACCGTAGAAAGTCTTCATCGATCAGCTGTGCTTCGCACAGCATAAGTTTGTAAACTAGAATTTAACCGTAGAAAGTCTTCATCGATCAGCTGTGCTTCGCACAGCATAAGTTTGTAAACTAGACTCATACCATAGAAGTCTTCATCGATCAGCTGTGCTTCGCACAGCATAAGTTTGTAAACTAGACTCATACCATAGAAGTCTTCATCGATCAGCTGTGCTTCGCACAGCATAAGTTTGTAAACTAGAATTTAACCGTAGAAGTCTTCATCGATCAGCTGTGCTTCGCACAGCATAAGTTTGTAAACTAGAATTTAACCGTAGAAAGTCTTCATCGATCAGCCGTGCTTCGCACAGCATAAGTTTGTAAGCTAGAATTTAGCCATAGAAGTCTTCATCGATCAGCTGTGCTTCGCACAGCATAAATTTGTAAACTAGAATTTAACCGTAGAAAGTCTTTGTCGATCAGCTGTGCTTCGCACAGCATAAGTTTGTAAACTAGACTCATACCATAGAAGTCTTCATCGATCAGCTGTGCTTCGCACAGCATAAGTTTGTAAACTAGAATTTAACCGTAGAAAGTCTTCATCGATCAGCTGTGCTTCGCACAGCATAAGTTTGTAAACTAGAATTTAACCATAGAAGTCTTCATCGATCAGCTGTGCTTCGCACAGCATAAATTTGTAAACTAGAATTTAACCGTAGAAAGTCTTCATCGATCAGCTGTGCTTCGCACAGCATAAGTTTGTAAACTAGAATTTAACCGTAGAAAGTCTTCATCGATCAGCTGTGCTTCGCACAGCATAAGTTTGTAAACTAGACTCATACCATAGAAGTCTTCATCGATCAGCTGTGCTTCGCACAGCATAAGTTTGTAAACTAGACTCATACCATAGAAGTCTTCATCGATCAGCTGTGCTTCGCACAGCATAAGTTTGTAAACTAGAATTTAACCGTAGAAGTCTTCATCGATCAGCTGTGCTTCGCACAGCATAAGTTTGTAAACTAGAATTTAACCGTAGAAAGTCTTCATCGATCAGCCGTGCTTCGCACAGCATAAGTTTGTAAGCTAGAATTTAGCCATAGAAGTCTTCATCGATCAGCTGTGCTTCGCACAGCATAAATTTGTAAACTAGAATTTAACCGTAGAAAGTCTTTGTCGATCAGCTGTGCTTCGCACAGCATAAGTTTGTAAACTAGACTCATACCATAGAAGTCTTCATCGATCAGCTGTGCTTCGCACAGCATAAGTTTGTAAACTAGAATTTAACCGTAGAAAGTCTTCATCGATCAGCTGTGCTTCGCACAGCATAAGTTTGTAAACTAGAATTTAACCATAGAAGTCTTCATCGATCAGCTGTGCTTCGCACAGCATACCCGAGTGGACAAAGTACTAGTTAAAAGCTTGCCATTGACTTGCCTTTTCACGGCGAGTAAGTATCCATTGACGTGCCTTTGCAACTAGACTTAGGGACGACTAATGACATATTTTGCGCTTTCCATTTAACTGGACATAGGAATGGCAAATATGTCTAGTTAATGTCCAGTAACAAAAAAATCGAAATAAAATAAATAACACGTGTCTTTTCTCCGTTTTTTTTCTTTTGTAAAATTTTATTATTGTATTAGTGTAATTAATTAATTAAAGTACACTATCACTTATGAAAAATCTCTAGTAAAAATTGAGTCTCGAACACTTGCGCGTGAAACAATTATATTTACTTAAAAGTTTCATACAAAGTTTGGTGGACCTTATATAAGTGATTTCTGTAAGCGCTTGTGAAGTATATGGTCAAAAAAGTAAGGAAAATTATTTTTGAGTTTCGAACACTTGATTGATTAGCATGAATGTCCAGTTAAAGTCTAGTTAACGAATAGTTCTCTATATCGTATATATTTCGACAAGTTAAAAGACTGTTAAATGATTGTCCAATAATGGACTTTAACTGGCTGTGTCCACCCGGGATAAGTTTGTAAACTAGAACAAAACCATTGAAAGTCGTGTAACGTATTTTTTTGTCATTCAAACTCATAACGGCTTTTTGAAATATAAAATTATTGAAAGTTGTTCATATGTTATGTAAAAACGTAGTAATAAGCTAAGCCTTAAAAAGTAAAAAATTTAATTTAATTGTACTATAATTAAGCATTTTTAAGTTTCCGAAATGCTTGAATATTGTATTGTCACCGGAAAGAAAAGTGCATGCAAAATTTCAGCTCGATTGGAGCAGTAGAAGTGGTCGAAAAATTGATCGCAAGATTTGACCTCGACAAACAGATAAACAGATAAACAGACAAACAGATAAGAAAGCAAGTTAAGAAAAACGTGGTAACGTGGTAAAAATTGAATACTTAATCTTTTTATTTGTTGTTGTTTCCACAAGATCATTAGACATTAGACATTAATTTTTTATCAATTTTTAATTATTCAGGCAAGCGTGAATATCTTAGAGCAATAAACTTGGCCGTTACGGGTTTATCAAAATCACGTGGTCAAAAATTAACGTTCCTAAAAGATTATGAATTTCAACCAGCCAACATCCACTTTGAATCATTAACATTGAATCCAAGTCCGACAGCAATTTTGACAATTTTATGTAAACAATTTTTACACGCAAATGTTTCTGCAATTTTATATTTGATGAATTACGAGCAGTATGGTCGATCAACAGCAAGTGCTCAATATTTTCTACAATTGGCTGGATATTTAGGAATTCCTGTAATTAGCTGGAATGCAGACAATTCAGGTCTTGAACGTAGAGCTTCTCAATCAACACTTCAACTTCAATTAGCACCGACAATTGAGCATCAAACAAAAGCCATGCTTAGTATTCTCGAACGATACAAATGGCATCAATTTTCAATTGTCACATCTCAAATTGCCGGTCATGATGACTTTGTGCAAGCAATTAGAGAACATGTGGCTGAAATGCAGGATCGATTTAAATTCACAATCCTCAATTCGATTATTGTCACGCGTCCTAGTGATTTAACGGATTTGATAAACAGTGAAGCTCGAGTCATGCTGCTTTACTGCACAAAAAGTGAGGCAATAGATATCTTAAAAGCAGCTGAGACACATCATTTGACTGGAGAAAATTATGTGTGGGTTGTGACGCAATCTGTTATTGAAAATACTCAGCCTCATTCGAGTTTTCCAGTAAGAAACTGTATTTTATGTAATTTGTACTTTATAGTGAATGTCTTTATGCTATAATTAGGTTGGCATGTTGGGCGTTCATTTTGATACATCATCAGCAAGTCTCGTCAATGAAATCGCAACAGGAATTAAAGTTTATGCATCTGGTGTTGAAGCTTATTTAAATGATATCCATAATAAAGGAAGGAAATTGAACACACACGGATTATCATGTGAAGACGAAGGCCGTGGAAGGTAAATTGCTGTTTTTTACAAGATTAATTTTTTGATTTATTTAATGCTGTCTTTTTGGTTTTAACTAGATGGGACATGGGAGAAGTGTAAGTACAGACTTTATACATTAAGGTTTGAAGATTAATATAAACTTTATTTTAGGTTCTTTCGGTATTTACGAAACGTGTCAATTGAAGGAGATCTAAATAAGCCTAATGTTGAGTTTAATGCCGATGGTGATTTGCGGTCAACAGAATTGAAAATCATGAATTTAAGGCCAAGTGTAACTTCAAAAGGAATTGTATGGGAGGAAATTGGCGTTTGGAAGTCATGGCAAACGAATGCTCAACAGCAGCTTGATATTAGGGACATTTACTGGCCTGGAAACTCTCATGCACCGGTTAGTATTTGAACAGAACCATTCAAGCTTGATTTAAACTTGATTCGAACTTGATTCGAACTTGATTCAAACTTGATTTGAACTGGATTCGATCTTAATTCAAACTTGATTTAAACTTGATTTAAACCTGAATCGAACTTAATTCAAACTTGATTCAAACTTGATTCAAACTTCAATTTGAGCTTGAATTCAAACTTGATTCGAACTTGATTTAAACTGGATTCGAACTTTATTCAAACTTGATTCAAACTTGATTTAGATTTGATTCAAACTTGATTCGAGCTTGATTCGAACTGGATTTGATCTTGATTCAAACTTGATTTAAACCTGAATCGAGCTTGATTCAAACTTGATTCAAACTTAAATTTGAGCTTGAATTTAAATTTGATTCAAACTTGATTCAAACTTGACTCAAACTTGATTCGAACTTGATTCGAACTTTATTCAAACTTGATTTAAACTTGATTCGAGCTTGATTCAAACCTTTTTTCTAACTAGATTCACAGTTGATTCGATCTTAATTTAACATGACTCAAATTTGATTTCATTGTAGCCACAAGGTGTTCCAGAAAAGTTCCATTTGAAAATTACATTTTTGGAAGAAGCACCTTACATAAATTTATCACCTCCTGATCCAGTATCCGGTAAATGTTTGATGGATAGAGGAGTAATTTGTCGTGTAGCACCTGATGCTGATGTTGTGGATATTGATCAAGCTCATAAGAATGGATCTTACTTCCAATGTTGCAGTGGATTCTGTATCGATTTATTAGAAAAATTTGCAGAAGAACTAGGCTTTACGTATGAGCTTGTCAGAGTTGAAGATGGTCGTTGGGGTGTCTTAGATAATGGAAAATGGAATGGATTAATTGCAGAGTTAGTAAATAGAAAAACAGATATGGTCCTTACATCTTTAATGATTAATGCTGAAAGAGAAGCAGTCGTTGATTTTAGTGAGCCATTCATGGAAACAGGCATTGCAATTGTAGTGGCAAAAAGAACTGGAATTATATCACCAACAGCTTTCTTAGAACCTTTTGATACAGCATCATGGATGCTTGTAGGAATAGTCGCAATTCAAGCAGCTACATTTATGATCTTTTTATTTGAATTTTTATCTCCAAGTGGTTTTGATATGAAAATGGCAGTTCCTCAAGCAGCTCAAGGAAAGAATGGCGTATTGCCTTACAGATTCTCACTATTTCGTACTTATTGGCTTGTTTGGGCTGTACTTTTTCAAGCAGCGGTGCATGTTGATTCACCGAGGGGATTCACAGCAAGATTTATGACAAATGTATGGGCTATGTTTGCTGTCGTCTTCCTTGCTATATACACTGCTAATTTGGCAGCCTTTATGATTACCCGCGAAGAGTTTCATGAGTTTTCCGGATTGGATGATACTCGATTGTCAAGGCCATTCTCAATAAAGCCACCAATTAAATTTGGCACAATACCATATAGTCACACAGATTCAACAATTGCAAAGTATTTTAAGGAAATGCACTGGTACATGAGGAAATTCAATAAAACATCAGTCTCGGAAGGGGTTTCATCAATTCTTAGTGGATCTCTCGATGCTTTTATCTATGATGGCACAGTTTTAGACTATTTAGTTCAACAAGATGAAGATTGTCGATTATTGACTGTTGGTCAATGGTATGCCATGACAGGATATGGGCTGGCATTTTCAAGGAATTCCAAATATGTCAATATGTTTAATAAACGCTTACTTGAATTCAGAGCAAACGGTGATTTGGAAAGATTGAGAAGATATTGGATGACAGGAACATGTCGATTAAATAAACAGGAACACAAGTCTTCAGACCCATTGGCTCTAGAACAGTTCTTGTCTGCATTCTTATTACTTATGGCTGGAATTTTGTTGGCTGGTAAATTAAATTAAAACTAATTTAAATTAGTTTTTAATTCTTTTCACTTTTATAGCACTGCTGCTTCTTTTGGAATATTTGTACTTTAAATATTTCAGAGCACGTTTGGCAAAATCAGATAGAGGCGGATGTTGTGCATTAATATCTCTTTCAATGGGTAAATCGCTAACATTCAGAGGAGCTGTTTTTGAAGCTACAGAGCTAATTAGAAACCATAGATGCAAAGATCCTTTATGTGATACTCATTTATGGAAAGTAAAGCATGAATTGGACATGTCAAGATTACGTGTTAGACAGCTTGAGAAGACAATGGATGCGAATGGACTTAAACCTCCTCAAATCAAGTGAGTAATAATTTAAATGATTTTATAAGTAGCTATATTAATCTTACGTGTTTCTTATAGGATAACTTCAATGTCAAACTTAATAAGCGATCGACATGAGAAGCCACACATTCTTGGTAGTTTGAGTCTCGGTGGAAGTGCTCAAGATTTATATCGATGGACTTACAAGACAGAGATTGCTGAAATGGAAACAGTACTCTAAATATGCTCAAAATGGTACTTTAAACATGATCTGTGCTAATGCGCGGAGACTCAAATAGATTTAAATAAATATTGTTAATCTTTGATGTAATTTAAAAACTTAAAAGAAGGAAAAAAATAACTAAGTGTGGTGTACAAAATATACATACTACAATAGCCACAACAATAGCAACAAGAAATTATAAAGTGAAGTGCACGAGCATTATGTAAGCAGCTGTTTTGTGCGGCTCTAGATAAATACATGCGAATTTTGGTATTTTACATACAATTTTTTATAAAGCAATTAAAAATAATTTTTGCTAGACGGAAACTTTAAGAAATGGAATAACTTTTTGATATAAATTGCAATTCATTTCCATTAAAATCCTCAACTAATTCGAACAAACCTTTTCGATCGCTAGTTGCTCATTATATTGTTAGAAAAAAACCAAGGAGTATGACTTAGGGTACTAGTAAGATAAACACTAGACTATAAAGTGTAGGGAAACCTCTGGATAAGGCTCGAAGAGCATAGGGCTTGAGCATAGGGCTCGCGTTGAAACTGGTTACACGTGCATGACGGGTAGCCGAAGTGAGATAAGTACCTCTGTGGAAGATTTGCAGAACTCTAATCGATTGGTCAGAGATCGCCTCTTTTGAAGTCGTGGGTTCGATTCCCATCAAACCCGACTTGTTTTACATTAGTATACCCATGCTTGTTCATACCTTTAAGGAATTTGAGCAACAGGCAACTTGATAATAATAAATCAATTAATAAACGATCCTTAAATATTTTGTTATGTTTTATAGATCCACAGTGGTGTATTAACTATTGTTGAACATTTTTTACATTATGAAATCCTAAGTGAATTTCCTAAAATGGACCTTTTTGAATTTCCAAGAATTTATGTTGAATCTTAACGAAAATCTCTAGTGTCTAAAAATGATCATTAAAGAATTTAATGGACGTGAAAATTTTAAAATTAATAAACTAAGCTTAAATAATGACAAGAATTAAGTGGCAATGAATATTCATTTATACACAATAATAAAATAATAACAGTTTAGCAAACAATAGACCATAGATAAGTAAATGTACCCACCTACCGTAAAGATTAACTATCATTTGAAGGAAGGAAGGAAATTGCCACAAATCCTATAACTAATGACAAAAATGAAACGAAATATTGAAAAGTATAATGTTAACAAATCATGTTCTGTACCATTATTATGACTATTCTTATTATTATTGAGTGTATGTTATTCAAAATGTATTAAACAAATAAATTGTTTATTGGATATTTAAAATAATATTTATTGTGTTTTTACTTTTGAAAGTTCTAATGTGAAGCTTTTGATTTTCGCGCGTATTTTTGTGTCACTCAAAAGTTCGTTTCTCAATTTAATGCAAAAAAGGTAAGATTTCAAAATAAAACAACGAAGTTACTAGTGCAAAACTTACTGTTCTTCTTGATCTATCTAGTAAGTATTGAAACTTCGCGGGATTATTGAACTGAGTGTTTTGACAAAAAAAAAATACCTAAGAAAATCTGTCGATTTGTTTATTGCAGAGTTGCGATCTGTCACTTGCCTGTCAACAGTTTTGATGAATTTTTGCAATGCCTGACAGTAAGCGCGTAGCCAGGATTCTTTTTCCCCTCTTAAATATTTTGAATCGCAGCGAGAGCACTGTCTAAAACGCTTAAGAAAGGGATAATACCCTCCTGGCAACGCGCCTGCCTGACAGTGTCTGTGACAGATCTATCCTCTGTGCCTGTTGACATGTGACCTGTCTCGCAACTCTGGTTTATTATTACAAAATGCGACGGTTAATACTTAATTTATAGGAAGTCAAGTAAAATTTAAAGTTTTCTAAGTTTCAAGGCATTCAATTCAACAGAATTTGAAGCTTACAGGACCCTTTTCCAGTTTGTAGTCAGAAAACTGTAAGTTCAACTACTTATCGCAAGTTCATTGAACCAACAAAAATTTTAGGATTCTATTATTTGTATGAGAGTGAGAATCATTGTTCTGAATGTTTCAATTTCTTGACTAAGTTTATTCAAGGCAAAGCTTCACTTCTTTGCATGATCATTAAGATGATAATGTACTGCTGGTTGCCACTGAGTCGGGAGATTTTGATGTTGTGAATATTATAATAAAATTGGGCTTTGAAACAAAATCGCAATTCAAAAGTATTAACACTCAGTTTTTGGCCTATGATGGACAACATTTTGATGTTCTTTTGATATTTCTTAGGTTGAATTTGGAATATCCAGTTGCAATGGATGTTAGTCAGTGTTCTTTTAATGTTCTAAATTTTCTAAATGTTTCCAATTACTTTATAAAAATATTAAAGTCAACAATACAAGTGATTTTAAGAATATCGTGATTAGGACCTGAAGTTAACGTTACTTTTACAAAATTTTTAAAGGAATCAGCAGTAACAGTTACATTAAAATGAAAATATTAGTAAAATTTACAAGTTCCTGATGACAAATGGTGTTTATTTTGGTGCATATGAAAATACAAAAACTAATATGGAAGATTTGGATTATGACACATAAAGTGTCGTTCGAGAATTTAACTTTAAACATTTAAGATCCAAAAATGAATTCCACACATGATGATAACATCTTCAAATTGGATTGTTTGCAAGAAACATTACAAAATGTTTTTCTTACTTCTGATATTAAGTTTCAATATGGAACTGTCTAAATTAATTTCAATGGCATCAACTTCTACTCATTCTCACAAATCAAAGAAATTCTGATTCTAAATAATATTCATTACCAATTTTATACTTTTTTCAGCATCTTTTGAAACCTTAAAATTTGACCCATTTTTGGAATACGATTCATCTTCATTAGTCATAGTTGATGTTTCAGAAAAGTCACCCGTAGTTGAAACCTCAATATTTTCCTCAGTTACTGTATCTTCTATTATTGATAGTTGAGAATCGCCAGTAGTATCGTAAAGAGACTGTGTTGAGTCGTTTGGTTCTTCAGAAGTTGACTCGGTGTTTTCTGTAATATCATCATATGTAGATTCAGTGTTTGAGTCAGTTTTAGTTAAAATTGTATCCTTTGTTTCAGCGTCTAGTGTTATTGTGGAATCATCAACTATGCTGAACTCGTCTAAGTCTGTTACTGCATCAACAGTATAATATGAATTCAACTCAGTTTCAACAATATCAATTTCTTGAGTTTCTTCCTTAAATAGTAAAGCTTTTAATCCTTCAATCTCCTTTGCAGCATTTCGTATTTTAGCTTCGAATTCTTTTTTGAGAACTTTTATAAAATTTTGAAGGTCTTTAACTTTTCGATGCATTTCTGCCTTTTCGTCTTCAAGTTTACTTATTTCAGCCCTATCAGCTCGCCTGTGTGTTGCGTAATTTAAAGCAATTTCTTCTTCAAATCTTTTAATAGATTCATGTGCGTTTGATAAGTCATTGGACATGCTTAATAGATCTGACTCTTTCTGAACGAGTTCTTTTTCTAAGATTATAATTCTAGCTTTTTGAACTTTAAGATCTATTTCAAGTCTGAAGATTTGGCTGTCATTTGAAAATATATTCAGCTGTTTTCTTACTTTACTTAGTTCTTTTTGGTTTTTATTGTTGACTGATTTCTCCTTTAGCAATCTAGATTCGAGCTTTTCGATTTTTTCTTGGTAAATTTGTTCAATGCTCATTATTGTCGTTGACTCAATTTTATGTTCAATTTTCACAAAATTACCAGAGCATTTTTGGTTAATTTCTACTAGAATATTTGCAGTCAGAACTAATGGAACTAGTTGTGGTGAATTATTGGATTTTATCATTTTATATTTGGCAAATTTTTTTGATATGCAAATATTATTTGAAAGATCCAAGTTTACCAAGCTCTTCAAATTATTGAAAACTAATGAACCAATTCTTGTGATCTTATTATTGTAGAACCAAATTAATTGGAGCTCGGTATTGAAATCAAATAATCCGTCATCAAGAACTTCAATGTGATTTTTATCCAGATTAAGATATTTCAACTTTGTCAGCGATCTTAAGTCACTTTGATGAAGTTTCTTCAATTTTCCATTCTTGATTGTCAAAGCTACTAAGTTGGGCATTTTGTCTGCTAAATTTGATGGAATAAAATAAATATCAGCTTTGTCAATCGTAAGTGCTGTGACTGATTCAGTAGATTGGTCATTAATGTGAATTCCCAGAATATTCTCAATCGTTGTATTTGATTCGACAATTTTCAAATCATTTTTAATAAAGCACATGTACTGAAGTGAAACTGTTGCAAATTTATAAAAATTGAATTCACATTTCAAGTCAACTGATGCTGCATTCACATTAGATGTGACGAGTGTCAATAAAAGGAGCAAACTTTTTACTGACATCGTTCTGGATTCAATTATTTTATATATGTTGTTTAAGCAGTGTTGATTTATGCTTATTATCACTTCAAATTATCCAACAAGACTAAAATATGTTTTCATAATTTCTCTTTATTTTAATTTTTTTTATGTTCTGATAGTTGATAAAATATTAGCAAAGAAAGTTTAAAATAAGAGTTTGCATTGGCACAAAACCTACCACCAGCCTAGTGATTTTTCAGAAGTTAAGATACTTCGGCTTCTACGTGCAACAGTTTAAGACGTAAAACTAAGAGTTAAGCGATGTGAGATGTAGGAACGGGTCAAGAATTATTTAGACAGAATGAGAAAGATACGAGAGCCGTAAATTCACCATGAAGGGCTTTTACTGGAACGAACCTGAAGACCTTGTGACCTATGAAAAATTGAAACGAGAGCCAACATAAACACTGGTTCTAAGATCCATAAACCGTTGCTAATTGGCTGCATACTAAGCAAATGTACATAATATAGATTTCAGTTTTGATGATGCACAATTTTAGATGAATAAATTGAAATTGATTTTGAACTTAATTTGAACATATTTAATATTTTTGATTTTCTAATTAGTTAAAGACAATATGTTCAAACTTAAAATATCATTTTAAAAACATGTAGATTAACTACATTTTTCAAGAAAAAGAGGACATTTCATTATTGCTTTTCAGGCTAATTGGGACAAAATAAACATATATTATTGTAGAACAAAAATCATTTTACCTTAACATATCGTCACCCAATTTATTACCACAGTAAAATGGTTAAACTAATTCTTTGAATACTATGGGTCCTCGATTTGAGTAGATTCGATTTGAATAGGATTTATCTGGAACAAAACACCTACTCAAATCGAGGACCCCCAGTAATTTAAATTCAGACCACAAAATGCACTACAAAACACATTAAGTCAACAAAATCATTTCTACTTGTTTCCTAGTATTGTTGTCGTTTACATTTTATATTCTGGGATTTCCAAGAAGAAAAAATTCTTTTTAATCAAGCTACAATGAAATTTAATTTCACCATGAGTCACACGTTCTCACAAGCTGATATTCTTATCATTTATTAAAGAGTATATGTCGAGGTCATATAAAGGACTTTAGAAATAGATTTGCGAATTAAAAAAAGTTGTTGAGCTCTTTACAGTTTTAATCAAGGCGTGGAAACTCAGGATTAATTAAAAAAATCCCTGAGCCAATAAACATGAAAATGTGAAATAACTAAATTATTCACCAAATGCACCAGGGATTAAAAAGGTTTAAGCAGTTAAGTGCCATGCTGGTCGAAAAGGTAAGGCGCTTGTCTCAAATTTGGTATGGCAAATTTGTCCTTTTTCTGAAGTTTAGATACTTCGACTGCTTAATGTACGAGATCAAGCCACAATTTGGCATTTAAGCAACGTTGGATTAAGGAACAGTTCAGGAACTTGAAGTTTAGCGGAAGAAATAAGGAACAAGAGCTACAAGATTACCTTATAATGGAATAATGCTAGATTGGATCTGAAATGTATCAATTCACGCCCACAGAAGATCAAAATGGGGGCCTTAATTTATTTAAAACCTAGATTTGTGTAAAATTTGAATTATTACCGGACAGTATGTCGTCAATAAATGCAATAAATGCAATGTTTATTGTCTCAGGGATTATTTCGATTTTTCAGGATTAATCCTGAGTTTTCACGCCTTGGTTTTAATAGAATATGATAATATCAATAAAGGCACAGTATTATATTTTTAAAAAAATTTTTTTTATTTGTTTACATCAAAAAGCATCAAAAACACAAAAACTTGAATTCCTTAAACAGTTCCTTAACTGTAATAGTCATAAAGAGTCGTTTCCTCAATCATCTCTTCGCCTTCAGACTCTTCACGATCAAGTCTATATATTGGTGAATCTATGGTAGCTGAAGTTGCAGTTAATTCCAAATCTTCTCCTTGCATGCCATTTGTGATTATATTCCAAGTATCATCAATTTGATTGTCTTTGTTTGCTTCTGCGATACGACTTTTAAGATTTTTATTTTCTAATTTAAGTTCAGCATTTTCTGCTAAAAGTTTCCTTAATTTTAATTGATCTTGTTCTTTTTGTACATTAAAGTTGTACATTTCTTCTTCGTATTTCTTAACTACATCCTTCATGTTAGAAAATTCATCGTGGATGCCTTTTAGTTTCTTTAATTCATCCTTTAAATTTCTCACTTCTTTTTCTTCTTTCTTCAGCTTAATTTCCAGCTCTGCGATGTTTGTATTATCAACCTCGTTATTTAAATCTGATTCATTTCTTCTAAACTCAAGAAGCATTTCCAATGTTTTATTTTTTGCTGTCATTTCTTCAGCCAACTTAAGTTTGATGCTTTTCAATTCGGATTTGGTGCTGAACAGTTGAATATTTAAGTTTTTGATTTGTTCCTGAAATGATCTCAAATCAAGATGATCTTGTGCTTCGGATTTAATGTCAAATTCATAAATGACGTCAGTAAAGTTAGCACAACTTTGCATAATTTCCGTAAGAATGTTGATTTTATTTTGAATGCTTTGCATTGAAGGATTTGCATATTTTGTTTGCAATACTGCAAATCTTTTGGTCGTGCAAGAATTTTTTGTCAAATCTAAACTTACTAAATTTTTGAAATTTTCTGCAAGTTTTTCACCAATTTTCTTAATTTTATTGTTACTAAGCCATACCAAATTAAGTAGCGGATTATATTCAAAGACATCATCATTAAGAATCTCTATATCATTGTCATCTAGGTTAAGATACCTTAATTTGGGCATTGAACGTAAATCATCCTTATGAAGTTCCTTCAATCTTCCATTTTTAACTCTCAAAGATGTCAAGTTGATAAAGACTTCTCCAGTATTTGTTGGCAAATATTTAGTTGCTTTATTTTCAATTGTTAATGCAAATACAGAATCAATTGTATGATTGTCAGCATGTGTTCCCAATATATCGAGGATTGATGCATTTTCATTAAAAATATTTAAATCATTTTGAACGACGCATGTGTATTGTCGACCGACTGTTGCAAATTCATCTACTTCAAATTTACATTCAAGATTTATTTGAATATTTCCTTTGGCTGATCCAATTCCAATAAGGAGGATTATTTGAAGAAATTTTAATCCCATAACTATAAAAGATTTCAACAAAAATTAATAAAACGTTTTAAATGTTAATTATTTCTCTGACCTTATTGCTGTTTGTAGCAACAATAACAAAAAATTTAGTTTCTCGATACTTTTTAAATCCACTTCGCTGAACGTCTTAAAAGAATATGAAATTAAATAATCAGAGAATTGTGAATCTTGTTTATTATTTAACTTGTAAATTCTCATTTCGAACAATAAATTCTCTCAATTTAATTCAAATGATTATTTAAATTGACCATCATGAATGCTCGACGAAACATTTCTATTTTTAAAAGTTCATCACTCGTTTGTTTTTTTGGGATTTCCAAAAGGTACTATCAAATTTTAAATGGATTCGAATGCATCTGAGTTCAGAGTTTAAATGATAATATTTAACAGATTTTAACTTAGCCTGGACCAGGTTTCTAGGTCTTTCCGGGCAGATATTAATTTCGATGTACTACAATATGCTGAATAATACTGATATTGTGAGAAGAACCAAAGTAAACAGGATTCGATGGGCTAGACATGTTATTAGAAGACCTGTTGACGCTCCATTAAATAAGGTTTTTTATTTGAATTTGCTTGTTTTAAATATTATTCGCACGTTAATTTTATAATGCCTACACTCGGTATTCTTTCAAAGAGGATCTTAAAGGAAACTTAATGTTTCATTGATCTCTTTTGCTGTAACATTAATTTTACTGTAATTTTATTCAATTTTTATATTTAATGTAATTCTTCACTCTCTCAAAGGTTTTTTATGCCTCTTCAAACAGTTTAAGTACTGTTTTAGGGGGCTTTTTCCTTGAAAGGAGAGAGTGGGAAAAAAGGAAGATAAAATAAATAAATAAATATATAATGAAGGTAAAAAAAAAAAAAAAAGGTCTTCAAATCCGATTTTGTAGATGGAAAGAGATCACGTGGAAGGCCAAAGAACTCATGAAAAGAGGCTGTTGATGAATACAGTGTTGCATTTGGTTTAGGAAATTGGCAGACGGTAGCCAGAGATAGAGCTGGTTTTAGGGGACAAATAAGGGAGATCAAGGATCACAATTGATCTGTACGTCTAGCGAAGTAAGTAAGGAAGTAAAGTGCAACAATATTGGATATTAATAAAATTAATCTGAAACTAGGGTAAGATGCCCTGGGTAGCCCAAGAATCCGGGCTTTGGTATCCGCAAAGGAAGAGCAAAGCGCTTTTTTAAATCACTATTTTTTAAGGAAGTATTTTCTTGAAGTAAGCAATTTTTTTATAAAATAAATTAAAATTTTATGATTCTCTTATTCACGAGAGTAAAAGAGATCTGAGAGAGGGTCGATTGACGAGTGATCGGTGTAGATTTGTTTTTGATAAAAGTTTCAAATTTGTAGAAGTAAAGGCTATAAGTTTAAGTTCATCCAAGCTGATGTTGTCCAAACTGTGTGCCTTAGAAAATTTTTTTGGAAATAACACCAACCGCATGTTTTGTGTTGACTTCGGTTGTGACTTCCCCCTAAGTTGTGCCGTGGCCAAAGGCGTGGAACTGATAAATTACATTTTGATAATTTTTAATCATTTTTGATCATTTCACCAGTTCCGCAACATTGGCCGTGATTCGAAAAGTTTGAACAACACTAATTTAGGCTATAAAGTTCTCTTTTACAAATTTTTATTAATTGATTCCAAAATATTTAAGTTCATGCATTTCTCATATTTAAACCACAAAACAAATCAAAATGATAATAATATTACATCCTTGATCAAATTAAGTTTAATCCTATTTTAGTTTTTAAGAATCTTGTGCTTAAAAATTATGTTTGAACATAACAATCACTAATTTGATTTTAAACTCTAACCCACAAAGAGCATGCTCAGAGCATGATAAATTGAGCTTGATCAGACTTTTTGAGCGTGCTCACCTAGAGCCACCTACGGTACCTATTTGAGCATGATAATTAAGACTCTTTCGTGAGCATGATCAAGATCGCGATCAGAAGAGCTTGATCGATGTAACATGTTGCATGTGCTCTAAAGAGCACGATTTATTATTTAAAATATTAAAAAATATTGACATGTTCTCTTGAGCATGTTCTTTTGAGTTAATTATTAAAGGTGCTCTTATGAGCATGATTTTGAGTAAGCTCTCAAGAGTTTGATTTTTTTTACTTTTTTGAGATTTGCCGAGATTCGAACTTGGAGCGCTGAGTCGTAATATGCCGTTCACTTATCCTCTGATCTATTGCTGTCTGAAATGATATATTTTTAAAATGGCAAAAACGCGTACTGTTTTTAGGGCCATATTTTTTTCATTTTTGGATTTCTTGCCCTAATATTTTCAAGGGCAAGATATGTTTAGGTCCATAATTTTATGTTTTTTGGACATCTTGCCCAATTTTTTTAGGGCAAGATCAAGATATCAAGCTCAGAGTAGGATCTTGAACGTGCTCGGTAAGATTCTTTTAAGAGCATGAAATAATTTTGTCACACGAAAAGTGGAGATTCTCAGATCATGCTCAAGAGCAAGCTCAAAAAGTGTCTCACGTGAGAACCTTAAATTTTCAAGCTCAGAGCACGATCTTCAGCATGCTCACTAAGGTTCTCTTGGGAGCACATTAAATAATCATTCTCTCATCAAGCTCATTTATTGTGAGGTTCTCTTATGTTGTTAGAGAAAGAGCTACAAATCTTACAGTCAAATTTGTTTGAACATCTTTGATTCTATTTCTGGTAGATCAAAAATTAAAGTCCGCAATTTATCATTGTTGTTATTGTGTTTATGCCTGGTTTAACTCATTTTACTTTTCACGATTTTTAGGATGTCTTTTATATTCAAAGCTGTTTTTATTATTTGAAATGGATATGCATTATAATGAGCATGAGTTAAAGAGAGTAAAGTCTCATTTTTGGAAAGAGAATTTTCTTAAATAACGAGAGTAAATAAAAAGACGTTCGTTACTGACGTCCACCAAAAACATTCACATTCGCATCTCCTTCTTATCTTGTACTAGAATTTCGATTTAAATTTGGTTATGCTGTTTAAAGTGTCACGACAAGGTACTCTTGTCTTCTACGAAATAGACATCATAAGGTAATCAAAAAAGCAGTATAATTTATATTGGCTTATTATAAGTGTGGATTCAAATAAAGGTGGGAAAACGTAGAATTTTAAGAAATTCTATTTGTAATGCTTTCTTGTTCATTGACTTTTTTAGGATTATTAAATTGAAATTTATAATTTTTTGAGGCTTTCTTAAAAACCTTTAAGTTTAACGAAAGCATTTTAAACTAGCACAAATGTCAATGATTGTAAGGATGCACATTATTGGAATTGAGACAAACATTATCGGATGATTATTCCAAGTGTATCTAGGAAGACTTTTGCACTTTAAGAAATCAACATTGACAATTTCAACTTCCTTATTGAGAATTTGATTTATGTTTTCAAATTTAGTTTTTATGATCTTAAGATTCTCAAGTTCAGCGGTCGTATCTTTAAGCTCTGTGCTTAAATCTTCAGATATTGCAATAGATTCTTTGAGCTCTTGATTTAGTGTCAGTACTTGGTTCTCGTATGATGAAATTTGGTTCGACTTATCAGTTATTATGCTTGAAAGATTTAAATTTTCTAATTCCTTCAACTTGATTGTATCTTTATGATCTATGATATTCTGTCGAAGTTCTGCTGATACTTCAGTAAAATTAGTGATTATCGCTTGATATTCTTCAACTTCCTTAGCATTTTTTGTTGTTATATTGTCCACTGTTGAGCTGAAATTAGCTTCTAAGAATTTTGAATGATTTCTAGAGTCCTGAAGGTTAAGGTTTAAATTTTTAATAATCCCTTGCAAACCTTGAACTTCTCTTGATTTCTGATCAACCGATTTTTGTAAATTTTGTGATAATTCTGTTTTAGTTTTAAGCTGGTTAGTAAGAAGATTGTTTTTGTTTTGAGATTCTTGAAGTTTCTTCGTGGTTTGATTATTCAGTTGATTAAGTTGTAAGATATTTTGATTTGATTCAAGGTTTAAAATATCGTATTTATCTTTTAAGTCCCTCACGTTATTCAAAATTTTGTTGTTGGAAATCGTGAGGTCATTGATATGTCCATCCTTTTCTATAACCTTCATTTTCAACTGCTTTGCTTTATTTTTGAAGTTTTCTAACTCTTCTTTGGTTGTTTTAATGTCATTGCTTAGGTTTTGGATGGTTGTTATTGATTTTTGTTCATTCATCTCTAATTGGTTTTTGAGATTTTGAACAAATTCCTTAGTTTGATCCAATTGTAATAGGGTTGAATTATAAGCTAATGTTATATCTGATAAGTTTTTCTGTAGATTGTGGAATTCGACTTTTAAATTTTTGTAATTATCTTCAAGACTCTCAATTGTCTTATTTAAATTCTTTTGCATAGTATCGAACTTATTGGCATTAAACTTTAATTTATTTTCACATTGTGCATTGTTATTTTTCTCAAATTTAAGATCTCTTTGAACTTTTTTTAAATCAGCTTTTGCTCCATTAAGTTGCCTCTCTGTGATATGAAGCTTTGTTCCTTCTGTTATAAGATTTTCTTGTAGATTAAGAATTGATTTTCTGCAACTTTCTACATCTTGTGATTTAAAGTTCGATAAACTGAGTTCACTTTCAAGTTGTTTATTCTTAACTTCAATCTTTTGCATTTCAAGTTTTAAGTTTGAGTTTTCGTCGGACAATTTTTGAAGCTTTGCGTTTTCTAGTTGTAGTTGGATTTTAAGGTTGCTGGATTGATTTTGAAGGTTTGAAATTTTTTCAATATTTTCCTTATTTGCTCCTGTTTTTAAGTTCAACTCTTCAGCTTGCTTAGATATTTTGTCTTCATAAACTTTGATTTGCATTTCAAGTTGCTTGATTTTTAAATCCTTTTGTTGATCAATCTTTGATTTTTCTTGAATTTCCTGCTCAGTTTTTGGAATTTGATCTCTTAAAATGTCATTAAGATTTTTAAGATTTTGAATTTCAGTGTCTTTTTTTTCTAGTTCCTCTGATTTCACTTTTAAGTCGTTGCTGAGCTTAACGTTTTCTAAAGTGATTCTTTCAACTTCTTTGTGAAGGTTCGAACTCTCAACTTTTAAAGTTTCAATCAAATCATTTAATTTTGGATTTTCGTTCCTCAATTTTTGATACATCGGCTTTAAATTTTCCAACTCGATATCTGGTTTAAAGCATTGTTGCTTAATCTTATTGATTGCTGGTTTGACTTGTGTCTTTTGCACTCGTTCATTTGTGCATGTGTTACCAAGTAAATCTAAATCAGACAACTGTGTTAACTTGTCAAAACTTGACTTTCCAATACTTTTGATTTTATTTTTACTAAGCCAGATCAATTTAAGTTCAGTGTTGAATTCAAATAGATCGTCATCTAGAGCTTCAATGTTGTTATCATCTAAATTAAGATGAATCAATTTTGTAAACTTTTTTAAATCATCTTGATGAACTTCCTTCAATCTTCCATACTTTATTCTTAAAGCCAATAAATTCTCAAATTTTTCACCAAGATTTGACGGAAAATATTCAGTTTTCATTTCCTCAATAACTAAGCCTAAAGTTTGATCATTTGTTTTTCCAGATAGATGAGAACCTTTAATTTCATTAATTTTGTCATCAGCTTTGTAGATGTTTAAGTCATTTTTGACAATGCATGAATAAATTTCATCACCATTGAATTCATAAGTATCATATTCACATTTTATATCAACAGATGATGCTATGACACATGTGAACAACGAGATGATAATGAGTGAAATCATGCTAATAGATTGTGTGTCTGAAATATGTCAAATACAGTAAGTTTAGTCATTTATAAGAAAATTTAAAAAGTTTTTTTTTTGTTTTTTTTAAAAAATGACCAAATAAAGGTCTGTCTTCTGAATAACCTACCAGATTATTCACCAGTTTAAGCCTAATTATAGATAAACGAACTAAATGTTGCTTCACTTCAAAGTATGAATTGATCTTCTAATTTGACATGATACTACATTCAAGCTAAGATCCTAGCGAGGGTATTCAAATCCAAATTTTAAGCCTCCGTAAAGTCAAATTTAAAATTATCGCACATTTTCATGGAATTGTTTAAAAAACTTGCGACATTTGGGGTCAAAGCGTGTAGTATTTATAATATGAATGTTTTTCTTTAATATTATAATAGAATCAATATGAGCAATCTTACCTTTCAAAATTAAATGTACACTTTTATAAAATTTACTTTTTAACAATTTAAATTTAAGTCCATTTTTCTAAAACGCTAAACAAAGTCTGATCTCAGATTGATGATTTTTTTTCATCACCATAAATCAGTGGTGGCCAACCTTTTTTGATGCTAAGCCATGACCAAAACCACACAAGGCATAATAACAATAATGTGAGAGGGTTCCAGCCAACTGATGTGTTACTTCACGTTGCGTCAAGCTAGAGGCACTGTGATCTTGATCGATTATAGGATCTTTTATGCTGTTGTACACAAGGCATGAGATTCGTGAGATTTATTGAATTGTTTCGGTGCATTTTTGTATGCTGTGGCACATGGGTTGACCATCATTGTCATATATGATGTTTTCTAAATGCACATTTTACGACACATGAAGATTAATTTAAAAATAATTTTTTTAAGGTTTTCCATATTCTGTATTTGATTTAGCATCAAGGATTTGATAAATAAAAATAAAGAGTTCAAGACAAGACTCATTTAATTTAGTACTTCGGTGCGCAATTATTGCAATACCAACACAGCGATCATGGGTTCGAGATTGGGTATGGGAAATTTTTCACTTGTCCTTTTTCGAATCATATGTACTGGAAATGAGGCTCACTGCCTTCTTTTGTAGGCTACAGTCAGACATGTCATCAAAGGAGTGGTTCGGATCCTACTATAAACTGTAGGTCTAGTTTTGAGCTGGAGGTCGGGCGAGCCATGGTTAAAGATATTTTATTTGACCTTTATATAGATAGTGACAACGATAGGCAAGCCGATTTCTGCGTGAACTTAAGTGAAGATGTGAAAAGGATTGTTATTAATTGCATTTCGGCAAACATTACTATGACATCGTGAATCCAAGATCAGCGTAAAAAATACCAAAACAATGCTAGCTTAAACTATTTTTATATTAGCACCAATCTGACAATTTGAACTTTATAAAATGAATCAAATAAGGTTCCCGAATAGCACAAGTGGGTTAATCGAACAGAAATCCGGCAGAAAGCAAGCATGACTCTGGAATGGTGCTGGCATTGATTTAAATACAGCAGGTTGTTCATAATATTCCTACCACAAAAAAAACCAAGGCGTGAAAACTCAGGATTAATCCTGAAAAATCCTAAAAATCCGAAAAAATCCCTGAGCAAATAAACGTGGAAATGTATAATCGCTTTTAAATCCCTGATGCATTTGATGAATAATTTCGAGATTTAAAAAAGATTTTACATTTCCACGTTCATTGGCTCAGGGATTTTTTCGGATTTTTAGGTTTTTTTTAGGATTAATCCTGAGTTTCCACGCCTTGCAAAAAACCCACATTTTTACAGTATTCCGTGACTTTTGAATTACTCATTTTATTTTTAAAAAAAAGAAACACTGAAATTGGCTCTTTATGATTAGTCTGACCATCTGCTTGGTCATTTTGGAGGAAATTTCTCTATTTTTTTTTATTTTTCAAAAATAAAATATTTTTTTTGTTCTAATTCGTACAGAAATCAAATAAAAATGTAAGACACTTTAGATATCCTCTATATTACTTTCAGGTCGTTTTTTTTAAAAAAATATCTGGTCGCCCTATTTATGAATAGGGTGACCATCTGCGTAGTTTTACAACGGACAGTCCTGTATTTCAAAACCCTGTCCTGTATAAATTTGAAAATTTTGTTCCAGGTCCTGTATTTTTTTCACGAAAATTTCCGTTAATTTTCAAATTTTACTCTATGTCCTGTATTTTTTAGGAAATTTATCAAATGTCCTGTATTTTCATAAAAATTCGATGGTCACCCTATTTATGATACAATTGCTATGATGAATAAAAAATTTCCAGCTTTGACAAGGCATGATTCAGACATAAAATGAAATTATTTATAAAAAATTATTATTATTAACAAAATCTCTATGCTCTTGCTTTGTTCAGACGAGTCAAATGCAATACGATAAAAAAATGTAAGTAGAAAAAAAAATTAAACTTACGTTTGTTAATTAATTGGCATCAATTCTAGGCATAATTACAAAATAGTAACTCTCAGTGTCTTATTAATCATAACTTTTTCAATTCAAATCACATCAACTCAATTAGTTTTAAATTGTTTGAGTAAAATAGAAGAATTTTCATTAATTAACTCTCAAAATTCTTGTAACGTTCAAAACATTCTGAACATTTACGAACCAAATACCGAAATACAGGATGTAGACGGACAGGCTGATTCATATACAGCATTACTGATTATCGATAAAAGAACTGAATTTTTACCATCGAACTTGGGAAAAAAATTTATAAATTTAATCGCATTAAAAGTTCTAGAAGGAAGATTAAAGGAAGTCAGACAAAATGAATTGAAATCTCTGACAAATTTGCAGTATATTAATTTTGATCAAAATGACATTGAGTTTCTTGACAATAATGTGTTTGACTTTAATCTTAAATTGAAGGTCATTTGGTTAGGTGGAAATAAAATAAGTTATATCGGAAATTCTATTTTTGACAATTTAATCCAACTTAATAATGTTGATTTTAGAAACAATACATGTGTGTCGACTTCGCAAATGAATTTAAAAAAGTTCAACTTTGCAGCATTGAATCTAATAAAAGAAAATTGTTCGAATGTTCAGGCTGAAGCTAATTACCTATTTTGCAAATCTTTATTTGTAAATACTGAAAATTTGAATTTACTTCAAAAATTGGAGGATTTAAAAGCAAAAAGCGCTGAAATTGATCGAAATTTGAATGCGTCACAACAAGAATACAAAAAATATAAGAAAGATGTTGACTCAAATGAGCTCCAGAGAAGTACAGACCTTAAAACTTTAGCAAAAAACGAAAATCAATTAAAGCAAAATATTTCAATTCTCAAAATTCAAATCAACTTACTTAATAGACGAAATGACAATTTAACAGGACCAACAACAAGTTTAAGGAAAAATTATACTGACTATGAAAATCAATTTACCAAACTTAATGCAAATTCGAGTAAAGTTGCTGCAAAATATTTGGAAACCAGGGAGGAGCACATCAAATATGCACAAAATGTCGACAACATTAAACAACAATTATCGTCTGCAACTAAGGAAAATGAGAATTTAAAGACAAAATTGGAACGTTTAAATTCAAGTCAAAATGAAAGCTCAAATGATGACTCAAATTGGTGGACTAAATTAATTTTGTTGACTTCAACTGCACTAATAGTTGCAATTTCAACAACTATAGATGTCTTTATTTCTTTTAAAAATTAGATTTAATGATGTTCATATTTATTTTATTTTTTTCATAAAGTTATCTTTCCCGTTTATTTATTTTATGCCAAATAATTTTATGATGAATTAAGTTTTTCAGATTAACTGATATTCTGTGTTAGCCAGCTTTTAAAAGGGTTAAAAAAAACTTTACCTATTCAGATCGATTGTGATTCATAGTTGCGCTAGGGTGATTTACAGCTAATGAGAGTTAAATGACAGTTTAACGAGTGAGGATGCGCCAAACCACTGCACTCAAACCTAGGCCTACAATTTATAGTGGGATTCGAACCACACCTTTGATGAAATTTCTGCCTGTAACCTACAAAAGAAGGTTGTGAGCCTCATTTCCATTACATATGATTCAAAAAAGGACAAGTGAAAATTTTTCCCATACCCAGTCTTGAACCCATGATCGTTGCCAATCGATGCCTTTTTAACCTCATTATATATATTGTATGTCACAAACCCTCAAATCAGGGAAATAAATATAACTTGAACAACCAACAAAACAATAAAGAAAGAGGAAACATGATGATGTTGAGCTTATGGACTCAGAAGACATCAGTCCGTATACATCGTATTTTGCTGCTAGGAATCTACTAACGTCAAGGAAAATCTCGAGACATGCCAAACTTACCAAATATAAGACGCTCATACGTCCAGTAGTGCTTTATGGTTCAGGGTCACGGAATATGACTTCAGCAGACGAGCATGCAATTGGTGTTTTTGAGAAGAAGATCCTCAGAGGCATCTTTGGACCTAAGAAAGAAGAAGATTTTTACAAGTTTACTCTTTACAGAAGTTATCATTAAAAGTATTAAAGTAAACAGGCTCTGATGGACTTTAAATTTTAAGAGGAGACCTGAGGAAGCTCCATTAAGTAAGGTTTTTAAGTCAGACTTTGTGGATGTAAAAAGAGCATGTGGAAGGCCAAAGAACCCATGGAAAGAGGCTGTTGATAGAGACAGTATTGCATTAGGTATAGGAAATTGGCAAACGGTATCCAGCGATAGAGCCAGTTTTAGGCGGCATCTGAGGGAGGCCATGGATCACAATTGATCTGTAAAGTTATCGAAGTAAGTCAGTTCAATACAATGGTGCGGAACTGATGAAATGATCAAAATATAATTCATCAGTTTCACACCCTTGATTCCATCTTATCAATCATTACCTTAGCTTTAACTTTCTACAGTTTGAGAACGGACCACTCATAACCAAAGATGCTGTCAATTATATTAATTAAGAAATAATTTTTTTATTAATCATTAAAAATGACAAATACAATTTACTACAAGCTCGTATGATTCACATCCTGTGGAGTTTCAGAATTACTGTCCATTTCATTGATTAATCTCCTTATTCTTAGTAAAGAAAATCTTCGAAAAAAATTCAATGTTGTGAAGCTATCAAGTACTGATAAGATGAGTGCTAATATTAGCACAAAACATGTCAAAAATTCAGTTGTTGGTGACGAATCTTTAGAAGTTATATCCAATTCTAGTGCTTTATATTCCATTTTTAACTTTTCATTTTCTTCATCCAATAGAGCTTTACTTAGTTTATAATTATAAAAATCAATCGTCATTTGTCTAATTTCTTGTTTCAAATTCTTTGTTTTTTGTTCATCTTGCTTGATTTTTTCAGTTTCATGTTTGATGTTTTGCTGGATTTCAGTGATATTTTGTTGCATTTTATTAAAATTCTCTTGAATTTGACGATTTTCCGATGATTTCGCAGTAATTATTTGTTCAAGGGTTGAAATATCAAATTTCAATTGAGTTTGCGTTCTTGTTAAGTCTTTAACCTTATTTTTAAACTTTTGTTCATTTTTGGCTTCTTGGTCTTTCATCTCTTTCATCATATTATCAACTTGCTTTACATTTTCATCATTTATGGTAATTTTGGCTTCAATATAATTGAATTTAGTATTCAAATTTGAATTCTTTCCTTTAAACTGGTTAATTTTCCATTTGTAATATTGAACTTCGTCCGTAAAATTTGAACAATTATTGTTAATTTCGATAATAGCACCTTTAACTTTTCTCCTGTCTGTTGCCTTAACTTTAATGCAAAATGTATTCATCATATCCAAAAACTTTAACTGTGCTAAATTTTCAAATACATTTTCACCAACACTTGTAATTCGATTCCCATCAAATGAAACATATTCAAGTTGAAGATTAAACTTAAACAAATCCTTCTCAATAATTTTTAATTCATTTGAATCAAAGTCAGCATAACGAAGCTTCGGCATTGATTTGAGATCAATCTGGTCGATTTTCTTTAATTTTCCGTCTTTAACTCTTAATGTGTGTAAGGCTGTGAATTTTTCACCCAAATTGACTGGCAAATAATCGGTATTCCTATTGATTATCGATAATCCTGTAACGTTATTTAAATATTTGCTTGGCAAATGAACTCCATGAATTGAATTTATTTTCTCGTTTGGTGTACGGACATTAAGATTGTTGATAACATCACACGAGTAACACGTATTTGTGACAAAATTAATGTTCAAATATGTACAATGAACATCTGAAAATGCAGCACTTAATGTGATGCCATGCATAATAAGGATAAAGAGTATGAAAGTTAAAACAACCATCCTGAAATAGAAAAGTTTAAATTAATTTACTTATTTAAATAAACAAATATGACGAGGAGATGATAAGAGGTTAGCAAGACCTACTTAATTGAATCGCAGTACCTCCAGCTGAAAGGCTGAGCCCTTCACACATCTACATTATAAAAGCCCAATTCACTGATTCACTGACTCTAGAACGGAAGCCATGTGAAGCCAATAATTTGAGGAGTGTTGATAAAGTGGGGGTTGGGTGTTAGGTATGGAGCAAGGTTGGTCCGAGTTTGAGGGGGTTTGTGAAGTCATGAAAAGTTTTGTGGTAGGATTGACCTTAAAAACTCTACGATTACTAGCGTCTTAGAGTTATTTAAAAAAAGAATCAAATTTAAACCCTGATAATAGGTACCACGGGCGCCTCCAAATAGCATAGTTATTATTATTAAGACTTACCTTAGAAAATAAATTAATGACAGCTGTTGAGCATCCGTTTATATACACCAAAAGTACAAATGAAAATGAAAAATTTTCTGCTTTATTTCGTAATTTAATAAGTTTTAAAATTGATGAAAATTCCAGTTTTGTGTAATAAATCATAAAACGACTAATTTATTTAAACTTTCAATCTTTCAATGAATAATAATAAAATTTGTAATAAATAACACTGAACATTCGCTTCTTTGGTCATCATGAGTAACAATATTGCGATAAGTAACCAGATTTAAATTACTCAGTAAACCTTACAAAAAATATTTTGATAATTAAAACCCTTCATTTGTGTTTCTTTCTTTCTTTCTGTCATTCCGCTATAAGCCCCGCCCACTTATTTACAAATTTTCAAAATGGCGATTATTTTGTTTTTATAAATAAACTAGTATAGTCCCCCGTGAAGCATCATGGAAATTTAAATTTTAAACACCAAATTTTACTTTCTCGTGATCGATTATTTTTTTGTATTTACCAAATATATCCGCCATTATGAATTGCACCAAAATAAAAAATCCACCATATTAAATTTTTTACTAAAACAAAAAAATTGAAAAATATCCGCCATTTTGAATTTTTACGATACTGAAAAGGGTGCGTGGCTTAGGCGGAAAAGAGAATCTCTGTGTTGATACTTAATTAAGAAGTTCAAGAAATGAGATTTGACAACAATTTAAAATTTTCGATCCCCACATAAACCCAAATTATGTCCTTTGCTTCACGAATGGCACTAAAAGCTGCCCGGACGGAATATCATACTAGTTTAGTAGTACGAATGACCATAATAATGCTAACAAATAATCCACAGAGGTTTGACAATGCGTGACTTATCGACGAGTTTTTCATTCCTTCTGCAACAATTTTATTGATTTTAAGAATATCCAAACGAAGTCTAGTTTCCACTGATTCAATGACGCTTTCATATAATGCATGTTTTGTATAGTTTTTCATGAATTCATGTTGTAAATTTGCTAAAGATTCTTTCAACTTTGTAATTGTTGCTCCATTGCCTGAAAACTGTAATTCAGAATCTTCAAGCAAATCCAAATTTCTATTATTTAATAATTCATTTTTTCGTTCTAAATAATTATAGTAAGCAGTGCTATTGTTGCATTTTTTCTTAATTTCTGATATCAAAAGATAAACTTCTCTGAAGTTTTCCGCCTTTTTATTAACACAATCGGAAAAAGCCATGTCTAAAAGAATAAGTTTCTTCAAATTGTTAAAGACATTCAATCCAACACTTTTGATATGATTGCCATCCAGCTGAATGCATTCTAAATTTGGATTAAATTCAAATAAATTTTTTTCAATCACTTCCAATTCGTTTGAGTTGAAATCAATGAAACTCAAATTTGGCATTGATTTTAAATCATTTTTGTCAACTTTCTTCAATTTTCCATCTTTGACTCTTAAATAAGTCAATTTCGAAAACTTTTCCCCCAAATTTATTGACAAATATTCCGTTCGTTTATTGTGGATTGATAGACCTTCCACTTTTTTGAGATTTTCTCTCGATTTAAATCCAATTATCATCTTTATCTTCGTATTTGGCACAAAAATATTCAGATCTTCATATACATTGCATGAATATTTACGGACGTTATTAAAATTCAAAATTATAAACGAGCAATGCATGTCTAAGGATGCACACATGTTTATTATACAAATGAAAGGAAGAAATGCCGTAATGAATTTAAAGTTTAAGATTTTTTGCCTAAAATTAAGAAAGTTTTTGACAAAATTAAAAAAAAAATTAAAAATTTACTTTTGTAGATGTTGACTAGCAACTTAGTAGCTTGTAGTTTGCATGATTTTGGCTACAAAAACTGAAAATTTCGTAATGGACCGTTCATTTATGACATCCAGGGGGGTGGAAGGTTTACAAGAATATAACAATGGAAATTCCTGGAAATCCATTGTTCTTTTTTGAAAAATGAGTGAACGTCATTAGTGAACGGCCCTTCAGCTTACATTATGAAACCTTAAAATTTGAAACTAATCTGATATTAAGTAAAGTTAAAACAATACTGCGACTTAATGTTTTTTATTTTTATTACAATCTTATTTAGACTAGTTGAGTCATAAAATTTTTTAAAAGTCAGCATAAAAAATAATAATAATGTTTACAATTGTGATGATGAGTAATAAAGCATATCCAATTACAATTGTGTAAGGATGACTCTTTAAAAGATTATCTCCATTTAAAATGTTGTTATTAAGCAATTCTGTTTTAAATTCAGATATATTGTAACTTAAAGTAGATTCATTAAAAGTTTTACATGTTCCTTGAGAATATTCGTTGTCTTTCGGAATCGAGTGAGAATTGTCGGATTTATCTTCGCTTTTATGTTGCATAAGTTGAAATTCTCTCATGTTTTTTTTGAAACAATCTATTCCTTCCTGAAATCTCGTTGGTGAAGTTGAAAATCAATACAACAAAGTTTTCAAATTGCTTCATTTTACTTGCTAAACTTGGGTCCTTATTGTCATCGAATAAATTACTCAGATTCAATTCCTCATATTTTTGTTTCAATTGCTGGAGTATTGTAGCTGAATCGTAACATAACAGATTAATTTGGTCCACAAACGTTGCCATTTCACTTTGATTTTTCACCCTCATTGAGATGCAGACAATTCTACTTAAATCTATATCTCTTAAGTTTTTCATATTCTCAAATATTGACTGACCAACAACCTTAATATTATTACCTTCGAACCAAATTACTTCCAGCAAAGGATTAAATTCAAATAAATTATCATCAAGAACTTCCAAATCATTGGCATCGGGATTTAAAAATCTTAATTCATGAAATGAGATAAAATCCTTTTGAGTTACTTCCTTTAATTTAACATTTCTGATTCTTATTGCGACTAAATTCTTAAATTTTTCACTCAAATTCGCTGGCATGTATTTCATCACGAATTGACAATCCACTTACGTCATTTTCATTTTTTTCTAGCAGGTGAGTTCCTTCAACTGAGTGAATTTCAGTATTTCTTGCTGTTATTATTAAACTGCTATGCACTGAGCATGTATATTGGTCTAATATTCTGTCGAAATCTATTTTTGTAAAATTGCTTGTTATGGATTTTACATTAATCATGTTTAGCTGAATCATTTTTGCACATTCTACCACAGATTCTATGAGTTTACAGATTAATAATCCCGAGTGGACACAGCTATTTAAAGTCCATTATTGGACAGTCATTTACCAGTCTTTTAACTTTAGAACTAGACTTTAACTAGACATATGTGAAATTCCTATGTCCAGTTAAATGGAACGTGCAAATATGTCATTAGTTGTCCCTAAGTCTAGTTGCAAAGGCAAGTCAATGGATACTTTCTCGCCATCATTAGGCAAGTCAATGGCAAGCTTTTAACTAGTTCTTTGCCCACTCGGGAATGATATGTTTTATGGCTAGTTCTAGGTTTGAGTCGGAGGTCTGGCGAACCCTCTCTCGTTAAACTATCATTAGCCTTGTAACGCATAAAACGCGCAGCTATGGATTTCTAAGGTTTGAATGCTAAAGTTTATTTTTTTTATGGCTCAAGGCACCGTAATAAATTTTTTGTGGCTTTTATTTTATTGTTTTTTAGATATTTATTACCAAAATGATGAACAGTTTAAAATGGATGATGTTTAGCGAATTATTAAAACTGATTAAGACTAATATGAAAAATAATTAAAAAATAGTCAATATTGATGTGAAGGAAATTTAATTTTACAAACTCTCAGGTGGATTTGAAGCCAAAATTTTAATGCTTGATCGAAGCACAAAAACGACTGACTTCAACTGATAAGCCTTCAATTTATAGACAACTTAACAAACGAAACTTTCGTCAAGTCATCCAAATGAGGCATATTCCTAAAGCGAATCTATAAAGCTATGCCAATTTAAGCAGTTAAATGCCTTGCTGGTCGAATAGGTAAGGTGCTTGACTCAAATTTGGTATGGTAACTCGAAGGTCGTCGGTTCGAATCCAGCCATTTCCAAATTTGTTCTTTTTCAGAAGTTTAGATACTTCGACTGCTTAATGTACGAGATCAAGCCATAATTGAGAATTTTGGGCAACGTTGGATTAAGGAACGGACCAGGAACTTGAAGTGTAGTGGGAGAAATAGGAACGAGAGCTACAAGATTACCTTATAATGGAATATTGTCAGAACGGACCTGAAATGTATCACGTCACGCCCACAGAAGATTGAAACGAGAGCCTGAATTTAATCGAAACCTAGATTTGAAGATTAGAAGCTTGATTCTACGTCACCCAAAGTGGTATGAATTGTATCACTAATCAATGTAAAAAGTAAAACATGTTTAAATACTAATTCTTCCGGACGGTAACGTCGACAAATAAATAATAATAATAATAATAATAATGTTATAATCCCTAAACTGCTCGATTGCTGCTTTGAAGACAGTTTTAGCACAGTTTTAGATGTTGTTGGTAATGTTTTGGCAAACAGCAGAAAAGCAGCATGGTGGTTATAGTGTTGGTCAACCAACTTTAAGGCCCCTGATTTGATCCCAAAAAATGTCTTGTCGGATTTTTTGCTGTTTTAGTCATGATAACTGATTTGTGCGGTTAGTGACGCGCCAATTGTGGATAGGTTGATATACCCTGGTCCATGCAATTTACAGAGTTACACGAATCAATCGTCAGTAATGAAATTAATCATTTAATTTTAATGTCAACGCATCAACAAAAATCAAAATTTATAATTTAAATTGAGAAAGACCGAAGAACTCATGGAATGACTGTGTAAGCGATGCAAATGTACTTGAAATTAGAAACTGGCAGAAGTTGTCTAAGTACAAAGCCAGTTTTTGACGATCTCTGAATGCAGCAACAGGCCCTTGTGCGCCTTAGCCAAGGATGGAAGGAAATATCATTTAAGATGATAAAGGCTGCTGCTGGAACTCTTAAAATACGTTAAGTATAAAATTAAAAAAATTAATATTGAAAAACAGAAATAAAAAATAACTTTTTTTTAATTGTTTAATTTTTTAACTATTAAACTGCTGTATTTAAGAAGCCAAATGGTCTGAACTGTATTTTTAAGGTATGTGACTTCTTAATTAATTATCGTAAAATTATTATTTCTGATGATATTTTCATATTCTGCAATGCTTTCTTTCAAGCTTTGTTCAATTTGGTGTGAAGTTTTCAAATCTTGATTTAATTTTTCTATAATATTGTAACAATTGCCATATTTGTTGCTTAGAATATTTTTTAGTCTTACTTCTGAGTCAGTCAGGATATTAATCTCATTTTTTAGTTGACTTTTTTCCATAAGAAGTTCACTAATTGCTGTCTCAACCTCTTGTGACCATTCATAAGTTTTGTTATTAATAGTTTCTGTGAGTTTTCCTTGTTTGGTTAAAAGTGTAAGCTTCTCGTACTTTAATTGCTTATTATCCATTAATATGGCCTTTAGTCTATTATTCTTCATTGCCATTGAAGCTTTGATGTTTTCAAGCTGTTCTGAACATTTCTTCCCTAAAATTAAAAAAATGATACAATTTACTGTTTAAGAGCTGCTTAAGAGCAAGCTTTCCTTATTTAGAAAAATCAATTCCATAAACTTACATAAATTAAGCTGAGTGTCGTTAAAGTTTTCAAATTCTTGTTGTAGTTGACTTGATGTTTGTAATTCTTGATGAATTAAGCATTCAAATGTTTTATTTTCCAAAGTTTCATTGAATTTTACCTCTAAGAATTGTAGCTTTAATTTTTCTCTGTCCAGCAACTCTTTTGTCTTATTCAGCTCCATTAGAGACACATTTTCAATTCCACCTAAACCTATTATCTTTGATTTAATTTCTTTTATCTGATCTTGTAGTTGGATATTCTTGTTTTGGCATTGAACGTTTGCCGTTCTTAATTTTTTGATTTCACTGTCTTTACTGAAAATCTCTTGATTTTTGTGCTTTAAAACTTTTTCAATTCTTTCTTTTGATTTGGTCAGTGCAGCTATTGTGCTGGCTACTTCCATCTCAAATTTCTTTAGATCCGTTTCTCTTTTTTCTAGTTGACTATTAAGTTTGCTGTATTCTTTCATTTTTTCATCAATTTCGTCAGATGGAGTCTCTTTGTTGATGCTTTTTGATTCTAACTGTATTTTGTTGGAGTTGAGGGCTTCCACGAACTTCTGGTTTTGTATTGATAAATTTTCATATTTTTCGATTGATTTTGAGTAAGCTACTTGTAGATCAATGAGTTGGCTTTCAAGATGGTTGATTTTATCGGTTTTTTCTGCCAATTTTGTTGTAAAATTAAATTTTTGATTCTCTGTATTTTTGGACTTATTTTGACATTTTGAAAGCTGAAGTGATGTTTTGTTCTTATCAATATTGACATTTTCAATGATTTCCTCAAATTCTACAATTTTTTCATCTCGCTCTTCAAGTTTCGATTTGATTTTTGACAATTTTTCTTCAGCTTCTTTCTCCTTAATTTTCATTAGTTGTGTCAAATTACGAACTACAACTTTTAACTCCTCAATTTCAATATCCTTGCTAGAAACTAAGTTGATTTTGCTTATATTACCAATTTTATCCAGTTCAGAATTAGTCAAAACTTTTAAGTCTTTTAAATTTTTTTCTTTATATTTTTGTTTGAATTTCACAAGCTCAGCTTTAGCGTCAAAGCAGTTATTCTTAACTTCACTCAAAAATTCAGCCATTCCACGACTATTTGACATTCTTTTGGATATGCAGACATTTCCATTTAAATCTAAATCATCTAAATTCTTCAAATTTTCAAAAACTGACATTCCAATGTTTTTAATTCGATTACTTTCTAACCAAATGATTTCTAGCTGTGGATTAAATTCAAACAAATCTTCATCAAGTGTCTCAATATCATTTGCATCCAAATTTAAGTATCGTAACTTTAAAAACGATTTTAAATCATATTGACTTATTTCCTTTAATCTTCCTTGTCGGAATTTTAAAGCTAATAAATTTTTAAATTTATTTCCCAAATTTTCCGGAATAAATTGAACTTTTTTGTCATTAATTGACAATCCAGTGACGTCATCGCTTATTTTGCCAAATTTATGTGACCCACGAAACATTTGAATCACAACATTTTTAGAACTAATCATCAAATTATTCTGAACATCACATGTGTACTGATTAATGAGTATGTCAAAATCTACACTTTTAAAGTCGCATTCAATGTCAACAGATGTGACACATTTAAATAATATTGTAATGCTGATTATAAGGAACCAATCTTTTGAATTTCTAAAATTAAAAAGAATAGTTTTTAAAGCTTAATTAATCAATTACAGAATGTTAGATTTCAGGAAGATAAATACTTAAAAAGGTTTGATTCTAACTTACATCATTTCTTAAAAAATTTAAAAAAAATAATTAATAATTCACATTTTAATATTCTTTCTTCTCTTAAATATTCATTGCGACTGAAGTATCTCAAAAAAATAAATAAAAATCCTTCTCTCAGCGATTCACTGAAATAATTTTTTTTTTCAAAAAACATTTTTAACTAGTATAGTCTCCCGTCAAGCATGACGGAAAAAAATCAATTTAAAACCCCCAATTTTACTTTTTACTTTAGCGTTACTTTTATTTTCCAACAACTTTACTTTAGGTTTTACAGGTTTACAATTTCTTACTTTACTTGATTTTACTTTGATTTTACTTGATTCTCAACATTTCATAACAAATCCGTTTCAGGTCAACATCGACAAAACATCCGCCATTTTGAATTTGTACGATACTGAACTTAGCCGGAAATCACAGGAATTACTACAAATGTGGTAAAACCTTATATAAGATTTTATTTCTCATTTTTTAATTAAACTCGAATGTTTTCTTGGATTTGATTATTTTTTACAAATTTATCAATAAATTCAAAACAGTTTTGCTGATCAGGATTTTGTTGTATTTAATAAAAAATAATAAAAAATCATTAATTTACTTCCAGTTCACCAAAATGTTAAGCTTTAAAAACACTAATCCAGATGCGGTAAAAAAGATAAATCATTGAAAGTGCACAGCTTATTTAAGCTAGATGCACTGTGATTCAATTAGATCACAATCGATTGTACCACACCCTTCAAGATGCTGTATAAGTCATTCAAATTCAAACAATTTCAAAAACACAAATCGAGACTATTTACTTGAAATAAATAAGTCAAGTAATCGATTTTGGAACATTTACCATTTAAAGCAGCACATTGCAAACACTAGTTTACAGACTTTGTTTAAAAGACCGTTGCGTGGGCAAAGCTATAACAAGAGAAGCAAGCATTCTCACAATAACTTTTTGGAGAGCACAAGCATTCCCTTTGAGAGAAAGAGATTCATCATAAAAAAATATCAAATTCAGAATTTTATGAGCTTTTAATAGTCACTTTAATAATCTTCTGGTTCAATTGGTTCAACAGCAGCTGTTCTCTGACCAAAACACTTTTGAATGATAATAAAATTTAAAATTGCAATAACACACACGGCTGCAATGCAAACAAAAATCCAAATAATGTTGTTCAAGCTTGTTTTCTTTACAATTTCATCTATTTTTTTTTTGTGTGTTGCTTCTATTGTTTTCGGAGTTGTTGTAGTTGCTTGAGAACTATCACATGAACTTCTAACAGCATCCAATAAATCTAGGATGCCAAAACTATGTGTTGATCTTTTAGAGATGCAAATATTTTTATTTAAATCCAAATCTTTTAATTTGTTTAAATCGGAGATCGAAGCCGATTTTTTCGGCTTAACGCAATTTTTGATTTTTTTGATAGAAAAGAACCATTTAACTACCATTTTAAGTATTTAAATTGAACTTTATATGTTTTACTATGATTCTGTGTAATATTTTGTCAGCATGTAGCTATAGTAAGCTCAGAATTTCAATTTAGCCGATTTTAAGCCGATCGGCTTAAATTTCGGCTTAAAATCGTTTAACTTGAAATTCTGAGCTTACTATAGCTACATGCTGACAAAATATTACACAAAATCATAGTAAAGCATGTAAAGTCCAATATAAATACTTGAAATGTGTGTTAAATAGCTTTTTTCTATCAAAAAAATCAAAAGTTGAGTTAAGCCGAAAAAATCGGCTTCGATCTCTGGTTTAAATTATTAAAAGTTGTGATTCCGACACTGTTGATTCTATTCTTTTCGATCCAAATCAACTCAAGATATGGATTGAATGCAAATAAGCCATCTTCAAGAATTTCAATTTTATTCGAATTTAAGTTAAGGTAAGCAAGTAAAGTAAATGGTTGGAAGTCACTTTGATGAATTTCCTTCAGATTGCTTTCTTTAATTCTAATTGCAATCAAGTCATCAAAATGTTCTGCTAAATTTATTGGCATATATTCGACATTTTTGTTTTGAATTGATAGTCCTTCAACTGCTTGATTGTTGCTAGAATGTCTATTGAGGATGCTTGCATTTTTGCTTCTAATTGTTAAAAATTCTTCAACAGCACATGAATATTTTGTTGATAATGAGTAGTACTCGTTATATTTAAATTCACATTGAATGTCAACCGTATAGACATTATTAAATAATGCGATGCTGATAAGGAACAGCATAAAGTTTGTGAGTCTAGAAAGCAATTTGAATTAAAATTTGTTCTTGTGAAAAAAGTAAACTTGAATATAATGTTGGGTTAAGAACGTTCAAAACGGTGTTTTAGGTGAAATTCACATTAGAGGTCGTTCACTTATGACGTCCAACATTAAGGGTCACTCCCCTCGCCCCTGGATGTCATAAATAAACACCACCTTACTCAGTTGTGTGTCTAGATTAGTGTTGCCCAAACTGTGTGCCGTAGGACAACCCTAGGTGTGCCGTGAAAAATTATCTAAAGTTAAAGTGTGCCGTTGCTGAAAAAAGTTTATACAACACGGGTTTACACTAGATACATATTGATTCTGGAATTTCCAGTACTTACATCATTTTCATTTTTAGTTCAATTGTTTGTAGAGTAGGAATATACAAAAGTACTTCCTTCCTCTTGCGAGTCTTAAATCAAATGAATTTAATTATTCATTATCATCGCTAATGCTTTATTATTTAATAGCTTCTCGTCTTTAATCATAAAAAGAGCTTCTAATTAATTAAGATGAGATTATTTACTCATTAATTTCCAGTTCAAAAATATTGTGGCAATGAAAAGACCTTTATTTAAATATTCATCATGAAATCTTCACCAATCTACGAATTATTAGTTCAATAATATTACAAAAAATTAAGGCTACAAAAATAAATAATTCAAAAAATAATCACATATCACCACAATAAGAGTCATCAGCCTCAATTTGTCTCAAAACAATTGTCTTCTTACGATAATATTTCATTGCCACAAAAACATTAACAACAGTCAAAAGAATCATCAGCGCAGTTCCAATTATGATCCAAGTTCCTTTATTTGATTGTGGATGATCTCCTTGATGCACTATAGCTTCAGCAATTTGTGTCTGATTTATCAAGTCACTGCTTAATTCATCGTTGAGAATTTCAAGATTTCTAAGTTCCTCTTCTGATTTTTTGAGATTTTCTCTGAGACTTTTTAAATCATTTTCCAATTGTTGCTTTGCTATTGTAATGTCTTTAAGATTTGTAGACAGCTTGACTCGTTCTGAGTCAGTATCAGCAAATTTAGTTTCAGTTTCATTGATTTGAAGCTTTAGTTGATTAATTTCCTGTTCGTAGGTTAAGATTATTAATGAATTATTGGCAATGATGTCTGTTAAGTTGTTGTTGTCAATTTGACTGATGTCAAGCTGAATTTCAAGTTTTGTGGCATTTTGACGCAATTTATTTTCAATGTTCTTGTAATTTAATAGTTGATCTTGAAGTTTATTGATTGTTTGTTGAGTTTTGTTATTCAAATGTTGATAATTATTGAATTTTTCATTTAAATCCAGGAATTTTATTTCCTTTTCATTCAGTTTTTCTTGGAGTTCATCGACTTTATCTTGAAATGTGTTCTGATTTTGAGCAGATTGGTTCAAGACAGTTTTGTATTTTTCCTCTAACTTTGACATTTGTTCAACTACTTCGTGGTTCTTTAAGTTTGATTGTTGTAGTTGTGCTGACAATAAATTTGACTTGGTTTGTTTATCTGCAATCTGTACATTAAGTTGGTCAATTTTGATATGCAATTCCTTTACATTAGTAGCTGTTTTATCAGTTAAATTGCGAACGGAGGTAGTCAATATTTCAATTTCCGTATCTTTTACATTTATTTGACTATTTAACTCATCAACATCAAGGATCAACTTTGAATTGTTTTTATTAATTTCTCGATACTTGATCTTTAGCTTAGTCAACTCTACATCTGGATTGTAGCACTTTTGTTTCATAATTGCCACATTTGATGACATGTCGTATCTACTTGACATTCTTTTTGAGTAGCAAGTATTGCCATTCATATCCAAATCCCTTAAATTCTTTAAGTTCCCAAATGTTGACTGACCAATTGCCTTAATCTTATTTCCTTCAAACCAAATTACTTCCAATAATGGATTAAAATCAAATAAATCATCATCAAGCACTTCCAAATCATTGGCATCGAGATTAAGGTACCGCAATTTTGGGAATGTCTTAAAATCACTTTGGCTTATTTCCTTTAATTTTCCTTGTCTAATCCTCATTGCAATTAAATTCTTAAATTTATCTGCTAAATTTGATGGCATGTACTGCATCTTTTTATCACGAATTGACAATCCAGTGACGTCATTATTACTTTTACCAGCATTATGGGATCCCCGGACTGACTGAATTTTTGTATTTTTAACCGTTATCATTAAATTAACTTGAACAGCGCATGTATACTGATTATTTATTGAGTCAAAATCATCATTCTTAAATTCACATTGAATGTCAACAGAATTGACATTGTGGAATGAAAATATGATAAGAAGGAATGAGATCAGCTGAAGATTACTCTTGAGTCTAAAAATAAAAAAAAAATATGCATCATTTGTTTTGGGTTTTACAGCGAGGCGACTGTTTTTAAGGAAAGGCGTTTGGCTCAAATTTGGTATAGTAACTCGAATTGGTTCAAATTCAATCATTTCTTGATTTGTTCTTTTTATTAAAGTTCAGATACTTTGTCTGTTCGAGACGGACGAGATTAAACTATCGTTGAACATTTGTATGATTTCTTGTTTTTGGAATCGAGATCAGGAAATCCAACCTTATCTAAGTTTTATGGAATCGGGATTGAATTTTTCGTCAATAAAAGCAGCGAAATACAATTAAATTTAAAGAAAATATTTTAATTTTTTTTAATGTCTGTAAGTTTAGGACACAATCGAATTAATTGTCCACTTTTGAGTCTATTTTGCAAAACTCAAAGTCGACGAAATTTTGTATGGAGTCGAGTCGAGTTTACCATGCAAAATCGATAAAATATCTCCAGTCGACTTCGAGCTATGCTATTTTGGAACGAGTAAAAGACAACACTCTGGGAAAAATTATGTAAATTTTCAATCAATACTTTTCCATAATTTTGATTTTTAATAGTTTTGCAAGTGTTTACTTCCTTCTTCAGAGATTCCTTGATTGATACTCGTTGAAACTCTGTTTGGATGACTTTAAAGGTTTTGAATACCAACATAAACTTTTATATTTCTTCAAAAAAAAAACCAGCTATTATTGAATCATTTGTAACTTATAAAAACATAATTTCTTTTACATTTTAAATTTATTTTCCCTAAATATAACAATTAAAGCACATATCCTTAAAAAGAAGATAAACAGCCAATATTTCAAATCATATACAATGCTAGCTTTCCTTTACTTGGTTATATGAAAATAAATTTTTCTCCACCTTTGAAATTTGTGGACTTTAAAACCCCTTAATTCAGGTACTCACATCATTTTTTCGAACTATCTTAATTAATTTTATTCTTTAATATTTCACAATATATTCTTTGCTAATTTAAATATGCAAATCTTTTCACTTTCAGCTATTAAATATAACTGAATATTTATAACACTTATTAGCTAAGAGTGTGGAACAATGATTGAGAGCATTTTATTTGTTCGCGAGTTTTTTATATTTTATCAATCGCTATTTCCGTTCAAAATGTCATAATTTAATAAAAATAAACCAGAGCTCGAAGTCAACTCGAGTTGACTCGAATTGACTCGGGTTTTTTCGAGACGACTCAACTTTTCTTGAGTTGACTTCATTTTTTCGAGTCGACTCAAGTCGAGTCTATCGATTTCGAGCTCTGAAATATTCCCTAAAGCTTATGAATTTGCGTCATGAATTATTGCTATTGTGTTTGTTTTATTGTTGGCATTAGAAATCTTCAAAACATAAATTGAGCGTGATTTTAAAACACTAGTGACCGAACTTTGAGGCACGACGCACAAGTATAGTTGAAAAAAGAAAGAAATCAACAGTGCCGCGATGAAAAAAATGTTGACCACGACTGTGAATAGCTATTTCAGATATCTGTGCACTAGTTTACATTTTAATCATTATTGTTTTTAATAATCAATTTTTAATGGAATTTATCATGAATCGAAAACATGTTTGAACTAGAAGTGCCTTAAAACATACTGCCATGTATATATTTATTAAATCTTGCATCTAACAAAATTAAGTTGGTTCTGAATTATGCCATGAATAATTGATATTTCAAAACTCCTCCAAAAGACATGGCTTGTTTCCAATTTTGATCAGCATTGAAAGATTTCTATTCTGAGTATAAAGAACTTACTTAACTATTAGAAGCTTAATTTAAATGCAAACATGAGTAAATTATGAACAAATTTATAATCTTAATTTCATTCATTACTGTGGACGCTAAAAAGCTACTCTAGATGATCAACAAGCGCACAACAAGGATGGACTTGTGCCTTCTTCTAGTTTTTTGAGAATTGAATTCAAGGGGGACAATACCCTCCTGGTTACGCGACCATTAGTCATCTACTGAATTTTCAAATAGTTTTGTGGCGAAAGATTCATATTTTGTGGATATAAATGTAAATTAGTGGGATTTGAAAAATGAATGCCTGCCAGCCAGCCAAACGTCCATATAAGGGCATCGTTAAAAAAGAAAAATAAGCTAAAAATATGTTTTGAGGAAATAAACATAATCATAAATATCATCTTATTGTTTTCTTCATATTTTATTCAAAAAGGGCAACAAAAAAATTAATTTTCTAAGAAAAGTTTTTTTTAAACTTAGTTGCTTTTATAAGCTGCTTTAATAATGTCAATAAATAATTTGTGCATCCTTTTGATAGTTTCAACCCTTCAAATCAATGGAAATAAAATTATTGATCCAATCACTACAGAAAGTGCTCAAATAGCTCAAGTCATCGTAGATCTTGCAAGAAATTTCAATAAAAAATTCAACGAGCAATTTGATTTGATTCAATATGGCCGATTCTCGATGGAAATTTGCAATGAAATTGCTAAAATATTTCCAAATATAATTTTAAAGAAGTTATTAATTGAGACAAAAGGAATTCCTGTCAAAAATCCAACAATTGTTGTTTGCCAAAAATTTTCGGATATTTTAAGCTTAACTTTGAACATGCATTTGATTAATTCATTTACAAAACAAATGATAATTTTAGTCTACTGTGAAGAAATTGGAAGGTTTAATGGATTTCACAACTTTTATATAAATAGTTTAATGAATTTTCATATCCATCCTATTTTATATGTTTTAAACCACTTTGGTGACACAATTGAGTTAAAAACTTTAAAAATGTGCATTCCTTTAATCAGTTGTAATCCTAGGAATTGGGAAACAATTAATATCTACAATAAATTATCAAATGCATGGTCACAATTTCCAAATATTCCTAAAAAGCATCAAAACCTTAATGGAAATGTAATTGAATTAGGAATATTCCCAAACTCACCTATAAACCGTTTCAAATTGATCAATAATGACACAAAAGTGGTCGTTTCTGGAATTGCATCAGACATTGCACGAATTGTGGCTGAAAAGTATAATTTTATTATTTATTTTCAACCTTTTGCACCACCAAAGGAAGCAACAGGCAGAAAAGGTTACGCTTTTGAAGCTGTTCGAATTAATGGAGTTGAAAAAATGCCAACAATTTTTTTGGACATTGTGAGAGTCATAGGTGGACATAAGTTCATGGCAACTGTCGAATTTGGATATTGCATGACTCAACCATTTATGAATTTAAATAAATATTTTATTGTGACTCCTGGAGATTTGTACATGAGGTAGGGTCAAATCCTCAGTTAGGGTCAACTATTTATTTTTTTTTTAATTTTCAGAAGCTCACATGGCCCTTTGACTACACAACCTGGGTGTTCATTGCGTCAAACTTTCTTGCAGCTTTTCTGGTTATTTTTATAATCAATCGATTAGACCGAAAATTTCAAGCGATTCTTTACGGACAAAATATAAGATATGCAAGTTTAAATGTTGTGTCAATATTTTTTGGCATTTCTATGACCAAATTGCCAACCAAGAATTTCGCAAGATTCATTTTAATTATTTTCATCTTATACTGTCTCATCATACGGACAGCATATCAAGGAGTTCTATTTGATATTTTATCAAGTGATCATCGCCAACCAACAATTAATGATTATGATGAAGTATTGCTTCAAAATTATACACTTTACAAGAGAAATCATGATCAAGTTGGTGAAGGATTTGTTGAGCAATTGCTAGTTAATAAAACTCCAGTTGTAGTTTATGCTCATCTCATTGGAAGTGATACAGAAATTCACAAGATTTTTGCAACTCAATGTCAAAATGCATCAGCTAAAATGTTTATATCGCTTACTAGTGAACATTTGCACATGTATAATGAAGCAACGCAACAAATCTGTCCATGGCATACTATACAGTATCCAAGAGAGAATTATGCTGCATTTGGAAGATATCCAGCCAACCATTTTTTCTTTAAAATGCTAAATAATATTCTTGACACAATTATTCCAACAGGTATTGTTGATTACATTGTTCATCAAAATTTTGAAATCCGATATTATGTTGACAATAAAATTGGAGATCCAGTGTCAATGACACTCAATGATTTAGGATTTGGATTTATTGTATGGATGTGTTCGTTGTTTCCTACAATTTTAGTGTTTCTTGTTGAGCTTTTGGATTGGATTTGGAAAAGTCAGAAAAATACTAATTTCAAAAGAGTCAAATTTGCAAAAGTCTTTTCAGAAGGCAGCACATCATTGAGTCGGAACAAAATTTCTAAGCCAAATGTAAATGTATTCAGAGTCAAAGCGGTAATGGTTGATAAAACCGACAAAATTTATGTATAAATTTATCAAATAATAATACATACAAATTTCAAAACTTTTTAATACAATAAAAAGCAGGGAAACTAGATAAAGTTCAAATTTCACACCGCATCGAACACAACATTGGACAAAATTCTTGCAATGGAGCAAAGAAGATCGAGAACCACATTAAGATTCTTTCTGAACTCATCATGGAAGCAAGAAACTTAAGTGTAAAAATGAAAAATATCAACTTCAAATCGACTAAACTTACACTGGAGATTAAAGATTTAATCAATACAAAAAAGGAGTCTCCGTCGAAGATGGCAGAGAAGCAAGGATAATCAACCCAAATTCGAATTGAATTATCTGCAGAAAGCCAGCAGTGAAAAAATTAAAGAATCATTTGAACAATCTATTTACAGCCATTTAAAGTCAGTTTTAAAGTTTGTTACGTCTATGAAGTTAAATCGGAGGATATTGGAAGAGCAACATGCATACCTCTCTATTAGACATCTACTCACGTCTAAAAGAATTTCCATAAATCCCCAAATGACAATGTTTAAGATGCTAATATGCCAGGACTTCGATGGGCTGGACATGTTATACCTGTTGACGCTTCATTAAATAAAGTCTTCAAATCCGATTTTGTATATGGAAAGAAACCAAGTGGAAGGCCAAAGAACTCATTGGAAAGAGGCTGTTGATAGAGACAGTATTACATTTGGAATAGGAAATTGGAAAGCTGTAGCCAGCGATAGAACTAGTTTTTGGGGACGACTAAGGGAGGTCAAGGATCACAACTGATCTGTACGACCAGCAAAGTAAGTAAGTAAGTCAGTTTTAAAGCTTGTGAAAACTGATTTATTTAAACTACCGACAGCATCATATGATTGTCAACCATCAAACAAACTAGTAATATATGTAAATCTTAAACAATAGTTTATATCAGAGATCGAAGCCGAGTTTTTCGGCTTAACTCAATTTTTGATTTTTTTGATAGAAAAGAGCCATTTAACTACCATTGTAAGTATTTAAATTGAACTTTATATGCTTTACTATGATTCTGTGTAATATTTTGTCAGCATGTAGCTACAGTAAGCTCAGAATTTCAATTTAGCCGATTTTAAGCCGATCGGCTTAAATTTCGGCTTAAAATCGTTTAACTTGAAATTCTGAGCTTACTATAGCTACATGCTGACAAAATATTACACAAAATCATAGTAAAGCATGTAAAGTCCAATATAAATACTTGAAATGTGTGTTAAATAGCTTTTTTCTATCAAAAAAATCAAAAATTGAGTTAAGCCGAAAAAATCGGCTTCGATCTCTGGTTTATATTAAATGAATGCAATCCAAATCATCATTAAAACTCACATTCTTTTCTCAAATCAAATCTTAATTATTCTTCCTGTCAAATGTAAGTAAATTCATTAAGGAAAAAAGTAATCCAATAAAGCTAATGTGATTTGACATTAACAACATTTTAAAATCTTTAGTTCTGTTGAATAATCTATATTTATGATTAATAAAACGTTTATAAGTATGGCATTTGTAATTCAAGAAGTATCCCGCATGCTAAAAGCAAATTTTTCTAAGAAGAAGAATAAAACTGAAAGTTGTAAGCTTGTAAATGGCCACTTTAAATCCAATAATTCTTATTACAAACTTAATTAAATTGAATAATAATCTTGAATTTGTTGAGGAGATTTTTATGATAATTAATGAGGTATTGTTAAGGTATTGTGTGTCACATGAATTCTTAATGACTTTCGAAATGGATATTTTTCTAAATCTCTACTTTATATCTCTTAAATGCTTAGTGCGTCAGTGCGTGATGAATTTTTAAATTTTTTTTGAACTTTTTTTTCTCCCAAAAATGCTTAAAAATTCTGATAAAATTTGAGAGTTTTGATTTTAGCCATATGCATCCTAAAGTAGAGGGAAATTGTCCGGTTCTGAAGGTTGATAATAATTATTTTTATGAGAGTTTTAAGAAATAAACCATTTGGGTTTTGGTTTTACACTGAACGGGGCCCGTAACCACTAGTTAAAATATAAGATTTTCAAATATACGAATCAGCTCATTAACAACATTCCTTAACTGGAACAATAAAATCAATTTTTGCTAAAATAAGGTTGAAGAAATTTAATTGTTATAAAGATCGAAACTTAACCACGCATCACGAATAACGGTTTATTACGCGTCCTTATTCGTATTAACATTTCTGATGACATAATGAAATTGCAGATATAGAAATAAGATTATTGTGAATTTTAAAATAACTAGTTTAATTTTTGAACAGAACAATATTAATAAAAAAAATATAACTTAAGATAACATAAAAATAAAATTGATATTGTGACGTTTTGACTGAAGTGCTGACCATTGAAAGTGAAATAAAGTAACTTGACGATTTTATTAATAAAATTTAATATTTTCTCAAATTTCACATTTATTAATTGCTGACATCACTTCAAAATACAATGACCGCGTGCTCTGAAATTCTATCCACCAATAATAAAAAAAAAAAAACGAAGGAGGTTCTGCCGCTAAAAGAAGAGGAGAAAAAAAAATTTTGTGATAAATTTACGATCAGTTCTTGCCCATTTTTCTTTGCATTCATAATCGTGACCAATATTGTCTTACAGTTCTTCGATTACATTGAATAATTTTATTGGACAAATTAAGCTGCATGGGAAGATGCGTAACTATAATTATTCAATTGCCTCATGCCTTTACATTAACCGCTATATTGAATTTGCATGTGTCTTGCACGTAGAATGCGGGATAGTTCTATTTAAAAGGAGCTGAAGCTGTTACAGTCATCATCAGTTTGTGGCTATTTGTAGAAGAAGGAAGAGTTTTCTAATCAAAAAATAGTTTTAAAGTCGTGAATTTTGTTAAATTAAGAATTAAAATGAAGCAGTTTTTGGGAGTGAGTTAAAAATTGTTTAAAATTGAAGCAGAAATTTATAAATCCAATTCTCAATGTTTTACAGTCAATTATTTCTCTCGCAATTCTCGCAATCTCAATCGATGCAAAATCAATTCAACAAACAAGAGGATCAATAAAGCACATAAATAGTGACTTAAGAGAAGATTCTGCGCCAATCTATGGAAACAATATTCCAGGACATGAAGCTCAAATAGCTGATCAATATTTTGAGATGCAGCCAAATGTTTCATACAAATTTGGGTAATTATTTTTAAAAAGAGATGCATTGTTGCCATTAATCCAAGGCATGGAAACTGTATCAAATATTTCAAAATTATCTAAAATAATCCTTGAGCCTGTATGCATCATATTAAAGATATCTCAATGTCTCCCTAATATTTAAATTTTACCCGGATATCACAAGTCGGTTAATCGAATAGAAATCAGGCATAACTCTGCCATGGTGCTAGCTTCGATTTAAATCCAGCACCAGTGCCAGAATCACACTGGCTTGATGCCAGATTTCTGATCGATTAACCGACTAGTGCCATTTGGGTTAATGCATACAGGCTCAGGGAGTATTTTGGATATTTTTGGGATGTTTGAAATATTTAAGTTAAATGGGATATTTGAGAACCTTTCATTACTCATAAACATCCATAAATTCTCTAATCTAAACCACAGCTACCTCCAAACTGACCTCCAGCGTCGCAATGAAGAAGGAACTTTCAAAGCAGACCCAGAAAATGAACGATATGTGCTCGAAAAAGTGACAGGCTACTACAAATATGTCCGACCAGATGGGAAATGGCAAAGAGTTGACTATGAAGCTGATGAGAATGGTTTTAGACCAATTATTGTTGTAAGTGATGACGAACCAACAACTGATGAATCTGTTTTTGAGCTTCTCAATGGCAATCAAGAAGGAGAAGATAGCCAGACTGAAAGTAGTGGAGAAGCTGTAGCAGAGGCAAGGCGTGAAAAGCGCCACAATAAATACCCAAAATTGGAAGTAAATTCGTAATTTACTGAACTGAAGTCGTTGGTCTCACAACAATTGAGACAAAAAGTATTTCGTATATTATTTATTTATTTATTCATCAAATTTGCCAGTTTACAAAAATGTATTCGAAATTAAATACAAAATAAAATTCAACTATTTATTATTTAAAAAAATTAAATTTCATTGTAAGTACGGGTTCGTTCACTTATTACGTAACGCACCAGGGGGGGAGGGGGGGTCTAAGATTTTGTTACGGTTTGTTACAGGGGGAGGGGGGGGGGGTCTAAATTTTGTTACGTAACTTTTCAAAAATTATATTTTTTTATCCAAAAGACTCTAATGCCCGCTTTGCTACACTTTTTCAATGCATTTCTTTTACTGAATCATCTAGCATTCCGTACGATAAATACTGTCCATCGATTGGAGACATTATAAAAGAAAGGGTATGCATTGATTGTAATCATTACTGTGCTTCAATCGATATGTTAAAGAATCACCGAAAAATTATTCACAAACGTATAGTTAATACTAAGAAAAAACCAAGAAAAGTAATATGCAGACGTGAAAAAGAAGTATTAGTACAATTGCAAGAGGATTTGGATTGGGTAGAAGCTGAGAACTTGGATATTGAAGAGGAACGTGCAAATACTGATATTATTGTTGAATATCAAAATGTATTTGCAGTTGAAGATCATTTTCAACCAATTTGGGAAAACGACTAATGATTACAAAACTTATGAGTTTTTTTTGCGTTTAGTTAATAATAATAATATAATCCTTTTATTAAATTTAGTGTGATCATGGCGGAACAAATTGAAAATTGTTTGATATTAACCTATTCGGTTTTAAATCAAATGCAAGTAGAAAATTTTTTTTTTTTGGATTACAACATGAGCTAATTAGTATGTTAAGAAATAAAGTTATGGTTGAAAAAGTATTTAAAAAAAACCAAAAAATTATATATAAATAAATAAAAAAGTAATTAAGATAGCAAAAAGGGAAATTGACATGGAAAGGTTATTAAACTGGTTTCGGTAATTTATGTTTTACTCGGAAGCTCAATGAGTCAAAGTTATATTGGCCTAAGGATGAAAATAGATCGTTCGGATGGTGCGTTTAGTTAATAATATGGATGTAAACGATTAATATATTTTTTTATTGCTTTCCTTCTATTTACTTTTACATACTTAAAGGAAGTATAATAAACATTTGATAAACAATTTAAATGAAAAAAATTATTGTTACGTTATGGGGGGGAAGGGGGAGGGGGGTCTAAGATTTTGTTACGCTTTGTTACAGGGGGGGGGGAGGGGGGTCTAAAAACTCGTTTTTTTGCGTTACGTAATAAGTGAACGAGCCCTACGTTTCCTAGTTAAACACTTGACTTAGTAAATTACTACACGAAGGAACGACTAGAGACAATTTTCGACTGTTCCTAGTTAATAGAAGATGTTCCTAGTAGTAGGCACCTATTTGAGAAGTCCTCCCTTAACCACGCTGGTTAAAAAGATGATCTGAAAAACTCATCTGAATTAGTCAATTTCGCAGAAATATCAAATATGTTCACATGACTCCTTTTTTGTATCGAATGTCAATTTTCTTTCATTTTTTGCCTTCTTCAAATTTATTAAATTCGATAATTTAAAACTTAAAAAATTGACACCGACAACTTGAAAAATAAGATTGTATTTATTGATTACTAAATTATTTTTTTCGATAATCGACTTAATAATCCTGAAATATGAGAAAATAAAGCGTCTTGAAATAATATTCGTTAATATCGATGAATGAGTGTAAATCATGTAATACAAGCAGCATAAAAATTTTAATCAAGTGTCGAAAGCAATCGTATATCAATCCCGAATGGCCCAAGTCGGTCAACATCTGACTCTGTTGCTGGCTCTGTCACTCAGTTTGTACAATTTCTCTATCGGCACATTAAGCTGACATTCTTTCATCAATGTTTTGTCGCTAGTTACTTTTGGAGCTTCTGGGCGTCTTTTCTGTGGTGGATTTCAACCAAGGGCGGTGTAACAAACTTGTGCTTCTGTCCCATCAATGACATTCTCTCTGGCATTTTTCTTACGAAGTGTATGTCTAATCCAGCAGTTCTTTCTCATCTGAATCTCCTTGTTGACCTGCTTTCTGTAAATGCTTTTCATTTGAAGAACAATCGAAGCCGGTGCGACTTTCACATAGTGCTGGATGTTAATCAAAGCTAGCAACATGCCAGATTCATGCCAGCTTGGTGCCGGATTTCTATTCGATTAACCGACTTGTGCTGTTTGGGAGTGTGGATTTATGAAATCTCGTCCAAGTGATGAAAAGAAACACTTGTAGCTTACAAGTCCCTGAATTCAAATCAAATCTAGATGCCAAAACTTCAATAGGGTTTATTCATAAACGATGTAGTAGCAAACCAAAGCAGACAGTCATTAAACTTATTATTAAAAATCTCAAGCATAATTAAGTGCCTCATTTACATCCACAATTCATACTCATACATGAGCCTCAATGAATAAATTAATTAAAAAACCTTCCAAGAAAAATTCAAGGTTTATCGTAAGCAATAATTTAACAAAAAGTTATGCTATAATAAAATGAAGATGGTGACTTTAATTTCATTTTGATCCCACAGATGCATTCGGAGATGCCAAAATAAAAGATAGTGAAAGAAAGGTCATTGCGTAATTGCATAAGTATTGGGTGATATTTTATTGTCAATTATTTATTTGTTTGAACTATTGACCTTTTCGATCTTTAGTTAAGTTGACTTAAATTTCAGTAAAAGAATGTAATTTTAGGTGAATCGTACTTATAATTGACAGTTGAAGTTGTCTCTTCTCTGCAATCATGCCAAAAAGATCCATTATAGCAGCAATATGGTCCCGAACCTCTATCACCACAGCAATAAGGATCTTCTTCTCCATTTGGACAACAATATCTTCCTTTACCTCCTTTTAAACAACAATCCTTATTATCAGCACCGTTTTGGCAACAATAAATACCAGAACCGCCATTTAAGCAGCAGTCTTTATTATCAGCATTGTTTTTGCAGCAATGAGGTTCAAAACCACCACCAAGGCATGGTTTTTGTGTTGTTATTTCTGGTAACATACATTTAGGATTAGCAGCTCCATTTATACAGCAATGCTGATTTATTGCACCATTAGTACAGCAGCTTGGTCCTTTTCCACCATTTAAACAGCAGTAATGGTTGTCAGCTCCATTTGTGCAGCAATAACGACCACTTCCTCCATTTTTACAACAATCTTTATTTTTTGCACCATTAATACAGCAGAAAGGTGGTTTAGCGCCATTTTTACAGCACTAAATAGGACAAAAGGAATTGAAAATACATAAGTGAATTGTAACAGTGCTGTCTAAACCATTTTGTGCCTCATCACAACTTAATACTAGTCCACAACCAAAACCACACACAGTATGCAGTTTCAAGAATTTTTATACGCTACAAATAGTGTGCTGTGGCACACAGTTTGGACAGCACTGGACTAGAAAAAATTTTTTTTAAAAGTTTTACATTTTTGTCACATTCTGAACAACATCCTTTATTGAGTGCTCCATTGATGCAGCAAAATGGTCCCGTTCCATTGTTTAAGCAACAGTCTCTGTTATTTGCTCCATTTTTACAGCAAAAATCTCCGAATGTTCCTTTTGGACAACACTAAAAAAATGTAATATTTATTTCATATTCAATAATTCATAATAAGTTAAAATGTGTACAGTTGGAAGATATCCTGTTGATATATTTAAACAGCAGCCCTTTTTGGTTGATCCATTTAAACAGCAATATGGTCCCTTCCCATTATTTAAACAACAGTCTTTATTTTGAGCTCCATTCTTGCAGCCATATTGATTGCTTTCTCCTACTGGCTTTTCTAAGCATTCTGGAATAGTGATTGGCTTTTTACAAGCCGGATTTTTTGGATTTGGGCAACAATCAGGCCAAGTTCCTCCATTTGAACATTGTGAACAATTTGTTCCATTTCCTTTATTTTTGAAGCACTAAATTTATTCCACAAAGTTAAATTAGTGAAAATATTTAAAAATTTAAAGTACCTTTTCTCCTTCATATAATAAACAATAAACATTGAGAGCTCCATTTAAGCAACAAAATGGTCCACTTCCTCCATTTAAGCAACAATCTTTGTTATCAGCTCCATTTTCACAACAAAAATCTCCATTTGTATTTTCAGGGCAGCACTATTAAAATTTCTTTTTAAAGAGTGATTTAAACTAAAATTAACATTGATTCAATTACCGGTGGTAAGTATGTGCCACTAATATTTGGCTTTAAGCAGCATTTTCTCTCATTTGATCCATTCAAACAACAAAATTGACCAGTTCCACCGTTCAAGCAGCAATCCTTATTATTGGCTCCGTTAAGGCAACAAAAGGGTCCAACACCGCCATTTGAACAGCACTAGAAAATATGGTAAATTACTAAGGAGCTGACATTAACATAAAATGGGTTTCTTTAACCAAAATTTAACTAATGCTCTTGGCAAAAGAGTTAAAAAATAAATTTGCATGAAAGTTGAAATTTATAAAAAGATTCTTACCAATTGAAAAGTTAAATCTCCTGTACAACCTGAATTTACTGAACTTTCAACTGCATTTACAGCTATAAACAGCGATACAAAAATGATATAAAGGATCTAGAAAAAGGTAATAATATTTAATTTTTTTTGGAATTCTTAGAATTGGAAGCTCTTTGAGGTTATAATTTAAAATTAAATTAATTTTCAAACAATATTTAATTCATCCTTGAGCTCAGTATTTCCACACTTTTCACTATCACTTATGGTTCCCAAAATTACACTTCACATCACAATCCTTTTAACTCACCATCACAATGCAAATTTAATTATTTCAACAAAAAACATTTATTATTTTATTATTTTCACAATTTACAAGCAAATCCTGCGAGATGCTTACTTCAGTCCTGATCGATGAATTGTGATTGTACTCAATTTTGTTGATGCAGCTTTATAGTCAATCGAGAAGACGACTTTTAAGTAAAGTCTCAAAGAATTTTTAAAAAAAGATGAAAAAGCACCAAATAAATTTGTAAAACTAGTCAAGGCGCGGAAACTCAGGATTAATCCTAGGAACTAGTGTGTTGGGTATAAACCCTATGTGAATATATTCACTCTTTCATTGAAAGTCTTGTGGATAGACCAAGCTTCGCTCAGCATAAGTTTGAAGGTACAAGGCTTGATAAGTGAGCTGAGCTTTGCTCAGGATTAGTTTGAAGGTATAAAGCTTAACGAACATGTCGACATATCGACATAAACTTTAACTTATACTTTTCTACATTTCCTTCTTTTTAAAAACAGCTAATTAACCAGCCCCGTCATTCTGACTTTATAATTTGATAAATATAAAGAACTTCAACTTATTATTTTTCCAAAGAAAAAAACTATGGTTAGTTTTTATCCAAAAAAAAAAAACTATTTAAGATTGTAAAGTAAGCAACTGACATAACTCTATACTTTAAAAGAACAAAATGAACTCTATGTGACTAGAACTTGTTTTGCTATCAACTTTAGAAATCAAACAAAGTTTTGCAAATTATTTTCTTTTTAAATAACAATATTTTATTTTTTAAAAATATTAAGCATGTTTCAAAAATCTATTAAACACTTTTAAAGTGAACTATTGTATGGTTCAGTTCTGATAATTGGTGCAAATCCATTTGTGTCAGCTCTGTATTCAACAATTTGCCATAATCCATCAGGACGGACAAATTTGTAGGATCCAATGACATTGTCGAGTGTGAAATTTCCAGTTTCTGGATTGATTGCTACTGTTCCTTTTTCATGACGCTCTTGAAGATCTGTTTGCTTGTAGCTGATTGAAACAAAATGAAGATTGTGATTACAAACTTTATTTTTAATATTCAGAATCAGATGTACGTGATTAAGTTTAAACTTTAAAGTACGATTTACTTACCCAAAATCATAATTTCCATTTCCATCGTTTTGTGAATGTTCATTAACAATTTCTGCTTGATTACCAGGAATTCCGTTTCCATATACAACTTGATTAGGTACAAGTTGTCTTGCAAAAACTGAAATGTCTCTTTTGACGACCGGTATAGCTTGAATAATAGCAGCAACTGCAAGAAAAACGATCAACGCTACAAATTTTGCCATTTCGAGGATTTTTTTTAACAAAACGTTTAACTGAAGAGCTTCAACAATATAATGATAAAGTTTTGGATAAATTCATCTTCTTTTAAATGAAAAGTATTCAAGGTTCTGAAATAAATTTCTTCATATTATTAATGGTGAATAAAAGTAAATGTAAAAGAGGGTAAAATTCGTTTTTACGTGACCATCTTAAAATTTATTTCATGACTGAAAACACATTTTAAGTAGATTTTATTAATAGTTCTATTATCTAAAGGTACCTAATGAATTAATTTAACCTCACATTTGGTGAAAGTTTTGAAATTTTTATTCTCAAAAACCCTAGTAATTAAAACAAACCATTTACCAATCTTAAAACACTGTCTTGATTATGTTTTAGAAAAATCAGATGTTGATGAAAACAAAGCTTTTCAATGTGTTTGAAAGTACGTCGACCAATGACTCTTCTTAAGCTAAGACTCTTATTTAAAAGAACTATTCGCATTTCACAAACTTTAGCAAAGCTTTAACGAATATTGAGCGAGAAATGTGTTTTATGGTAACTGTCCAACATTGGATAATTGCTGTGTTCTATTAATATTGTAATTTTTAGCCAGACGATGAAGTTCGTTTTGTTTTTGAAAAGCCGTGTGTTTTAACCAAAAAACCATTAAGACAAAATTGAAAATTTTTATGGCAAATTTCAAATATTTATCACAATTTTTTGCATTTTTATAGCTTTTTGCCACTAGTTTTTAAATTTTAAAGTATTAAATAGTAACTCTGATTTGTATCAGATGACAAGACAGCAAGTCATCGCTATCGAGATTGGAAGAACAAAGTAGGATTGGATCGGTCACACTTTAAGGAAACATGAAATAGATATTGGCAGACAGGCATTGATAAAGCAAGGGACAGAAACCTGTTCAACCGCTTTATTAACGCCTTACGAGTCACAGTGGATCAATAGGAACTAATCATCATCAATCATCAAATTTATCTAGATCAGTGTTGTCAAAACTGTAGAACATTCTTATATATTCTTAAAATTTTATTTGAAACATTTACAATAAATTCTTATAACAAAGTTTTAACTTTAAAATTAAATTAAGTCAATCATAAAAAATTGGATTAAAAGAGAAAAAATATTTTCATTACTCAAAAGTATCCTGCTTTATTTCTTTAATTTTACCATCGACCCTTGATTGTACGTATGTTCCCAAAATCAGTTTACAAAAAACTAGTCTTAAAATTTTTGAATGATCATGACTGACTTCATGAAATGATGCGGAACTGATTTAAACGATCAAAAGTGATCAAAATTGATAAGAAATGATTAAAAAATGAACAAAGATGATCAAAATCTAATTCATTTCAAGAAGTAAGAAAATAATTCCAAATAATTTTTGTTTATAATTTTAATTAAGAACTCAAGAAAACTCCAAAAATATTGTTTATACTTTTGTCAATACTGAAATTTTCTTGCTATACTTTTGATGCATCTCCCTTGAACACAGGTGTTGTATTGCTGCAAACAATGAATTTAAAACCTAGAAAAATTTAAATAGACTTCAATAAATTTTTAATCATCACTAATCTATATTTTTTATAACTGTCGAATATTCACAAGAATAGAATGTAATGTTAAGTTTTGCTTATAGCAAAAGCGGGACTGCGATCCATGATCTGTTGTACGATCCCAAGTCCCCTGGGCTAGAATTTCAATGTCCTTAATAAAGCCAATAATGCCTGATAATGCTGCTTATTTATATCTTCATCATTTAAATAGTCCTTATCAAAATGCTTGACACGTTGTCCTCATAATGACCTCCATTTACAAAGTATATGAATGATTGTTTCTTCATTCACATTACAAAACCTGCAAATTTCACTGACAAATTCAACTTAAAAAGAAAACTATTGATACTCATGTGTCCTGTCAAAGCACCAATTAAGATGCTAAGATCTTTCCTTGGTAGTCTGAGAGCATCCGATATTTTATTCTTATTTTTAGGACCAAGAAGTCTTTTGGCTGTTATGGTTCCTTCCTCCAAATTCCAGATACGAAAATGCTGTCTCTTCATCCATTCTCGTATGTTTGACTTCAACATATTCGAATATTCACAAGGAAATGAACAAGAACATTTTGACACTTTGACATATTTGATATTTGTTATTTGCGTGTCATTGGTGGTATCCTGAACAGGATTCATCATTCAGTTTAATAACAACAAACAAATTGTTTAATAAACTGTAACTTTTCTTTTAAGTTCAAATAAAAATTTTCATACTTTTTTAAAGATAAATAATTTTTTTTTATTTTAAATAGATTTTTTCTAAAATTTATTTAATAACTTTTTTTTACATAAATCAAAAAAATTTCTTCTATCATGTTTAAAATATTTTCATTCGATTAATTATTGACTGATGTCTGAAGTTTTTGAATTTCGCATATCAGTGCCAAGTTAAATGTCAAAATATTTTTGTTTGCTTTGAAAAATAATTCTAACTTCAACATTGATGCTATTTTTCTTATTATTGAATGTATGGTTCAGTTCTGATAATTGGTGCAAATCCATTTGTGTCAGCTCTGTATTCAACAATTTGCCATAATCCATCAGGACGGACAAATTTGTAAGATCCAATAACATTGTCGAGTGTGAAATTTCCAGTTTCTGGATTGATTGCTACTGTTCCTTTTTCTTGACGCTCTTGAAGATCGTCTTGTTTATAGCTGAAATGAAAAACAGGATGGCACAGAATAAATAGTAATAAGATTAATTCAGAAATCAAAGAGTTCTTACCCAAAATCATAATTTCCATTTCCGTCAGTTTCGAAATGTTCTTCAACAATTTTGGCATCACGTCCTTCAATTCCATTTCCTAAAACTCTTTCAACAGGTAGCCCATATGTGATAGCAACAAAGGCGAATAAAACAAAAACTGCTCCAAAATTTGTCATTTTTAAATTTTTGATTATTTTTTACTTTGAGTAAATATGAAACTTTTTTTTGTTAACTTTAACTGTTGGGATGCAACAATGAACTGATGAAGAATTCAACAAAATTGTCTTCTTTTAAGCCAAACCATTTCAAGGTTGTATGCTGCGTGACGTCAGACTTGTGGATGAGATTTCATCGCGCACTTTCTTCATCAAGTGTTATTTTATTTTTCTGACTTGAAAATGTCTGACAATATTGGTTTTTAATTTATCGTGAGAAATTTATTTTATATATTTTTTAAAAATGTTCATTATTAAGCTGGACTATATATTACTGGTTATATTTAAATTTGATGAAGCTTTCAGAACTTGTTATTTTATTACAATTCATCGGCTTACATGTAAAAAGATAAAGCATTGATAGGACCAAGCCTTTTGAGCTAGAGGCACTGCAATTCAAATTAGAACAGAATCTATTGTACTACACCCTTTAAACCTACAGTTTATAGTGGAATCCAAACCACTTGCTAGCTCTGCACATTGCAAAGACACGAGTAAGTTTATAGAGCTGATCTACCCTGCAATGTGCCTAGTTATAATTCGTGTGCGTAAGATGCCGTAAGGAAGTCATCCAAATGCTATTATATCCTTGTATACCTAGCAAAGGAGATTCTGTGCCAAAGATCTCAAAACTACACCCAACACACGAACCGAGCTTCGTAACTAGAACGGTGAAATGGAAAAAGAGCTTCTAAAACTTGACTTGGCCTAAGATTGAACCCAGAACGGAGGCAAGTAAGGCAGCTGCTGATAAGATTAAAATAAATCCAATATTCCTAACTCACGATTTTAAATAAAATATTGACTCACATTAAGAAAAATGAACTTTAGCGAGATTTTTTACAGCTTTTTTATTTTAAAAATTTCCAAAGAACTATTAAACATGACTTAAAAGTATAAAAAGTGTAATAAAATTTTCAAATCTGACAGTAATAAGCACTTTGATCATTAATGATGTAATGATTGCTGTCTTCACTTAATAAAATGAAAGATGTTATAAAGGATATAAAAGTTTTGAAAAGAAGTATGCAAATGTGAAAAGTCCAATGACCACTGTACCTTATTCTTATTTCTCATTGAAAACTTTTAAAATTATTTTAATTGCTTCAAAATTTATTTATCGATTTTAATGATACAAAATAAAATATATTCATTAAGATGATCCAGTAGCAGCTGTGGTTGTTGATGATGAACCTTCAGTTGATGATAAAATTGGAATTGCAGGAACCAGTCCTGATAATTCAGGGAGATCATTGCTAATTTCATTCCTGGTGACTGTTATGGATGGAACAAAACCATTCTTATCAGCTCTATAAGTGACGATTTGCCAAAATCCATCTGGACGAAGATATTTGTAGGATCCAGTGACAACATTAAGTTGTCGTTTCCCGGTTACACTGTTTCTCTTTACAGAGCCAGTTTCTTCACGTTCTTGCAAGTCAGTTTGTTTGTAACTTAAATTGAATGTTCAAGAATTTATTTTTTTTAAAAAAAACTTTAAATCCTTCAAATTGAAGCAGGCGTGGAAACTATCCCAGATATCATATTTATCCCACATATCCCAAAAATATTCAAAATAATCCCTGAGCATGTGTGCATGATAATAAAGATATCCCAACGTATCCTTAGTGTATTGGACGTGCACTTTCAGGATATGATGAGATATCGCAATTCTAATGCATAGAGGCTCAGGGATTATTTTGAATACTTTTGGGATATATGGGATTAATGGGATATTTGGGATTGTTTCCACGCCTTAATTGAAGTTAAAATGTATTTTACTCACCCAAAGTCATAGTTTCCAACTTTATCAATATTAAAATGTTCATGTTCAATTTCTGCTTGATCTCCAGGAATTCCATTGCCATAATGAACATGTTCATTTACATGATGACGCAATAATTCTGATACATCTCGTTTGGACATAGTTGCAGCTGTACAACAAGCAATGAGCCCGAAAACCACCAAAACTGTGAAAATTTTTGCCATATTTTTAAACTTTTACCAACAATTTTATTGCTAATTTAATAAAAATTCTTAAATGATCTTCTTAATTGTTGGGAATGTAGTAATAAACTGATGTAACTTACGACCAATCCAGCTCCTTATAAAGTAAAATAAAAATCAAGAATAATACGAGTATTATGATTCATAGAAAAAAGATTATGCTTTGTCTGCAGACTTTACTTATGCCTTCAATTTAATCTTAAGAATTCTTCGTCTTAAATGGTCGAGACAGTTTGACATGTTTAATTAAGAATGAACATCATTGGTGAGATTTACGGTTCGTTTGAAGAATAAATTGATAATTAATTGAGAATAGTAAAGAAGATTAGAATGATTACTTGATTTATGTCAGTGTCAATTTATGAAGCTTTCTTCAGTTTGAAGCAACTCTTAACATCCAAAAGTCTGTCTAAAGGAACCAAGATCATGTTGTTTAAGAAGCTGATTCGAGTTATTGCATTATATGGATCGGAAACCTAGAAATTTATGCAAGCGGATGAGGGAGCTTCTGGTGTCTTCAAATTATGAGTATCGCGAGCAATTTATGGACCTATGAAGGAAGGAGAACAGTATCGAAGCCGAAACAATGACGAACTATATCAGTTGTTCCAGGATGCTGATTTTATTACGGTTCTCTGTGCAAATTGCTTGAGATGGGCTGGACATATCTTTAGACGTCCAAAAGATGCCCCAGTACTTAGAGTGACTGTTGCAGACTTTATAGATGGCAAGAGAACAAAAGGAAGACCAAAGAATATCTGAATTGGATGTGATGATAAGGACGCTAGAATCCTTAATATCCTGAACTGGCAGAAGGTCTCGAAGGATTGAACTGTCTTTAAACGATCTCTAAACGCGACAATGAGCCCAGGTGAGCCCCAGCCAAGGAAATAAGTATGTCAGTGTCGACAGTCTTAGAGGAAAAAGTTCTGACCACGAGTCTGACTGTTGAAAAATTCAAATAATCAACTTAATTTGAATTAATTAACCTAACCTACCACAAGAATTCTTCAGAAATTTTAAAAATATTCTTTCCTCAATGAAGATTGGTATTTTGGGTCATGAAACTGTTACCGCTAAAAACTTGAGTATTGAATTACAAAATTATTCAACAACTTTATATTCATTGAGGTTGTAAATAATAAAAATTATTGCAAATATTTCCTAGAAGTGCGTCACTTAAAATTGAAACTGGAATTGATTTTTTTTTTATTAAAAATTCTTAAGAATTTTCTTAGTTCCTCCAGTTTAGAAAAATCCAGGATTCTTAATCGACAGCCATCAATGTAAATAAATATTTTTTTTACTGATATTCTAGCTCCATTAACAACACTTAACAGTTTACACGGATACATTGAGTCAGCATGACTTTATGTAAATTTATATCCATGTCTACTTTAATTTCCTTTTCATGACTATTATGATTATTTATTCATGCTGTGATGGAACTTTGTAATCTTATAGAAGCATACCTTCTGCTAATTGGTTTAAGATCAGCAAGCAATAAATTAATACAGAATGGGATTAAATAAAGATTTTGGCATTTATTGACTGTGAGAACTTAAGGTAAAGCTTCATGTTTTGGAATTAACTTAGAATTAAAGAATTTGATACTTAATTCGTAAACTATTGACTTCTCTGGCCGGACAGATCGATTGTGATCCATGGCCTTTATTAGATGACGCCTGAAGCTGACTCTATCGCTAGCAACCGTTTGCCAATTATTCATCCCAAACGCACCACTGTCTCTGTCAACAGCTTCTTTCCAAGAGTTCTTGGGACGTCTGCGTGATGTTTTGCCTGTTTGAAGTCCTGAATTACTCAAGAAATGTTGACTTTGAATATGAATGACATAAGAATCTTCCAAGTAAAAGGATTTAATCTTATAATATCCATTTTCCAGAATTTTCATAAATATATCATATAAATCTGACATATTACCATCGATATAGTCTTAAGCCACAATTTTAGTTGCATGCAATTACGAAACATGATCAGTTGCAATTTATATTTCACGCGACAAGAATTATCTCATTAATCATCAATGTAACTGCTGTGTATCTTCATTTTTTTTCGATTTAATCAAAAAACCTGCTCTTGATGCATCTGCAATACAAAAAGTGAAAGTATTGGGTCCACAAATGCAATTAAATTTTCGTGATTTTGCATGTAAAAACAAGTTTTTTTCATTCCTGCTTTTTGCATTCTTATTTTGAAGTTCAAGTGCATTGTGTTAATGATCAGTTGACATTTAAGGTCATAATTGCGTTACGACAGATCATTTCATGACGATTACTTGGTTGCTTATTATGCAATCTGATATTTTGTTTGTGGGACAATTTTATTCTTCCTTTGGGTCGTGAGTCAATAATCGTGATGCATTGTGATGATGAAATCTCGTTGATTAACGAATAATTCGAGGATTTTAGTTTTTTAAGTAAAAGAAGGTGTTTTTATGATTTAAGTGATTTTAAGCAAGTGGATTTAAAGTTCATTTATTCTGAATTTCGATGATGCAAGTGGAACAATTCAAATTTTTACAAGTTCGTCGGTTTAAACCCAGCTTTTTCATCAGAATTTGACGGCTTAATTAGGGTTACCATCTAATTTTCATGAAAATACAGGACTTTTGGTAAATTTTTTCGAAAAATACAGGACATAGAGTAAAATTCGAAAATTAACGGAAATTTTCCTTTAAAAAAATACAGGACCTGGAACAAAGTTTTCAAATTTATACAGGACAGGGTTTTGAAATACAGGACTGTCCGTTGTAAAACTACGCAGATGGTCACCCTAGGCTTAATTTACTTACTTACTGTAAGCATGTTCCTATGTGGAGCTTAGGTTTCAACAAAAGGTTTTCCAACCGACTCTGTTGCTGGCCTTGTCACCTAGTTTGTACATATTCTCTGTCCACACATTAAACTGACTTCTTTCATTACTGTTCTGCGCCAAGTAGCTTGACGACTTAATGAACGAGATCAAATCATAATTATGCTTCTGAACAACATTTTATTAAGGAACGGGTCAGGAACCGATCAAGATGAGAAGTTTAAGTGAATAATTAAAACAAGAGCTACGATGATCTAACGAATGGAACATTGATCTCAAAAAGAATGTGACAGGTCTTTAGAAGATGATCGATCGTGCAAAAATGCAAAAAAAGCATGGAAAGTGACCAGCCTTTTGAGCTGACCGCACTGCAGTTCAAATTAGAACAGAATCTATTGTACCACACCACGCGCGTATCCAGGGGGGATTTGGGGGACAAATCCCCCGATGTTAACAGAAATTTTTTCTTTTTTTTTGGAGTTTTATAGAAAATTGTATACCTAACACAGGAGACACGTTATGTGCCGAAGACCTCAAAATTACACCCAACACACGAACCGAGCTTCGTAACTAGAACGGTGAAATGGAAAAAGAGCTTCTAAAGCTTGACTTAGCCTGGGATTGAACCCAGAACCATTGGCACGTAAGGCCAACTGTCAATCAATTAAACATATTTGATTGTTTTTTCGCATCATTAAATCATTTTCATTTTTCTTGACGAACATTTCTGTTTTAAAATCAAAGTTCAATTAATGAACTTGATGAAATGAAATGAAATGAAGAGTTTGTTCGAATGAACAGTCCATAAAAATATCGTGGATTAAAATATCGTGAATTATTCATATTTCACTTAAATAATTAATTATTGCATATACGAGAAGAGAGATTAAAATAAAAAATCAAGCAATCAGGTAATCAAACAATCAAGCACCATCAAGAATTGAACGAAGTTCAATAAAATTAATAATATACATACATTAAAAGTCTTAGTTTAAGACTTAATGAAATAATTGGTTTCATTTATTAATAACAATTCTTAGTTTTGATCTCGAATAAATTAAATAAAATTGATTGTGTCTAGAATTTAGCCACACCAACGCTCTGCCTGCCACTTAGGCCAATGATGCCATTTTACCACAAATCACAATGAAAATACAATTATATCAACTTTTATTAAATTAAATAGAAAACATTGTTTATTTTTGTCAAAGTACCACAAAATTCTTATATTTTATTTTTGAGAATAAATTTAATTTTAACAAGGCGTGGAAACTCAGGATTAATCCTGAAAAATATCAAACATCCTAAAATATCTCTGAGCCAATAAACATGAAAATGATTCATTTTGAATCCCGAAATTATTCGTCAAATGCAACAGATTTTGAGATTTTTCGGGATTCATCCTGAGTTTCCACTTTTTGAATTTTACTTAACATTTTCTCATTTCAGTAGCTAATCTGAATCACTTATATTTTTAAAATAGTCAAATTCCTCTTCATACCATTTTGTAGGTTTCATTCCAATAATTTTATAATGATGAACATCACAAACAAATTTAGATCCTTGTAACTTTGCAAGCATTATTGGAATTTTATTATCACAGTATACTCCAACTTTTAATCTCTGCAAATTTGAATTCACAGTTTTGATGTTGAACATGAATGAACTTAACAGGTTTGCACATCCTTCAATCACAAAGTCAACAATGTTTGGTGAATATTTAAAAATAATTTCAAGATGTGACAATTTAATAAATTCTGTTCTTTTTATAATGTAATTTAATTTTCCAAGATTTAAAATCTTTAAATTCGAACAAAATGATGCAATTTTTACTAAATTTTCCACGTCAATGCTTTCATTAATTTCATATATTTTAAGTTCTTCCAAATTTTGTAGCTGAATTTGTGCAAAATCAAATCTTTTTAAATCATTTCCTTTTTTAAAATATAATTCCATTATTTTAAGACAAGAAAAGTCAACCTGATCAAAAATCATATCAATCCTATCCATTGTCATTAGCTGCAAATGTTCTAATCCACGAAACTTGTTAAGTAATCCAATAATATGCTCAGCATGCGGCCATTCAACATAAAATGATCTCACAGGCCACAGACAGATTCTTAGTTTTTTGATAGAATAATTAAAGTCGTCGGTTTCTTGTGGTTTGTGATTCGTATTGTATCGAGCAGTCAGCCAAAGTGACTCGATTCTTGTGTGCTTTATGATTATATCCACAAAATCACGATATTCAAGGTCAAGTTCACGGATTTCAAGATATTTGAGTGACTTTTGTTGAGAAATTATGAAACTTTTAAATGTAATCTGATTAAGTTCTGGTGTTGTTATTTTAAGATTTGTAAGTTGGAATTTTACATCACTATGAGGAAGTTCTGGAATGCAGCAGGTGTCCAGCTTATTTAAATTTAAATACTTTACCACAAATTCATCAAAATTCAATGTTATTGGAGTTCCATTTTTCAATGTTTTATAATATTTGAAATCTTTTAAATTTGGTGCAATCAAACTTTTTGGGATGTGTGTCTGATTCAGATGCAATGACACTAAATTTGGAAACTCAAATGGCAAATCTTGGATAGAATTCTCATCACTATCGTAATTTAAAATCAAATGAGTCAAAGTTGATGCATATGTCTCTATATATCGATGGACTACCGGAATTGATACTGATGAAAAGTAAACTTTTAAAGGATCTTTAACAAACTTTATAAAGCTGTCTATTAAATGATCCCAAATTTCCATTGTTCTTGGTTCTTTAATGCGTGCTTTAAGATTTCTGCATGGAAATTCTGCAGCTTTAGTTTCTAGAAACTTATTAAATTGTATTATATATTCATTGACTGAGTAAGTTCGCTCGTCAGTTGAGAAAAATAGTGTTAGGCGTTGAGTAAGGGTTTTTGAGTTGGTGATTAACTCTTTCCATCTGTAAAGAAATAATGCAATTAGATAAGTTTAAAATTATCAGAGATCGAAGCCGATTTTTTCGGCTTAACTCAATTTTTGATTTTTTTGATAGAAAAAAGCCATTTAACACCCATTTTAAGTATTTAAATTGAACTTTACATGCTTTACTATGATTCTGTGAAATATTTTTTCAGCATGTAGCTATAGTGAGCTCAGAATTTCAAGTTAAAGAATGTTAAGCCGAAATTTAAGCCGATCCGCTTCGGTCTCTGAATAATTATCATAGAAATCAATTTTTTTTACACTTCTCTAAAGCTATAGCCAGAGCTCGAGTTGACTCGACTTTTCTCAAAACAGAGTCGAATTCATTTTTTTTTTGAGACGACTTGAGTCGACTCGGAATAAACTCGGTTTTTTTTTGTATGAAAAAATCGACTCTACTCAAGTCGAGTCAACTCGAGTCTACTTCGAGCTCTGGCTAGAGCTAGAAAAGTGAGCAAAATCTTTGAAGAACTATTAAAATACTTGTTTTGGATATGGCTCAAAAAGCACATCTAGGACATATCTGTAGTAGATAGGCCTGAGCATAGGGCTCGCGTTGAAACTGGTTGTATATGTATGATGGATAGCCAAAGTGAGATAAGTACCTCAGTGGCCGAGTGGCAGGGAACTCTTTTAATTATTAAATTTAATCATAAAGATGGAGGAAAATATAAATCTTTATAATTTTTAAAAAAAAATAAATCTCAATATTTATGCCGTGTTCCTGCTGAGGATCGAACTCAGGACCTTTCGCGTGTAAAGCGAACGTCATAACCGCTAGACTACAAGAACCGAACACGAGTTGAGCGCCACCTTGCCAAAAGGCTTATTTTAGCTACATATGGTTGAATTGTAAATCAGTGCATTATATTTTCATGCGTAAAGAGTGAAAGTAGATTTGATTCAAAATTCATGCATAAAATTAAGAATTTTATTCAATTTTTTTCTTCGGATAATGTTCAATTTTTTAAGCATTTCCATTCTCTCTTTAAATAATATTCTTAACAAAAACCTAAACCTAACAATAAGGCATAATAAATCGTCTCACGTTAATGAATAAAGACAAGATAAAGAATGAAAAATAAAGACGGTAAGAGATCGGAGGTCAGAGATCGCCTCTTTTGAGGTCGTTTGAGTTCGAACCCGACTTGTTTTACATTAGTATACACATAAATAAATCAGTTATAGGAAGATCTATACTTGTGAGTCGAAACCTACCTCTGACATACTCTAGCAGCCCGTTTTAAACCACCTTTGTCCAAAAAATTGAAGATCACTAGCAAAATATCATTTGATAAATCATCTATACTCAATTCTGTCATATCGTTGATCCTTACTGATGTTTTTTCATCAAATGCCATGATTTGAAATTGAAATGATAAAAATAAATTCACAATTTTTGGTGAAATTTATAATATTCTTTGATTAAATTTCTAATAACCTGAAGTTATGAAATTAAAATAATAGTTTTTTTTGTTCTCGGCTGCTTACAAATCTCAGCAAGTGAATACTAAAATTCAGCAATTTCTCACAAAAGTTTCACCAATTTCTTCAACAACAATTAAATCTAATTCAATTAGTTCTTCAAAAACTTTTCATTCACAAGCTTGTTGATTGTTGTCAGTTTTTTTTACCGGTCATTCTGTTATCCGCCAAAACAATTCAATTATCCGATAATTGACTAAGCAGAAAAAAAATTTCACTTTACTTTCAGTTCCCCTTTGAGTAATAAAAAATTGTCAAAACAAGAAAAAGCTGTCCCGTAAAAAATGTCAAATTATAAATTAATCTGTGAAATAAAGATTAACGATGAAATTCCTGTAAAAAAGTATCTGTTTACAGATTCAGGAATTCAGGTTTACATCGCTCAGGTCTCATCACCAGTCACGAATTCTTATAAGGCACTTGGTATGTAGAACAAGGAAATTTCTGAAATTCGATCGAAACTTAATTGGGTTGATTGATTGATTTTTAATAGCAACTGAAGAAGATAGCGATGATGGACTGCCACATACGTTAGAACATTTAGTGTTTCTGGGCTCTGAAGACTATCCATATAAAGGCGTTTTGGATCTTTTGGCCAATCGATCACTAGCTAATGGAACAAGTATGTTTGTAATATGACTCAAAAAATTTCAACTCAAGTTTCATAAAAACAAAATTTTCTTACATCATCAAATTCCAGATGCATGGACAGAAACTGATAACACTGTCTACACTCTAAGCTGTGCCGGTTCTGAGGGCTTCCTTCGACTTTTGCCTGTCTATCTTGATCATATTCTATTTCCAACTCTTACGAAATCTGGATTTATTACGGAAATTTACTCGGTGACGAAAGATGGTGAGGACAATGGTGCTGTTTATTGCGAAATGCAGGGTCGAGAAAATTCGGGAGAATCTCGAAGTCATTTGGAACTGTTGAGAAACATTTATCCTAATCATGGATATTCTAAGGTAAGCTGTTTATAAGAACTACTGGGAAAATGTTAGAGATCGATGTTGTCCAAACTTTTTGAGCCATGGGACACCAAAGTGGGGCCTCCCCCCCTGGACGTCATTACTGAACGACCCCTTTGCAAATTTAAGATCTCGATTTCTTATTCTTGCTTCTCCAAGATTCCATGATCACACATTAATAACAAATAATCATAATTTTAGGAAACTGGTGGAATCATGAAGAACATCCGTGAGAGTCTCAGCATCGAAAAAATCCGTGATTACCATAAAAAATTCTATCGTGCAGAAAATTTCGCCATCATCATTTGTGGACAGGTTGAGATTGAGGAAATAGCCAAGTCAATTGATTCCATTGAGAAAAAAGTCATTGCTCGTAAAGATTCTTACCCAAAATTCACAAAACCATGGCAAGTTCTTCCAAAACCTTTAAAACAATCAAAAGATGTTAAGATTTTATTTCCAAGCGATGAAGAAGAAAGTGGATTGGTTGCTGTTGGATTTATGGGACCAAAGGCAACAACTGATTTCGAATCATTAACAGCTTGCTATATTTTAATGAAATATTTGTCCGACACATCTGTATCTCCATTGTGTCAAACATTTATCGAGATAAGTGAACCATTTGCATCGGAAATACGCTACAATATTTCTGAAAATTCAATTTCGTTGCTGTACTTTACGTTCGAGAATGTCCCAATTGAGAAAATTGATTTCATTTATGAACGATTGCTTCAATTGCTTGTAGACATTGCAAATGGTAAGGAACCACTTGATGAACGTCGATTAAAAATTATTTTTGAAAAGTATGTCTTAGAAAGATTGAGTAGCTTGGAAAATTCACCACATGATGACATTGCCTTCCATATCCTTGGTGACTTCCTTTATGGTGAAAAGACAGAGGATTTCCACAAACGTTTGAACGTTACAGAAGTCATTCATAAGCTTGAGAAGAACAGCATTGATTACTGGACTGATTTGCTCAGAAAATACTTTATCGACAGCAACAGTGTGACTATTCGAGCAATTCCAAGCATAGCTGAAAAAGAAAGACTTGCTAAGGAAGAAACTGAAAGAATTGAAAAGCGCAAAGCTGAACTTGGTGAAGAAGGACTTGCACAGAAAGGAAAAGAACTTGAAGCAGCATTAGCTGAAAATGATCGAGCTCCGCCATTGGAAATGCTTACATCTATTCCAGTTCCAACCACTAAAAGTATCACTTTTCATCATTTGGATGTGATCCGAAAGTTTGATAAAAATTCAAAGATTGACTTGACGAATTTCCCATTTTATGTCGAAGTCTATGACTTGAAATCCAACTTTATCTACGTTACATTGAGCTTTGATACCAAAAGTGTTCCATTAGAACTACGCAACTACTTGCTTTTGTTCCTTGATTTAATCTTGGAATCACCAGTCAAAAAGGATAATGAGTTGATTCCATACGAAACTGTTGTCTCTGTGCTTGAAGAAGAAATCATCAGTTATGAAACAAGCCTTGGACTTCAATCAACAAGTCGATTCGGATGTGGTCCGTTTTCAAGCACTGCAACTTTCCATATGCAGATTGAGGTTAGAAAATTCGAAGTTGCTGTCTCATGGATGACAAGCTTAATATTTGATTCTGTCTTTACACCAGAAAGAGTTCATATTGTTGGATCTAAATTATTGAATGATGTGGCAACAGCTAAGAGGAATGGATATGACTTGGCAAGAGAAATATCTAAAGCTGTTTACTACAAAAATGACACAAATGTTCAACAAAATTCAGTCTTGCGTCAATATGCATTTTTGAGTGATTTACTTGAGAAGTTAAAGACACCAGAAGGAGAAGAATCGATTCTGAAGAATCTTAATTCACTCCGTGACATTTTGATTCCATCATTGTCACTCCATATTGCAACAAATGTATCAAAAGTTAAGGACTTGACAACACCATTGACTCCATTGATTCAAAAGTTTGAAAACCCATCAAAAATTCAAGAACTTGCAATAACTGCTGACTCATCATTGATGATACCTGAAGGAAATTTGGAATCAGAATATACTGGAACAATTGTTGGTGTTGGATGTATTGAAAGTGGATTTATGTTCCATACATCTCCAGGTATAACAAGCTTCATGGATCCTGATATGCCTGTCATTCTTCTATACCTTCAATACTTATCACAGCTTGAAGGTCCAATGTGGAAGAAAATCCGTAAAAATTCATATGGCTATAATGTAATTCCACGGCCTAATGAAGGACTTATTGTCTTCTCATTGTATCGTGCCACAAATATCTATGAAGCATTTAAGGATGCAAAAACAATTGTCGAAGCACAAGTTGAAGAAACGTCCGAATTTGATCAAACTTTAATCGAATCAGCAAAAAGTTCATTGATTTTTGAAATTATTGAGCGTGAAAAGACAGTCGGTGATTTAGTCCAGCAAGCAATGTTGAATTCCTTTAAAGGAATCTACAAAGACTATAATAAATATCTCGTCGATCAAGTTGCAACCATAACAGTTGATGATTTACGTCGCATTGGATCTAAATACTTTAAATCAATGTTTGATTCAAAATCAGCAAAGATCGTCATTGTTTGTCATCCCGACAAAGTTGAAGGAATCAAAAAGCAATTTGACGAATTCGGACATAATTTAAAGGAAAGCACAAGTTTGGAAGCAAGCATTTTAAATTCGTGTTCATGAAGTGCCTCCTGCATCGAAATTAAAATAATGAATTAATGATTACCATGTCAATTTTTTAACACATTTTAAATTAGTTTGTGTCTTTTGTCTTATTTTTTTCATTATATTTTGTAGACATTCGAGTGAAATTGACAAAATAAAAATAACATTAAAAATTTAAAAATCAGATAATTTTTTTTTGTAGACTACAAAGTTTGGAGAAGTTTGGTTTGATTTTGTAAATTTTGTATTAAAAACTTTGGATGATGTCCAATTTATATTAATATTCATATTCGTCTGATTTGGTTCCTGAAATCGTACAAAAGTTAAATAACAATTTTTGAATGTTTCAAAGTTTAATACCGTTAAAAAAACTTTGGTTACATTCAATAGCGCCTTTTTTCATCATCTGCACGCATGGAATTAACCAGATAACCTAAAAATACAAAAAGAACAACAATAATATAATTATTTTATATTTCTGGACTCAGATTTAAATAAGCAAATGAATACTAACCAATAATGTTTTATGTTTACCATTCAAATTTTCAATAGCACTAATTAACTTCATAATAGATTTGTTTAAATCACTTTCAATAATGTTCTAGTTCTTTTTTAAAATTTTAAAAATTAATATTCAATTCTAAAATATATATTTAGTAATCAGTAATAAGAACACGAAAAAAACCTTGATCATCAACAAAGAATCGCTCATGTGGACCAACAGTAATATTCCTCGACATTAAAAGATTTGTAATTTGTATATTATTATTCATCATTGCTCTTACTAGAGCAGATATATTATCAGTTCCATAATAGTGTTGAAGATTTACATTATGATTAAGCAGAGTCATAACACTTTGAATGTCATTGATGACGATGCTTGCATGAAGATTTTCAATGAATTCAACTAAATTTGTTATTTCCGGTGTTGCTGCAGTCGGATCAAAATTTTTTGGGAATCTTGAACTAGCCATGAGTAGCATCAGAACGATGTTTTGATGTCCATTATTCCAAGCGAAATCAACAGCGAAATGTCCTAATGTTGAGGAGTTTACATCGAAACCTGAATTAAAAATAGTTCATATTAAAATTTATTAAACAAAATATTGCTTATAACTTAATCTAAGAGTTGATTTGATGATTAGACTGGATTAGAGGGGCCCTTCGCATTGAAACCATTTGAAAGTATTAATGTTTTAAGTCAAAAATGGTTACCGAAAACCAGAGCTCGAAGTCGACTTGAGTCGACTCAGGTTTTTTGAGTCGCTCAACTTTTCTCGAGTTGACTTATTTTTTTTCGAGTCAACTCGAGTCAACTTCTTCTTGCAAAAAAATATCCCGAGTTGACTCGAAGTCGACATCTTCAATCTTCAATATATTCTTGAAATACCTGAAATCTTTTTGTCTATTCAGGATTGTAATTGGACATTTTATGTTGAAACTTTATTTTAATACTTAAGGAATTTAATATTATTGTAGATTTAGCAGAAAGAAGTAAACTTCCCAACAACTTGTCCCTGGCGGTAATTGAACCTGCGTTTTTAAGATTTCCGGTCGCATATTTTTTCTACTGGGATATAAGGGGTTGCTAAAGAGCATGGCAGAATGCCAGATTAAACTTTTTTCAGCTCTTTAACAGTATGTTTGGAGTTATCGTTTATGCGGCTTTGGTTGGAGACTTCCAGCATTTTCCAGGCTAAGTATCTCATTTTTGGTTTTATGAACTATTTGACTTAAAATAATAAATATTGAAGATTTCAAATCCGAATCAAAATTTCTACAAAAATTCATAAGTTATCAAAAAAAAGACATACGACCTTCTTGAAGTAGAACTTCTACAACACTCGCATTGCCATTTCCTGAAGACATCATAAGCAAATTTTGATTATTAAGGTTGGTAAGGTCCCTTAGAGTTACTTCATAAATTCTTTTTGATTTTTCATAATGAAATAAATAATTAACTGGATTGAAGGATTGAATTGATAAAGACATAAAGTCTATCACAAAGTTTGAGGCTCTTTTGCTGTACTTCATAGAGAAAATTTTTCCATCATTGCAAGTCCAAAAAGTATAAACGATTCCATCTTCTTGGCTCTCGAATGAAATTAGGAACTTCTTTTTTGGCTTGATTGACATCAGTTTTGAAATATCCTGAGGAGTTAGTTCATTCATCCATCTACTAATCTCTACAATTATCATGAATGCAGATTTACGCTGAATGAATTTTAACATAAAATTTATTCTTGTCAACATTTCAAAAGCGCTTTTTTCATTTGGACAGGCTTCGATGAAAACTCCAATAGGATTAAGACTTTGATCATTAAAATCCACAAAATATTCTGTGAATGTTTCAAACAAAAAGTTTTGATAGCGTTGAAGATTGCCAATAGCTTGATTCAGACCTGAAAAGTACAAAAAAAATTTAAATTTATAATTATTACATCTTAATAAAAAGTAATATTTCAAATCCAGATGTGTAGCAAAAGTTTTTGTTGTGAAACAAAATATAATTGACGACATTTTCTATGCAATTTTTGTTTTTTTTTCAATAATTCGACGCTAATTCCTTATATGTTAATATAAACACCAGTAGCGAAGTCAGAAGGTCAAGTCCCCCTCCCCCTGTAGATCTCCCTATAACTGCTATATGTGTATAATAATATTTTGTCAATTGCTAATGCAAATGTTAATGCCAAACTGACAATGTATAAGACGCTGATTCGCCCTTTAGCGCTGTATGCTGGAGAGTCATGGAACATGACTTTGGCGGATGAGAACGCATTCGGTGTCTTTACGTAGAAGATTTTAAGATCAATCTTTGGCCCGAAGAAGAAAAGAGACTTATACAAATGCAGAAATTTATCAGCTGTATAGAGATGCTGATATTGTGAGAAGAATCAAAGTAAACAGGCTTCGATGGGCTGGGCATGTTATTAGAAGACCTGTTGACGCTCCATTAAATAAGGCAAACTGATTTTGTAGATGGAAAGAGATCATCTGGAAGGCCAAAGAACTTATGGAAAGAGGCTCTTGATAGAGACAGTGTTGCATTTGGAATCGGCAATTGGCAGACGGTAGCGAGAGATTGAACTAGTTTTAGGGGACGGCTAAGAGAGGTCATGGATCACAACTGATCTGTACGACCAGCGAAGGAAGTAAGTAAGTTAATTTAGCCAATAAATTCATGATTCTAAAAAATTAAATTATCTTAATTTCTTTTTTTCTCTATTTCAATTTGTAAATGTTATCACTTGTGTTGAAATCAAGCTTTATTATTTATATTATTATTATTCTTTTTATCTTTATCTTTAGTTTATTCTTTAATCTTATATTCAAACTATAGAGTATAGTTTTGTGCATAATGAGACAACATAATCAGCTTGTTTCTTATTTTTGTCAAATCAAAGGCGGAGTCAGAATTGTTTTTTTTTTAATTCTAATGATATGGAAATTATTAATCAACAAAATTGAGTTTTAGAAGATTTTATGAAAATACAAAATATGTTTTTCAAAAGAAAATTTTTCATTAAAGAAAATGTGTTAAGATAGGGGTCCAATCTCTACTCCAAGTTCCTGGCTACGCTTATTTGTCAAATTATAGATTTATTTTTTATTGATACAAACAAATTTTTGAGAGAAATGTAACGTTATTTTGGATTATTAATAATTTTAATCATATATAGTCAACATTCGGAAGGATACACAGCTAAAGATAGAAACCAATATTTTTTGGAATCACTTATCTTGGTAATTCTCATTTTTATTGAATCATGGTCATTCGAATTTTTTCTATCAAAATATGAATCACTCAATTCATTATTCAAATTGCTTCATCCCCAAATAAATTAGGGTGTCCATTCATTTATTATTATGTTCGCTTTTTGGAAGAAAGAAGGTCAAATAGCTTAAACAAAAAAGATTTTTTTTCCATAAAGAACTGTAGCAGATGAGGGGGGTTGAGGGGGTAGTCTAAAAAGAAGTTTTTTTGCTTAACGTAATTATTGAACGAGCACATGTGCATGTCTGGAAAATTTACTGTGTGTGTTTTCAATAAAATTTTGTAAATGTCTTCATTTGATAAAAATCCGATGGTCACCCGGTACTTATCTTAATAGAATTTAAAAACAAAATTCATTGCCGGATGTATTTAAAGATCATATGTTATACATTTAATTGTGCATGTTAAGAAGCAAAATTGTCTACTGTATTCATTTTACTGGATCGTTTTACTTTACATATCATATTATCTAAATATCTCTGGTAATAAACTATTATTATTATATAGATAATGTATTAATGTTCAGTTTATTTAAATTTTAATTCACAGATTCTTAAAACTTTCACTTACATCTCATATTATTCATTATTTAATTCAGCTATTACAAGCTTAGATAATCAAACATAAATAAAATTTCATTCAAAACAGAAAATCAACTTATAAAAAAATTATTATTTTAAACTTTTTCAAAACATTGCTCCTGCAATGATTGTTCCGACACAACTGATAAAAAGTTTTGTTTGTATAGGAAAAATGTGCAATGTTATGCTTGTTATGGCAACAAAAATTACAAAAGTCCTCGTGATCGAGAGACTTCAGCGTATTTTTGACGCAGCGATCAGTTTTCTTACATTTAATTGCACCTTATTGCATTTATTGTCGACATACTGTCCGGTAATAATTGACATTTTACACTTTTGTGTTTATATGCATATGAATTAATTTTATGTAGGATCAAGCTTATAATCTTCAAATCTAGTAAGGTAATCTTGTAGCTCTCGTTCTTTATTTCTCCTGCTACACTTCAAGTTCCTGATCCGTTCCTTAATCCAACGGTGCCTATATGCCCAATTATGGCTTGAACTCGTACATTAAGCAGTCGAAGTATCTAAACTTCTGAAAAAGAACAAATTTGGAAACGGCTGTATGCAAACCGACGAAAATCGAGTTACTATACCAATTTTGAGCCAAGCGCCTTATCTATTCGATCAGCAAGGCACTTTATTGCTTATATTATTGTTTTGCGTTCATTTACAGATCATTAGAAGATTAAAAGATCATTAATTATAGTATAATTAATAAGTTTTGCAATGAATTTCCATATAGAAAGGGTTTATCATTTAACGGTCTTTTTTATTTTAAATTTTACAACGTTTTGCGGTTCGAAAATAATCGATAAGCCAATAACTTCATGTAACTGAGCTAATAAAACAAACCCGAGCTCTTTATGATGTCTGGTTAATGAGATCTCAGAAACCGGTCGAGCAGCCGAACAAAGTGCATAATTAAGCTACCTTTTAGAAACAAGTTTTAAAAATGCGCTGAAAATCGGACATATCTTTAAATAAATTGCTGATTATGAGGACAACAAGTCACATCTAGATGTCGTTGACATTATTTACGCGAATATCATACTTTGTATGAAAATGTTACACAATATTTAGAGATTTTAATAAAGATTAATTTTATAACTGAATATAACTTAATTTATACAAAAAATAACAATTTTAATTTGCTGATTTCAAGTTTGATTCTCAATATATGTTTCATTTGATTTTATAGCTTCGTCATAAGATGGCAGGCCTGAAAACACAAATAAAACTTTGTTAAATTTAAACTGCAAATGCCTTTTAAAGTTTAATCCTTACTGAAATCCATTAAATCATCACTATTTGGCGTCACAGGACATGATGATCCTGACATGCATTCCTCATAGCTCATTGGTGCAAATTCAAGTCTTCTAGGTTCCATTAATTCCAATTCATAATCACGTCGATCATCTCTAAAAAGCTGAATAGTTCCGATTCGAATTGGAAGCCTTAGAATAGGACTTCTTGTAGCTCCTGCTGTCTTTGCTTTAACTTGAACCTCATAAGAAAGTTTAATAATTTCACAATTATCAATATTTGGTGGAACTTGTGGAATTTTTAAATATTTTATAAAAAGCTTTTTCATGTGAGCTTCAACATCGCCGCAATAAGCTGAAGCTTCTGTTGTCTCCACAGTATGCTGATTGATATTTGGATTTTGTGAGATAAATGTGACAATTTTCTTAAGTGTAACTTTAACATATTTAACATAAATTATTGTACGGTTATCAACTTGTATCCTTATATCCATTATTTGATTTGGAACATAACCTTGCTGTGGAATCATAGCTGTCATATAAAGAAATTTGGATGTAAAATCAATTGCAAAATCTTTTGATATAACTCGCAGTAAAGGCCTCGTCATATCTTCAATTGCATTTAAGTCAACAATTTGCTTCACAAAAAATGGATATTCAAATTCCATATGTGACTTTCCAAATCTTTTAACCAAAACTATCATTTTATATTTAACATAACCTTCCGACGAGTTAAAGCTTGACGGTAGCGTTGGTGGAAGTTGATAGAAAAAGTTAAAGGAAAATTTGCCTTTTGGAAAAATTTGACCATTTCGAGGTTTGTTAAATAGCAAAAGTTTTGTATTTAGATGCTCTACTCGTCCACTTAATGAATGCAGGGAACTTTCAACTGACCAAGAACATTTTGCATAGCCAAGAATTTGACAGCTGACTTCTAGAGAAATAAAAAAAAGGAATTTTAATTAATTACATTAGAAGCTTGATTTAACCCTATCAACTTCGAGCTCTGTTAATTAAGTTCGAGATTCCAAAAACATTTTTAAAGTTTTGTAAAAAAAATAGTAAAATTTCTTTCAGTTAGTTTTCGTATTTACAATAAGATGGCACTACCTATTGTATATATTAAAGTAATGCAATAAAGAGTCAACTCTTCATCTTAATTTTTAAAACTTTAAAACAAGTTTAGAAGCAAGAATAGAAAATTCTGAAGCTATGTGATGTTCAAGCAAAGTTATACTCAAATAATACGCACTATAGTTCTTTTTTTTACTTATCTAAAGTTTCACTGCTTTTGTAATTTGTTATAAGCCTTTATATTAAAGTTTGTGAAATCTTTTTCTAAAAGATAACATTTTATTTTAATATTTCACAAAATTCTCTGACAAAAGGTCAGATAAGCACTCAAACTTCACAATTTTAACTTCAAATATTTCACTTTTAATCAATTTAATTTATTAAAAAATCACCAAATAAAATTCATACAGTCACTAGAATTTACAAACCATTAATCAACGATGCATCACTAAACTTTAAAATCACGGCGCCACTAAAAGCTTCACCAGCAGCAAATATTCTATTTTGATTTCTCCGCAGTTCTATTTCGCACTTCATTTGTGTGGTTTCCTTTTCAGGTTATTTTATCGACTGAAAATAAATGACCGATTTTTGTTTTATGTTTTATCACTGTTTTGATAAGGAAACGAATTGTTTAGATATCCGAACATTTTGTCTGTATGTTTAAATGAGGACTTTTACAAGCATCTTAATTTAAGATTTCAGGGAAGTTGAAAGATTTATTTCGAAAAATTGTAAATTTCGGAAGAGTTCAAGAAAGCTCTCTTTATTCCTTAGCGGCTAGCTTTTGGATCTTAGAATAGTAAATTAGTGTAAAACTAGAGAAACCTAAGTTAAACCTTTTGTTTGTTGAATCTCACTTAAATCTTAAAATTTTCTCAATAAGAACCCCTAAAATCCATTTCTTCTTATATTTTTAGCCTAGATAAGCCAAAATAAAAATTGCCGAGCAAAAGTATTCCATTAGTTGCTTTTTTTATGAACAACCTTTTCTATATAAATTCACTGACTGATAAAAAAGACAGTTAAAAATACAACAGATTAGATATCGACTTGTTAAATAATGAAATTGTTGTCACAGTTTTTCGACTGATATAAAAACAATAAAGTAGTCGTCACAGTTGACGAAAAATATTTATTATCATTTTGTACGATATTATCTTGAATTGAAAACATATTCACAGCTGATGAACATAATAATAACAGTGTTGACATTAAAAAGGAAGCTAAACATGAGACCTGATTCGATTATATTATATAACTTCTTTTTATATTCCCAACATTCTTTGAACATACCAGAATGGCACAAGTCGGTTAATTTATCAGAAATCTAGCACCAAGCCGGTGTGATTCTGTTAAGCCAGCACCATGCCAGAGTCATGCCTGGTTGGTGCCGGATTTATATTCGATTAACCGACTTGTGCAATTTGGGATAGAATTATTGGTATGCATTCCTAGCACTAATTCGTATTGATCATGGTTGTATTGTTCCAACTTACTGATCATTAAGAATAGTGGATCAATTATTCTGTCACTAGGCTTTTCGGAGGCGCCCGTGACACCTGTTATCAGGGTTTAAATTTAATTATTATTTAGTAATGTCAATCCTACCACAAAACTTCACAAGACTTCACAAATCTCTTCAAATTCGGACCCACCTTACTTTCCCACCAACCCCCACCTGACGCCCACCTTGTCAACACTCCCCAGTCAGTGTATTCTGCTTTTATAATATAGATTTTTGCAGATTCATGGCGAAATGCTAGAAAGCTTCTAAAGCCAATAAGCCTTTATATCCACAACATGACCTTCACATTTACTTCCATTTCCCTCATTTATTAATGTATCATCACGTCAGCACAAAATTGTTGTCTTTATTCAGTCTAATGTAAATGTACGATAGAAACGTGCAATCACTAGGATTGAATCACGAGTAATATCGCAAAAAGTGAATTATTCGATAAGACTTTATCGAAAATCGTTTAAGGCTTGATAAAAAGAAACCACTTATTGTTTTAATAAATAAATCTAAATTTGTAAATCTGAGAACTGACGTCATTAAAATAAAAAAAAATAAATTAAAATAATAAAATATTTATTGGTATTTTTATTTTTGTAGCAAGAACGGCATGCAATAGAAGCTATTTTGACATTAACATGAATGATAATGATAAGAATTAATACTTTTGGATATTTTACATAGGCACGCGACATATTGCCTACTCGTAGATTATTATAGATTATAAAATGGATTTAAAATGTGACAAATCCACAAATTAATCTACTTGGCTTCTTCCTCAACACCTTCGGGAGTGATTGAAGTAATCATAATAGCTGGTGCAGTATCAAAGTTCATGACACACGGTGAAAGTGGAGTTTGTGGAATATCTGGTGATGCTGGAATAATTGAACCATCTGGACTTCCTGGATCAGATACAGTCACAATTTTGATTCTTGAACAGTGAGCACATGAGCATGTACATGTACAAACATTTGAATTGTGCCTTAAAGACTGATCAGTGTTATTTAAATTCAACTTTAAGTTTGTCTTTTTTCCAGCTAGTTCTCCAGGTTTTGGGACTTCAGGCTTCTTAAGCTCAATACTTCCGATCAAAATTGGAATGATTAAAGTTTCTCTCTTTCCAATTTCATTAGTCTTGACTCGAATCCAAATCCGGTAACAAACTTGAATCAAATCACAATTGTCGATGTCTGGGTGAAGTGGAGGAACTTTGATGACTTTGATGAATTCCCGCTTTTCACCTGCTGGAACTTCATCGCATTCTTCTGTTGCTTCTGTAATTATCCATTCCTCTTCTTCTTTCTCTAGTGGCTCTTTATTGACGATGCTGGATTGAATATGTGCAATTGAAATAAAAGTTAATTTTAAGTTAAAATCGTAAGAATGCTTTCTAAACTAATGTTAACTTTACAAACTGCACCTTACCTTGCAAGAATAATCTTTTGCACTAAGGAAATATCAATACCTTTGACATGCACAGTAGATCCATTATCAACCATTAATTTTAAGGTTATATCCTCTCCACTACAATATCCCCTTTGAGGAATAACAGCTGTCATTACAAAATCTTTAGATATTCCATTAGCACTTGATGTCTTGATTTCTCGTGGCCTGTTTAGAGGTGGCATGACCTCATTCAAGTCTAGCAATCTAACCAGCTCAATTGAATATTCATACTTTTTGGTCGGACTGTTTGGTCGATGAACTGAGAGTTGAATTTTATATTTTATAGTGCATCCAGTCTTCTTCCATCTTGTTAGCTTGCTTGTTGCATTATTTTCAAATTTAAAGCTTGATGGTAGATTTTTAGGAAGTAAAAATGAGCTGCGAAACTTGTGCATTCCAGTTGTAAAATCTGCATTCTTGACAACTTCAATTTTCTTGTTTATGAGTTCAACACTGCTGGTAAGGAGTTTGCCATTATTGCCAGGACGCTGCTTCATGAACTTATTCTTGGCGACTCCAATGACATGAATTGCAACTTCTATAAAATTGCAACAATAATTATAAATTGATATTTGGATTGTCTCAGTTTTTGATGGATTAAGTAAACAGGTGACACTTTAAAGCTAGCCCAACTAGGCTAGAAACTTGCCAGAGATAGGGATTAGTGATCGCAAATCTCGAAGATTTAAATCTTACCATCAACTTTAGTAGCTTGCTTAAAGTGGAGATCAATAGTCACTTTCACATTGTCTCCTGGACTGCAAATTCTCTTTCGATTCACAAAATTTGAAAAACTATTCACAAAATGTAAATTACAGTGCATTTTTGTAATTTTATTCTTATTTTTTTTTTTATTTTTTATTCTTATTTAAAAAGTGTTTGTCTTTTATAGGAAATTAGGAATATTAAAAAATGCTTAATTATTTCCGATTATTTACATTGGATCTTAAAAAATGTCACACTTGTAAATTAATTTTAAAATATTTTAAACTAAACTTTTAATATTTTTATAAAGTTTTTCTAAAATTCCAATTTAATCAAAAAATAATAAAATACTAAATTTCACAAAAAATCCTTAAAAAATCATACAAAAATTTACAAGAAACTGTCAAAAAAGCTTCTGTACTCTTCAGAGTTTCTCTCAAGTATGTTTATATCAGCAAAAAAAAAGTGCAACTTTAGTTATTTTTTTGACACAACCAGTTATCGATACAACTGACGGCAATAAAACTGATAAGAATTAAAATGTTGTGATAAACGTAAAATAAAAAGACTAAAAAGTATGATTTATGGTAGCAGCTATTGAGAGAAGATTTTTATAGCCTGATTTTATTGTTGCTTATTAAACTGGTGGCTAATTGATGTTGTTGGTGGGAATTAGCGGTTCTTATGGTATTAAGATTAGGGGTTTCAATCGCGGGTGTAAAATTTACTGATCCCCGGGATAAAAATGATGTTTGAAGGACTCAACCTTTCAGCTGGAGGCACTGTGATTCAATTTGTAAATAATATATTGTACCATACCCTTTAGACCTGCAGATTATAGTGGAATCCGAACCACTTGCAAGCTCTAATCACAATTCGTGTGCGCAAGATGCCATAATGAAATCATCAACCTAGTTATTTTAACAAAGGAGAAATATTATGTGCCAAAGACATCCAACACACAAACCGAGCTTCTTAACTAGAAAGTTGAAATGGAAAAAGAGCTTCGATAATTAGACATGGCTTCTGATTGAACCCAGGACTTTTGGCATGAAAAGCCAACGCTCTTGATCCCAGAATAACTTACATTTCAATTCGGGAAGTGAAAATTCTAATGAAGATTATTTTTGTAGCTTTAAATACTAAGGAACTAAATACTTGGAGCCTGGATACTTCATCAAAAAATGGATTTAGATTTCTTGAAATTGATGAAAAAAGTACCACTTTCTGGGACTAAAGACAGACCAAGATTTTTCCAAAAATTGATTTTATTTATAAATTCTTATTAGATGGTAATTATAACTTTCTAATACGAGGCCGTTCATTTAAAAACGTCCATCAAAAAACATTATTTTTTGACTTGCTCAGGCCACAAAACTGTTACAGATGTCACCCCCCTCCCCACTATGGGGCAAAATTGAAAAAAAGCGGCAATTAAGGAAATTTTTGAACAGTTTTGAACTACGCTTTCAGGGTTATTTTTTCTTGAAGAGAACATCAAAATTGACTTCTATGCCAAATTTCAGGTCATTTGATGCTGTTTTTACAATTCTGTGGCTGTTTGAAGTTGAAAATGAGTGAAAATTTTGATTTTTTCACGTCTTATTTAAACTGTCACATCTTTTTAATAGTTAAAGATATTAAGAAACGCTTTTCGGTTTCTAATAGTGTCATGTAAGAGCTTTGTTTTGATAATGTACAAAATTTGTAATTTTGTAGTTTTGGTATCAGTATGGGAAGAAATGTGTGAAAATTTTATGAAAAATATATTCTAGCATGCCGCAAAGATCTTAAATGGCCACTTTTCAGTCATATAAGCACATTGTGTTTTAGCCTCTGTCTTCTAGTTTTCAAAAATGTATAAACATCAAAATTTCTTTGGTACTTTTTTGAGATAAATTGATTTAAATAAATAGTAGAATAATTCAACAAAAAATAAAATATCTTATAAAAGTTACGAAACAACAACAAAAAATGAGTTTTGTGTTAGTTTTCGATGACAAACAATATTTAAAAACAAACTGCGAAGAAATTTTTTCAAAAAGTTCAAAATCTGCCGATATATAGGGTACTTTTCATATCTGACGACTTGTATGGTTTTCGCATCACTCAAACTGCTTTTATTTTTGTGTACCTCAATATTTTTTAATTCTGTTTACAGTTTATTGTAGCTTAAGTCTAGACTTTTCTAAGCATATATAATACTTTGTAGTTTAGTATTATCTTGGTCATGAATTTAGGACTTGTTTGTGAACGACCCTAAACAACAAAAAATCTCAAAAACGTCATTTCTAGAAATATCACATAAAAACAAAATTAGGTATTGTTTTTAGGTTTTTCATGATTATATATGATATTTATGACTATTAAAACTTAAAAAAGTGTCTTTCATAATTTTTTTTGCGATTTTTGTGTTTTTACCTATTCTGGTTGCGGTTCAGTATGTTTTCTATATATCCTTAGAAAGGTCTAAATTTAAGCTACAATAAACTGCAAACAGAATTAAGAAATATTGAGGTACACAAAAATAAGAGCAGTTTGAGTGATGCAAAAACCATACAAGTCGTCAGATATGAAAAATACCCTATATCTTGGCAGATTTTGAACTTTTTGAAAAAATTTCTTCGCAATTTGTTTTTAAATATTGTTTTTCATCGAAAAATAACACAAAACTCATTTTTAGTTGTTGTTTCGTAACTTTTATAAGATATTTTATTTTTTGTTGAATTATTCTGCTACTTATTTAAACCAATTTATCTCAAAAAAGTACCAAAGAAATTTTGATGTTTATACATTTTTGAAAACTAAAAGGCAGAGGCTAAAACACAATGTGCTTATATGACTGAAAAGTGGCCATTTAAGATCTTTACGGCATGCTTGAATATATTTTTCATAGAATTTTCACACATTTCTTCCCATACTTGTACCAAAACTACAAAATTACAAATTTTGTACATAATGAAAACAAAGTTCTTGCATGACACTATTAGAAACCGAAAAGCGTTTCTTAATATCTTTAACTATTAAAAAGATGTGACAGTTTAAATAAGACGTGAAAAAATCAAAATTTTCACTCATTTTCAACTTCAAACAGCCACAGAATTGTAAAAACAGCATCAAATGACCTGAAATTTGGCATAGAAGTCAATTTTGATGTCCCCTACAAGAAAAAATAACCCTGAAAGCGTAGTTCAAAACTGTTCAAAAATTTCCTTAATTGCCGCTTTTTTTCAATTTTGCCCCATAGTGCTCCCCCTTGTGATGTCCAATTTAAGACACAAAAAAGTTATAATTTCCTCATTTTAAAATTGGATGTCATAAATTTCCTGACTCCCTTTCCTCCCCTGTCATAATGTGTCATAAATGTTTTTGACCCCCCCCCCCCCTTAATATTGAACGACCCCAAAGCTGTCCCGGAAAATTCGATACGGTTAGTCACTAAACATAATCTTCAAAGACTTTTTCGTCATTTATTGCTTTAATTAAAAAGTTATGTATTTATCAGATAAAAATATTTACAATTAAAGTTCACAGCTACTTGTTTTTAGACGTCATAAAATTTAATTTTTAAAATAATTTTTGATAAGATTTTAATTATCTTAACAGATAAATAAATTACTAAAAATAAAATTAAATACACATCGTAAAATGATTTTGTAAATTCACTGTTGTCAGCATCGTATCTTATAAACTCAAATGTTTTGTTGTATTTTAATAAATTCTCAATATTTTCAACGGCATCCTTCATTCCACTTGACATTTTATCGTACACAACCTTTTTCAATTTCCGAATGTTTTCTTTATATTTAGGTTTTGTCATTTCCAGTATGTCATTGAATAATGAATCTTTAGTAAATTTATTAATATCCACATTCAGTGCAACTTCATGCTTACTCTGTAAAATTGCATTAAATGGCTGATCGTAGCTTAATGGAATTAGAATCATTGGAATTTCTCTATCAATAGCTTCCTCAATTGTTCTCAATCCTGAATGTGATATTAAAAGTTTAACATTAGGATGAGCAAGAATGTCAGCTAAGGGAAGCCAGTTTGAGGCTAAAATATTTTTGGTTTTGAAGATTGATTGCTGATTTGATGATGGAATCTTAATTTTATGTTCATTTGTTTTTTCAAGATCTTTGAATTGACGAATTTTAGACTTATTTTTGAAAAGTAATTTTGGCACAAATATTTCTTTTAAGTTTCTGTCACATTTTGAGTTTGAGCAATTTGAGACTAAATTGTCTTGTGTGAAGCTTTTCAATTGCAGATTTTTATTTTCTGATCTTTGGTTCACTTCAAATGATTGATCATGTAAAAAACTTGTAACTTTGGTTGTCGAGCATTGCTTTTCGAAAAACACTGAGTTTAAAACAGTTCTAAAACTATTTTCACATTCCAAACTTTTAATTTTAGATTTCAATAAGTTTTTTGGTAATTTTTTGATTAAATTCCACTTTGGCATTCCATTAAGTCTAAACAAATCGCTGAATTTAGTAACATTAGTCTTCCAAATGACATTGTAAGGAAGATCAAGAAAGACTTCAAGAAATTTCATTAAAAGTTCATCACTTAAGTCACCAGCAACTGATCCAAATGATATAATAATGACACCATTTTTAGATTCATCCAAAAAGTTTACCAATTCTTTGTCTTTGATTTCTTTTGGTTCTTTAATGTGAATAAATCCAATTTGATGATAAATTGGAACAGTTGGTCTTATACTTGTAGTCAGAGTGGATGTAAAGCTGAGAAATATTTTCATTCTTTTTCTTATGATTTCATCTTGACTTTTGTAGCTTAAATTTGGAAATGTTGAATACAGCAAGTAGTCACTAAGTGTATTTGTTAAAAATTTCCAAATTCCAACAAAAATTTTGTAAATAATAAATGAATTAATTCGGCTGATTAAACTGAGCTCCCCATGCAGCATCGGAAGTACATAAATATCTGGATGAATTGAAGGATGTGCAAAGTTGCCTAAAAGTTGATGTTGATGCACGTGTGATTCACCAGCGTTTAACATTACAATCGGACAATCGTAAATTTCAGCTAGTACGATTGGAGAACACAACAAACATTCAGTCATTATTAAGTCATAATGATGATTATCACGATTTTTAAAAAGTTTTTGGAATTCTTGATTTTCGAAAACTTTTTCAAGAATTTTGTATGCTGATCGCATCTCCCAAAATCCATAAATTTCACTATTACTCATATTTTTCAATTTATAATCCAGAATATTTGTATATTTATGAAAAGTATCAACAAGTCCTTCTAAATAATGCTGAGTAACATTTGTACTGTCATAATTCATGAAATAAGGTGTAAATATTGTCAAATTATGTCCCCGATTAGCAAATTCTTGTAATATTTGATGATGAATAATATGATGACTATAGTATGGAACTGCAAGAATTGCCAATATATTTGCACAAAGTGATCTACAAATGAAGCACCAAAAAATTATTAAAAATAAAAAATTCATTTTTGTGAAGACTATGTAAACAAGTTGAAGATTCGGTCACGACTGAGTAGAAATTATTGAAAGTGCTCAAATTTGTTATAAGTTCAGGGGTTTCAACGAATTTCTAAAATCTTTTTTAATTTTATTAATTAACATGTTGTCTTATGAGGTTCCTCAAATTGAAAGCTGACAAAGGTGGCAACCAAGGCGTGGAAACTTACGATAAATCCCGAAAAATCTTTTTAAATCCTGAAATTATTCATCAAATGCACCAGAGTTTAAAAAGGGATTTCACATTTTCATGTTTATTGGTTTAGGGATTTTTTAAGATTTTTGGGATTTTTTAAGATTAATCCTGAGTTGCCATGCCTTGGTAGCAACATCATTTTTGGGGTTTATAAAGTTATAGGTCAATTCCTTACTTACTTACTTCCTTGGCTAGAGCGCATGTGGGCCCATTGCCGCGTTCAGAAATCGTCTAAGGTCAGCTCTATTCTTCTGCCAGTTCGGGAGATTAAAGAATCTAGTATCCTTATCAACACATCCAATCCAGGTATTCTTTGGTCTTCCTATAGCTAGGGTGACCATCTGCGTAGTTTTACAACGGACAGTCTTGTATTTCAAAACCCTGTCCTGTATAAATTTGAAAATTTTGTTCCAGGTCCTGTATAAATTTGAAAATTTTGTTCCAGGTCCTGTATTTTTTTCAACAAAATTTCGTTAATTTTCAAATTTTCCTTTGTGTCCTGTATTTTTTAGGAAATTTATCAAATGTCCTGTATTTTCATAAAAATTAAATGGTCACCTTACCTCTAGCTCTCTTGCCATCCATAAAATCTGCAACAGCTAAGTACTGGGGCATCTTGTGGATGTCTAATAATAAGAACCGTAATGATTTCAGCATGCTGGAACAACTGATATAGTTTGTCATTGTGTCGGCTTCCTTCACAGGCCCACAAATCGCTTGTAATACTTGTCTTTCGAAGACAACAAGAGCTTCCTCATCCGCTTGTCTTCGGGGTTCTGAGATCGCGATTATGTAAGAGAATTTTCGTTCCTGTTCCCGTTTCCCTTTTTGTGTGCCTTAAATTCCCAAGAATATTCCCGTTCCCGACCCTCATTCCCGTTCAAGTGTAATTTCGGGGATCGGAAACTGGAACGTTCCTTAGGAAAGGAAATTTCCCGTTCCTAAGGACCGTTCCTTTTCCCGATCCCCGAAGTTACACTGGAACATGAATTCTAGAAACCCTAGCTTGCCAAGACTACATTTCCAAATTTTATCTGTCCACAAATGTTGAATATCAAATTTTGACTCAATTAAAAAACATCAAAATTTCATGACAATGTTAAAATGATAACCCGAGCGGCACAAAGGCTCCATTTGCCTTCCATATGGAAGCTATACGGAGCCTCCATGTTCCACCCTCCATTTGAAAATCTTCCGAAAACCTTACTATCATGGAACTTTGACGGAGCCAAAGCTCCGAAAATCCTCCGTGGGACGTGCATTTATTAACACCAAATGGAAGTCATTTGAGAGGTTTTGATGGAGGATGGAGGATCCATTTGTGGTAGTCAAACGGAGGTTTAATGGAAGTATTTTTCAAAGGATTTTTGGTACGATTTTCCACGTGTTTTTCTATGTTTCGCAATTTTTATATCAAGATTTGTAGCTGTATTAGTGGACTTAATTAAAGTACACTAACACTATTGAAAAATTTACAACTTAATTTAATTAAGTCGCAACCACAGCAATTTCTAAGTCTCGATCACACGCGTGAGAAACATAAGAAATTATTAAAAATTTTCATACAAATTAAACGACCCCATATAATAGTGATTTCTGCATGCGCTTGTGAAGTATGTAATTTCATACAAAATCACAAAAAATTATCCTTTTTTGCTTTTTTAAAGCTTGAAATGAAGCAATATGATTCAGTAAAGCTTTTCGACAATATTTCAATCCATTACAGTAAGATCTGACCTTTCTCTTTTAAAAATTCAAAAGCACGAGTTTTTCGGTATTTGATTTAAGAAAAAGCGGAGTTCATATGGAATCCAAATGGAATCAATATGAAGGATGAAAAAATAACCCTCCATTTACTTCCCACATAGTGGAGGTGGCTTTCATATGGATTCCATATGGAGACCACCCTCCACCTTGTGCCGCTCGGGTAAGCATGTCAAAATGGATATTTGAGTACTTTCCACAAATTCTCAAAATATCCAATTAAAAAAAGAGCACAAATTTTGTTGTGCTCGATGAAAAAAGAAAAAGAGAATGAGAATTAGAAAAAATTACACGTAAGCCTTTATAAAATATTAAAGTGTATTTAACAAATTCAGCTCTCAGTCTCTCTGTATATTTCACTGAATGCACAACAAAAATTAAATTTGTAAAAAAAAATCATTGATTGTGAAAAAAAGTCTTATCAAAATTATAAAATAAGTCACGAAACTGTGAATCAACAAGTGTCAAAATATCACAAACGAATGCACGTGCATTGAAATTATAAAAAATTAACTTAATTCTCAAATGATAATTTTTTTAATAATTTTAAGTGAAAAATGGTAAGAAAATAAAATGTGAATATAGTCATCAAATCGTAAAAATTACGTCACAAAATTCTCAGACTTAAATTATGTAGATTGAGTTTTTTTTAAATTTCAAAAATTATCTTAGCCATTTGTCGTCTAAATTGTGTCGCAAGAGAATAAAGGAAACAGTTTTGGTTCACAAATGTCGCGATGATCCGAACCACTGTCTCTTAACATAGATTTATAGTACCTTTAAAAAAAGTGTTGTTCAAACTGTGTGCCGCGGCACACAAGTGTGTCGTAGATTTTTTTTAAATGACACGAGATGCATGCTGTGTGCGACTCTGTCATGGCTTACTTTTAAAGTGTGCCGTGTCTCAAAAAGTTAGGACAATAATGCTTTAGAAGGTAGCCTCAGAAACCATGAAAATAGGTTTAGTTGACATTGTTAAAAACTTCAATTATTTCACAACTTATTAAAAAAGTCGTGACAGTTTTTACAAATCTGACAATTTCGTTCCTACATCCCTTAAAACATGCATCATGTAATGAATAAAGTTGTAGTATGTGTAGTAAAAATATACGACTAGATTGTGAGTTGGATTTTAAACGCGTGATTTTATCATGTGTTAGACAAGTAAACAAAACATAAAAAAACGATTTTGAATATTCATCGATTTTTTTTTCTTGATGAGGTTGTAGAAAGGTGATAACAATATCAAGTAAACACGACTGTGATTTTACAGTCAATGACTGTGACAGATGATTACCTGGCAAGTGACAAATCGCAACTCTGCATAAAATATAAAAAAAATTGAAGACTTTTAAAGGCACTTTTAAGTCTTCATAGCAACAGCTCTTATAATAAATTTGCCAAATCTTATCACCAATGAGTTTTCGCTTGATTGAAAAGAGTAAAGTCCAAAAAAATATCATAAAAGCAGAGGTGAATTAAAATAATTTGCTTACTATCCTTCCCAAATCTGTTGTTGTTGTTGAATAAGACATTAGCAGTTCTGCTAACACTTTGAATCAATTGTTTTAAGCTCTGTTCTAGAAGATGACAAAATTATATCAAAAAGTCTTCTTTGAAGAAAAGTTCTTAATGAAATAAGGTTAGACAACGTTTAAATTTTTTCGTGACGCTTTAAAAATGACTTTGAAAGCATTGATAAATAAAAATAATTCGACGAAAAGGCGATGATTTTTTGAGAATTTTTCTTATCAGTTATGGTTTTTTCTTTATTTTTAGATTAATGATTTAAAAAAAGTTTTGTTTTCAAATGTCTTAAATACAACTTAAATATACGTAAAATACTACGTAATGCAAGTGTATGACATTCTTTAACAACCACGTACATTGCATGCTAATCTAGATTCTATATAGAAATAATCTAGATTCTATACTAAAAGGAGGTTTAAGTATTTAAAGATGAGATTATACATATTTCACAGATGCATTTTCAAGGCAATTCATAAGTTGTTGATCGTTTAGTGTCCAGAAAGTAAAAGAACAAGAACTGAGATTTTAAGAATGTGAAATTCAGAGTTTGAAGTCGACTCGAAAATATCATCGGCTCTGCTATAAATTGGCAAAAATATAGAAAATTTGTATTTTAAATGAACAATATAATTCGATTCTAGAATCATCTTTAATAAGCGTCTGAAGCAAATGGTGAAGAAAGCTGCAGTAGCTTTTCGATCAATAGCTAATGGAAAATCTAAGGAATAAACACTCGGGATTAATCTTGAAAAATCCCATAAATCCTAAAAAAAATCCAATAAACATGAAAATGTGAAATTTCTTTTAAATTCCAAAATTATTCATCAAATGCATCAGAGTTTTAAAAGGAATTTCACATTTTTTTTATGTTAATTGGCTCAGGGATTTATTAAGAACTTTTTGGATTTTTCAGGATTAATCCTGAGTTTCGACGCCTTGCAAAAGTCTTTGTAAGCTACAGACAAAAAAAATAAACTTACAAACAGAATTTAAGTATTTTGATTAAGGTTGATAATTTTAAATTTCCAGTTTCATAAACACAATGACAAATAAGTGAAGATAAAAAAATTAGGAAATAAGTGGCAACTTGTGAGCAGGATTGTATAAGTGATTAATGTTTAAGATGCATCAAAAAAAAAAGGACAGAAGTTGCAAAATGTAAGTGTTAAATAGTATTAAATAAGACAATTAATCAAAAATAATTTTATTTTTTTAGACGTAAATTTTGGTTTCCAATATACAGTTTAAGATTGATTTAAATTTGCTTTAATCTTGAGAGCTTGAAATGACAAAAAAGGTTAAAGAACTTTGATTGAAAATCTGCCTTTGAATTGAAAAATAAAGCAACAAAAACTGATTTCATCCAATTTCGGTTTCTTTAACAAACAATAAACTAAGCTTTCAAAAGACAAGATTACAGTCAAATTGTTTTGGAATTAATAAAATACAAAGGCATCAGCACACACATGTGCACATATTGATATCTCAACGAAAGTTTCGAGACTCGTACTTTAAAACAGGAGTTGTTTTGACTACTCAATGAGCACAGAAACACATTTTTAAAAAACACACTTTTTTAAATAGGCTGAATTAAGCTATTTAATTTAACTCATCAGAAAAATACAAAATATGGAATAATTATATATGGAAGACATCGAGCTGGAATATGATCTATTATCTTGAAATTTAATATGGTGATTCCTCAAAATTACTTCTTTAAAAGCTTAACATTTATGATCAACATTATTTATGAATGCGGCACAATTAAAATGCAGAGCTCAAAGTTGACTCGAGATTTTCATCGATTTTGTATGGTGGAGTCGACTTAAATGTTAATCAGTCGTTCATTTACGCCACAACAAAATGATACAAAATTTACAAATTAAATTCTTGAAATCATCGCTGGATACACTGACTTTATTTTGATAAACAAGATATACAGCTAAACACACACAGATGATGATTTACGTTTGAAAAAAAAAGATCATCATTTTATCAGTGTCATGTGACATGTGGATATGAAATATAATAAAATTTTATGCTTTTGATACACGAAGAAACAGAAGACGGATAAACAAGGGTGTGAAATGGAGATCTCCCTATAATTGTCATATGTGCATACTAATGTAAAACAAGTCGGGTTCGAATCCACGACCTCAAAACAGTCGATCTATGACGACTCGATCAGAGATCTCTGCCACTCGACCACCGAGATACTTATCTCACTTCGATACAGATTTAACCAGTGTTAACGTGAGCCCTATGCTCAGGCCTATCTACTACAGATTTGCTCTTCAAGCCATATCCACAATCATAAGCTTATAAAATTGATCAATAACCAAGGCGTGGAAATTCAGGATTGATCCTGAAAAATCCCAAAAATCCTCAAAAAAATCCCTGAGCCAATAAATATGAAAATGTGAAATCCCTTCTAAAATCTTGATGATTTCTTCATGTTTAATAAAAATTTGTTTCAACAAAAATAAAAATTGTTTTTTACTTACTAAGCTCAACACGTGTACTAGGGAATCCCAAACTATGTTTCGCGACACACTAGTGAATGCCGTTTCAGGTTTTGGACATGACTTACCATCAAGGTGTGTCGCCGACCAAACTGCTGGAAATTAACTGCTCTAGACGATCGACTAGCTTATATCAGGGCTTATATATGTAATGCATGCTCAATTTAAATTGAGTGATACGCAAATGGAAGGTCAAAATGCAATCAAAGCAAAATGCTAAAAATAAATAAATGTTTGCTGTTCACATCTTAAGATCCATAGCTTGGTTTTATATGCATAACAATATAAATTCTAGTTTATTATTATTATTATTATTATTATTATTTATTATTATGTTTGCTTTCACTCTTACAAAAGGAAAAAGCCCCCTTAAATATTACTTAAATTATTTAAGAAGGCATAAAAAACCTTTTTCGAGCAACGGAGATATATACATAAGGGCAGTTCCATGAAACGATTTGTCTACAAATTTTTCTCCAAATTGATTTTTACATCTTTAGACTATTCTCCTGCAAATAAGCTTTTCGTAGGTCATTTAGAACATCATTTTCTATTTAATTGACTGAAATTTGCTTACTTATAGTGGTTAATTAAGGAATTATTTCAATTCTTTTGGCGTTACTTAGTAACACAATCGATCCTATTCGCAGTTTGTTAATAATAAAGACTGTCAAAACTCAAAGATTGATTATCAAGCTACCAAAATCTAGCATTAAATTAACTCAAAAGTGCTTAATTAAGCTACAATTTTAATTTCTATGTGACTTAAAAAGATGTTACTAAGTAACGGAGAGATTTATTCCGTGAAAAAATACAGAATTCAAAATTTTAAAATTCTATATTTTTAATGTATCTTTCATTAAAGTAATGTTTAACTAATTAGAATTACTCATTTTAGGATGAAAAATAGTTTAAGTTGAGTAAAACATTAAGAAAATAAGAGTACAAAGAAATATTTGAAAAATAATATTTCTTACTTAATAGACTTGGATCAAACTCAAATGTAAACAATGAAACTATTTCATGGAATTGCCCATAAATATGTCATATACAATGAGAACTTTAAATTAATTATACATATTCTCTTGACACAGCTTAAGTAAGAAGAGTTTCAGTGCAACAAGTTGCCTTTAAGAAATCTCTTATCAAAACAATTATATAAAAAAAGCTCTAATTAGTAACAGTTACTCTAGGTTTGAAAAAAATAATTGATCTAATAGTTCTACATAGAGAATAACCGCTTTCATTACATCCTCTCGGTATTTGAATATTAAGAATCTGTCATCTCAGTCTATTTGTAAATATCACAGTGGAAAATTATCATTTTTAGTGAAAATTAAGTTAATTAGCGTTTATCGAGCATTGTTATTATTGGTTTAAAGTTTAAAGAGAAAGAAGAAAAAATTGGACACAGCCAGTTAAAGTCCATTATTCGACAAACATCTACGAGTCTTTTAATTTGCCAAAATTCATGAGACTTACAGAACTAGACGTTAACTAGACATTAACGAGACATATGTGCAATACCTATGTCCAGTTAAATGGAACGTGCAAAATATGTCATTAATCATTCCTAAGTCTAGTTGCAAAGGCAAGTCAGTGGCAAGCTTTTAACTAGTTCTTTGTTCACTCGGGGTCATATTAATAAAGTACTCGTTGATTGTAATTAAACTAGTACTAAATGAAGATCTTGGAGTAAGATTGAACATTTTCAGGTGTTTGTTAACATCAATTACAAATCAAAATCCAGTCAATTGTCTTTTCGTCCCATTTTACAATTGTTTGAATTAATAAGTTTTAAAGAAAAAGTTGAGGAAAACATTTTATTAATGTCAATGCCATAAAGCATTAATATTTAATGATAACCTTATTAATAAATTTCAAATCATTATTAATTAAACGCTTCTTCATTTTTCATAAACAACGAGATCCTCAAAAAATATTAATTTTGAAAATTTTTGGAGTTAAAAATAAATTTTTGTTTAATTTTTTTTTTGAAATTTGCATAAGAGAAAAGCTCAATCATTTGTTGGTAGAACTGCTTTTTCTCATACAAACTTCAATACCAATGGCAAGAGAGTATACGATTTTAAAAGCACGTAGTAGAGTTTCTGATCGTAACTCAGTATTTCCCAAGATATTGTGAAAAACATGTTTTTCCTCAATACTAAAGCTGCAAACTTTTTCTCTAAAAACCAATCGTAAAATCTTTTATTACGATTCCTGAAAATGAGATTGACCTTGAGAATCAATTTATATTTTAATATAATTTTGAACCACAACAAAACTGATCTTACAAATTTTCTTCTTTTCTCATTTCAGTCAAGACTTACAAAAATCATAAAATTGGAGTAAAAAAGTGAGCGCAAAGAGAACACATTTAAAAAGAGAAGAAAAAAATGTGAGAAGATCGGAAAAGACAGTTTAGTATAATTTCAGACGTCAAACAGGAAAGAAGCAAAGAGAAAATTATTTGCAGATTAATTTATAAAGATTTCATAATCTACAGACTCGAAACATTTGATTTTATGCAAAGATTTTATTGGATTAAAAAATTTAAAGGTCAAAAATTCAAGATTTTTATATAAAATTGAGGAAAACAACAAAAGAATCTTCTCACAATTTTAACAACAACAAAGCACAAATTTTTTTAAAATATCAACCAAAAATAAACATCAAGGTGCCTTCATTTATACAACATGTTAGTCATCGACTGCAAATAGATTTACGCAAGCAGCAAAAATTGTGGATTCGCAAATTCAACACAATAAATTGAATTTTATTACTAAATCAACTGAAACATTTTAGGTAATTTTAAAACTCTCGACTTAATCGCAAGAATTTGATAACAGAAATCAAGGAGATAAGATTGGAATTTTAAATTGTTATAAAAAATTGCTGTACAGTTCAAAATTGATGGGAATTTAAAGGCTGAGCTGATTTTTTAATGCACTCATCAAAATCAAATCTGGAACTGAAGGAATAAAATGCAAGGTTAATTAAATAACCTACAAAATAGCTCTTCTTTTCTTGGTTGCAAAAAGAATGATTTAATTACAAAACAAGGATATTTTAACTCATGCAAATAAGAAAACGTATATGTTTTCTGAAAAACAACTACTTTATATAAAGGACACGTCATACATTTATTGAAGAAAATCATTAGAACAAAAATTAAACGGAATACTTCGTTGAACTGAATTTTTAATTCGAAGTGGACTTTAATATCAATAAATAATTCAATAAAATTTCAATCAAAACTGGATTAACGAAGCAAGAGCTTTCAAAGATATTTAATGACTAAAATTACCAATGAAGTAAAAATTTTAGATTAAATTACAATAAATTTAAAAGAAGTTGAAGCTGCAAACCAAAATAAAAACTTGAATTTTCATTCGGAAGACAGTCAATCTTAGTTATGTTCGGAAATCAAACTTAGTTTGGTGATAAAAACAAAAATCTATTACAAAAGTACGAAATTTTGCGGACAATCAATCAATCAATCAAACAGATAAGAAAGCAAGTTAAGAAAAACCTATTAAAATAGGACCAAAAATTAATTTCGTACATAACCTTCATCAAAAAAGTACAACTTGATAACTTTGCTAGAATTGCATTAAAATATTAATAACAAAATGTTAATTAGCATCAGGTACGTATTGATAAAGGAAAACAGTATCAATTTGCAATGCTAAAACCTTTTTGAACGTCCTCGCCAAATGCATTTAACAATATCCAGCCTAATTGGGGTAAAAACCTAAAAATTAAATTAAGAACACACCAAAAAATGACAAATTTCTACAAATAAGCTGTAAAGAACAATAAAACGTAAATTTTAATACTCAATATAAAGCTACAATAGCTGCAATAAAGCGACATGGAAATGGATAATGAAAGAAGATCCCAAAGTAGTTGCGATTTAGATAAATCATCATCAGCATATCACAAACGAAAGCATTCATCAAATTCAATTAGTAATAAAAGTGATTCGTCAGGAAAAAATTATAATCATAGCATTAATAATGGTCGGAAAAGGCGACGTGTCAGTTGCAATAGTCAAAATAATGATGACGACGATATTTTAAAGCTTGATCCAATTGAGAATTGTGTAAGTCCGTACGCAAATGGTAGTGTCAACAATCATTCTAATGGACAGAATCACAAAACTTTTAGTAATAATAATAATCACAACAATTTGAATAATAACCAAAAAAATAATAATTTTAATAGTAACAATTTTAACAACAATTATAAAAACTTCAACAACAACAACAACCGCAACAACAACAACAACAACAACAACAATAATCGCAACAACAACAACAACAACAGCAACCTTAATAATAATAGCAATAACAATAAAAGTAACTGGTACCACAAGAACCAGAGGTACAACAAAGGAAATGTCAAAAACAATAATAATAATAATAATAATAATAAAAAACCCTTCATTCCGTTCCAACAGCGTATAAATGATCTAGAAGAGCGACTTAATCAAAAGGAACTTCAATTAAAAGAGTCAAGGATTGATGTGATGAATAGAGAAAGTGACATAACGGAGCTAAGGATTCAACATGAAAGAGATTTTTTGGAGATCGAAAAGAATCATTGCCGGAAAATTAAGGAAATTCAACTTAAAGAGATCGATTTGATTCAAATTCACAAAGATGAAGCCATGAAGCTGAGACTCGCATTAGAAAATAAAAGAGATATAATAGCAAAATTAAGGAAAGAACTGCTAGATGCACAAAATGATATTTTAGTGACTAGAGCGATTTTGGAAACAACAAATAATAGAAATGTGGAATTGACTGGGAGGATTGCTGACCTTTTAGATACAAAGAAGAAAAATATGAGCAATAAGAGGATACAGACAGATCAAAATGGTGTTAATGTTGAGACTCAAGTTGATGATTTCGATATTGAAATGAAATTGAAAATATTTCATATGTCACCTCCACAATCAATTGTGGTTCATTCAACAACAAAGCATGATCCACTGCCTGATATAAAATCTGATGATCCAAGAGATTTCATATATAATGATAAATATATCAGAAATGATAGTTTAGATTCTGGAGTATCTATTGATCGATCTGAAAGCCTTCAAAGTCAGCTGTCAATAGAAAATGGTCATAATGATCCTTCAGATGCTTTAAAATTTCATTTTCTTTCAACAAACTCTACTCAAAAAGATAAACAAAATGAACTCTTAAAACTTATTTATAAAAAAAAGTTACCAAAGAATAAAGTCAATCAAAACTTGACCATTAATATTGATGGAACTAAGTCTGATGATTATGTGATGGTTGACTATATTGAATCGCCTGATGAAATGCCTGGAAAGAATCTTTCAAGTGAGAATTTGGACATATCTAGAGATTATTTTGTGGATCAATTAAAGGATTCAAAGGATCAGGAAGTTAATGAATCAGCCAATCTTGTAGAAAGACTAAATTACAAGCAAAATAACCAAGAATCCGTAAATTTACAAAACAATATTAAGGTATTTTCTACAAGATTAAAAGAAGGTTATGAAGACTCAACAGAAGAAGTACAAGAAAGTTTGATAAATTATGGAGAAATCCTAAATGAACATGTGATAGACAAGTCAACAGACAGTATTCATAGCTCATCAGGAAATTCAATTGAAGAAAATTCAATAGACAAAATTTTACAAAAAGCAGTAATAAAATCAACAGAAATATTAAATGAATTAAAAGACAAGCCACAAGAATCATGTCCTGAATCTACCAAATTCACAGAGCAATATTCAAATGAAGCAAGATTTGAGTTATTATCAAGCAATTTAAAAGAATCATCCAAAAATTTATCAAAAAAGTTGAACTTCAACAAAGATGCAATTGAATCAGAATCCAACCAAGACATAAGTACCAAAATATCAAAAACAAAAGAGAGTTTTAAATCTCCATCAAAAACCTACGAATTATCACCAAAAATTTACAATATTCCACCAAACATTCGAGACTGTCGTCGATCATCATCTGATTTATCAAAAGATTTGTCAAATTCAATTGATAATCTCAGCATCTCATCAGAACTGCAAGATTTCCTCAACCTTTCTGAATCAGAACCTAACGACGAAGTCCAAAGCAATGTGCCAATTTCTGAAGCTGACTTTCATGAATTCGCAGAAAAATTCAAGGAAAAATTCAAGAAAAACATGATTCAGAAAGCTGCCCGTGAATCACTTTACATTCCGATCATTCCATGCTACACAAATGACATCGAAAAAACCAAGCATAGCAATGAATCTGTAAACAATTTTTCTGATGAAAAAATTTTGCTGAATAATCAAAATGAACAACGCATTAAGTCGACTGATGAACTTAAAACCGCAAATGAAACCGACAAAAATGATAATAATAATCAAGAACTTGTGGATGCGACCAGAAATGATGAAGAATCTAAACTGACAACAAATTTTATTAAGATAGAAAATGATGCAAATGTGTCAGAGAATGACACAGACATTGATGAGTTTCATAAATCAGTTGTGCGGAGTTTAATAAAATGTGAGTCAGTTGAAGATAGCTCCGATGAAACCAGCTCAATCAGTAGTCAATTTTCAACTAGCGCCTATGACAATACTCTCAGGAATGAAAACATTTTAAATGATAAGATATTGGCTGATAAAAATGTCATTGATAAGGACTTACGTGTTGCTGAAATTGTTGAGACAGAAGTAATAAATTCTATTGGCGTGGCTGATAAGAGTAATGAGTTGGAAAAGCAGAGTGTGAATGGGGGTCTTTCTACTGATGAATTGAAGGCTTTTAGTGAACATGAATCAATGTTGATTTCTGAAAATCCCAAAGAATGTGAAGATAAAAATCACGATTTAGTAAAAGCTGACTTGCAGGATTTAGAAGAAACAATTAAAATTCTAGAGGGAGATTCAGCAACAAACCATGAAGTTTGTCAAGAAAGATCACTTAATTCGGAAAGCAATATTGAAATAAGTGTTGATAATATTAAAGAATCTTGTGAACCATCAGAAACTTTAACTCAATTTAAGGAATCTGTGCTCGATTTTTCAAAAAAATCGGAAAAAACATTAATAGAAGTTGAAAAGCTCATCTCTCAAAATTCAATAAATACAAGTCAAAGTGTAGCAGAACCTCTAAAAATTTTTACTAATCTAATCTCAAATGATTCAAATGTCGCATCCCAAACTCAAAATTCCCCAAAAGTTACTCAAAATTCCTCAAAAATGATTCAAATCCCAACAATCCTACAAAATTCATCAATAACACAGCCTATTACCAAACCCCAACCATATGTCCACCAAAATATCCTTAAAAATACGAAAAAGATGAAAAAGATCGATGACAATTGCCCATCGTACCTTCATTCTTTCCAAGATTTCTTAACCAAAAGTTGTATTGTATTCAACCCAGCCTTAAATTCTGTTGAAAATGTAAAATCAGTCCAACAAATTCCCAGTGATGATTTGGATAGGAATCAACAAGAGCAGTTCAAAAAGGAACTTCAACAAAAACAGCGTACAAAAAAGATAGTAAAGCGGAGAGAATCAATTTTGGTAGACAATTTTAGAGTTAAAAGGCAGAAAATAGAGACTCGAAGTGTAGATAAGAAGATGCAAAGTGGTGAGGTGTTAAAAGCTGCAGGAAAATTGCAAAATATAGTGGAACATCTAAACGACCTTAAAAATCCAGAGTTGGAAATCGAGAAAGAAAAAGTCCCGCAAAATTCATCATTTGTTCTACATCAGCAAAATATTAATGAAACTCAGTCAAGAAATGACTTATTGTGCTCAAAACCTAGAAATGTTAATCAATTTCCCTTTCAATTCAATAACAACCAAATTGTGTCAAATTTTAGTTCAAATGAATCAAGTTTTTCACCTCAAACTCAAACGTCAAATTATCAGATTTTTGAAAATCAAGCAAACGTAATTAGGAATCATTTAGGATTAATTGACTATGGATCACATTTGATCTGTACTCCATACGAAGGATGCAAGCTAATATCAACTGATTTTCAAACAAATTCTGTCAATAACCAACAACTTGTTGTTCCTGGTCAGGGTTGTGACAAGGGATTAATAAATAATGAGAAGAATAATCATTCTGAAGTCACCAATGGATATGCTGACAACTATAATCAAAATATAAGTGAAGCTGGCTGCACTTCAATTGAAAATGATTCAATTCCTACAGTCAATCTACATGATTCACAATATACTCAGCATGAACCACTAGAAAATGGGAATAAGCGTTGCGTCATTAACGATTTATCTAAAAATGTGGTAGATTTGAAAATACTCAGTACGACTCATAATGATTCTCAAATAATACATAATGATTCAGTTCCTGCATCAAATGAAAATTATTCTGGTCGAGTAAATGAGCTTAGACACTCTCTAAGCTGTTCACCAGTTAGTTCAGTAGAATCCAGAGAATATTTAAGAAGTATAACTCCAGAATATAAAGGATCACCAAGCAGCAGTAGTGGAAATGATTTTGTAATGTCTCCAGTTGAGTCATTTGAGAAACAAGAAGCAAGTCCAACAAAAAAGTCAAGTCCATTCAAAAATATTAAGTCACCATTTAAAATTGATCAAAAGAAGTCTCGAAATCTACCAAGTGAGGACGAAATGGGAGTTTGCAGTCAAATTGTAGCTACAACTCTGAAAAAATCACAACAACAACGTGAAATGTCAAGAAGTTCAGAGGAAAGAATGTTGCAGAGTGGTAATTTTCAAGGATATTCAAGAAATGAACAGTTTTATGGATATAGGAACGAAAGAGTTGAAAGTGGATTTGTCACAAGTGAAGGCATTGATAGAAATGACAAATTTGATAGACACAACGTCAACAATAGCTCAAAATTTAATGAAAATAGATTCAATTTAAGGCATGATAAAAACCGAAGAAATTCTGTCCATGACTCGGTCCACAACAGACTTAATGTATCGCCAAATGACAAAAAATTCTTCGAGAGATCAGGAAGTCTCTTGTCACAAGATCTGCTACCAAAAAGTTCAAAATATTTGAGATCAAATTCTTATCAAGAACCTCAATTCAAACAAAATTCAAGAACACCTTTAACAATCCCATTTAAACCTATAAAGGAACCATCTTTCACTAATGACAATCCAAATATTCAGCATATTAAGAACATAATTCCATCGCCTTCTTTATCACCACCGTCCTTAATTATTGACGAAAATAATTTCAAGCGAGCACAGAACAAAAATGAAATTTCACAATTGGTTATCGCGGAATTAACGGTATTTTATGAGTTAAAAAAGTTTGAGTCTGATAATCCAAAGGAATTATTCAAGAGTATGGCTAGAGCGATAACTTATCATTTTTATGATAAAAATCCAGATAATGTGCCCAATAAGAATGCTATAAAAAATTATGTCATGGAAGTTTTTTTCAATTATGGAACAATCAGGTCGGAAAAGGATTTTTTACTGTCGGAGGATTATGGTGATGACTTTTAATGGGAAAAACAATGTTTAATGGTTACAAAATAGCGATTGTCCAGCAACAGTGATGGTGGAATTTTGAAAAAAAATTAGGAACTTGTGACCCGAATGGCACAAATCGGTTAATCGATCAGAAATCCGCATCAAGCTGGTGGGAATGTGGCATGGTGCTAGATGTAAATCGAAGCCAGCACAATGCCAGAGTCATACCAGCTTGTTGCTGGATTTCTAATTGTTTAACCGACTAGTGCTTTTTGGGTGAGTTTATTGAGTCTGGTTGGAACTAAAAGCTTAAATTCAATTTGGAAAAATTGCCTTAATTTCGAGCTTGTAAATGTGTTTTGAAATTAATGTTGTATTTACAGTGTTGGTTCAAGCAAATGTGCGGAATGAAAATTCGAGTCTTTACAAAAATATTAAAAATGATTGCCATAAAGTTTTCGGTAAAGACTTTTTATACCTGGAGACTAGTCGAAGTAAAAGCATTTATTTACAAAAATTTATTTTGATAGTTTTACTTTTAATATTAAAAATAATAATGATAATATGAACCTTAGCGACACAAAGACATGATTTTCATATTTTTTGGAATGCTTATTAATTATTACTTTTCATAACCAGAGGCGTAGCCAGGAATTTGAATAGGGGGGGTGGGGGTTCAAAAATTTGAATCGATAAAATTAAAGAGATAGGAGGATGGGCGGAGTTTTAGGATTTATTGATAAAAACCCTACCAAAATGAAGAAATTTCTGATGAAGTAGGAGGATTTGTCACTTAAACCCTCCCCCCCCCCCCTTCTTTGCTTTGCCCCTGATTCTAACCTTTAAAGTGTCGCTTGGGAAGTGTTCATTTCTTTTAAGAGATCAAAATTGACATGAAATTTGAAAAGAGACTAAATCGACTTCGAGCTCTGAATGAGTCATTAAGTAAATGAATTTTCATAACCAAATTATGTCACTCAGTTCTCAAGTGTTAGTGATAACGTAAATAGGCTGAAATTGTTAATTTATGTGCCTTTATAATAAAATAAACTTTTAATATAAAATGCACCGATGATGTTTGAATTCAATAGCTTAATAATCGAAAAGATGAAAGTTTTTAATTGTAAGAAAATAGGTAAAATCAAAAGTATTTTCAAAACAAATATTATTTTGATATTTTAACCAATTTTAACATAAAATGTGAATTTTGTAAAGTATTGACTGTTGCATATGCCAGAGGCAATTTATATTTTTAAAATAAATGAGTGAATGTTGTATGTTTCATGTGAAATAATATTTTGATTGTTTTTAATCATTTATTTATTTCAGCTTGATCGATTTTTAACTTTACTACTTCTTTTTTTACAATTTTGAGAGGGCTAGCGTCAGCGGCTATTTCAACTTAATTATAGATTTGAAATAATTCATTGATGATGGTCGATGCGTTGACATCCAAGATTATTTTATTGTTTATGTCCTCAACGGACAATTGGTTATTGTCTTTTTGCAGACAGATTTTGTCCTCAACGGACGATCGTGTATTTGCAACTCTGCACAATTGCATTGACACAGGAACTTGTTTTATTTCAAACTTGTTTGAAGTTAGGCTTACCAAATAATTTTTCACGAAAATGAATCATCTCACGTCTCGAACAATATTACTAGCATTTAAAAAAACTATTTTATTTTTGAAAAATAAAAAAAAAACTGTGAGACTGTTCTTTGAAAATCCAAACAAAAGGTCAACCTATTAAAAATGTCTTTTTTTGTTCGTTAACCAAACATCATAACGAGCTAAGGGGTTGTTTTCTAAGTCATATGAAAACACATGATGAGTGTGTTTAGTAATTTAATTATCTAACCGTTATAAAAAATCATTCCGAGTGTGTTCAGAACTTTAAATTTATTTAAAGCGTTGAAAATTTGAACTCGAACTTGATGAGACGAACAGTTTAAATTAGATTCTTACACAAAAGTCAGGACAAAGGTTTAGCTGCTTTTGGAAGAATTATACTATTCTCTTGAGGATTTTATAAAATGAGCAATTTCACTGATTTCATTAAAATTGACATAGATAGTTGATAAACAGGAAATCAAACTTTGTGCACGAAGTTTTACTCAAAACAGAGAGACTTTGGATCGTTTGATGAATTAATTGCCGTTTAAAATTTTAATTTCATTTAAATTCATAAAATTTAAAAATTATCATAAAAAATTAAATTTATTGCTTGAAATTAATAACAAAGAAATTAAAATAATTCATTTTTATTCGGCACGAAAATAATAAAAATTTTAATATAATAATTTGACCAGTAAACAGTCACGACACATAAAGTTAGAAGATACGAGTCATAAAAAGCCAAATTAGTATAAAATTATATGATTTTGTTTTTAAATTTCCAGTCAAAAATTAAAAGTTTTACAAAATGAAGAACTGTCTGTTTTTATTACTTACTATGTGCTTTGGTAAATTTATTTCTATTTGTCAAATTCAAATAATCTTTTATTTAAAACATTTTTAAATTTAGCTTTGATAAGTATTGTCCAAGCTGGTGGTCCATCATGGGATCCAGTGTGCAATGATGTCTGCATGCCATGCAGTGTTACAGAAAATGATTGGGGATGCAATTGCGCTTTGAGTCCACGTTGTGCTGGATCAGCTTTTATAACATATGAGTCCTATTCTGAACCTGAACCTTCTGCTTGAGTGTTAACAATACTAGCTGAACCAGTCTTTGCCAAAAAATTACTAATTTTTTAATTTGAAAATGTTTGCAAAAATCTAATAAAATATGTACAATAAATATTTTTTGAAAAAATCAAATTTAATTTCGTTTTTTTTTCTATCTTTGATTTACTGACTTACTTACTTCCTTATCTGGGGTGATTTTTGATTCGCTTAATAATGATGTAAGATAGTTCCAGGCTGGAAATTCCAGGAAATTGATTTATCTCTGCAATGTAACGCTTTCGGTAAATAGCTATTTCCAGTGCTCGAAGTCAATAGGGTTCGAGTTGACTCGACCCAACTCAAAGCCAGGGTTGTGATACTGTCACCTGTGCACAGGTGAAAACCGTTCAATTCCTTGATAATTTGTGAGATTCTATTAGAACTTGAATGGTTTTGTTAGAAAAACCTTAAAAATTATCAAGGATTTGTGCAGTTCTCGCCTGTGCACAGGTGCCTGTATCGCAAATCTGCTCCAAGCCAAGTCGAATCAGCTTTACTTGAGTCGACTTCATTTTTATCAAGTCAACTCGAGTCAATTCGCGTTGACTTCAAGCTCTGGTAATTTCTTGAGCATAGAGATAAGAGTTCAATGAGGATTTTTAAATTCAAATAATGCTTTGTGCATCCAAATACACTTAGTATAAGTTACTAGGTTTATAATTTCGGGGTTTAAAAATATATACAAATTCCATGGTGTCACAAAAATTTGAGCGTCTCAAAAACTCAATAAAAATGTTATTTTCTATGAAAAATTTTTGAAAAATTAATTTATGTCAAAAAATTGTTAACTTAAAAACAAGGCGTGAAAACTATCTCAAAAATCATCTTTATCCCAACGTATCCTTAGTGTATTGGACGTGTAATTTCAGGATATGAAGGGATATCTCAGTTCCAATGCATAAAGGCTCAGGGATTATTTTGAATACTTTTGGGATATATGGGATAAATGGGATATTTGGGAAAGTTTCCACGCCTTGCTTAAAACTATGATTGCTCAAAAAGCTCAAAAACAATTCAAAAACTTTCAGGGTAACAAGATTAATTTATTATTGCACGAAATAACCACAAAAACCGTTTAGTTTCCTTTTGACCTTAAAAAATCACATCAATTTTCACGAATTGTCGAACAAAAAAATCCTGGCAGCCCCAGTGTCGTGACAAAAATAATAAAATTTTAATTTCCGCTTAAAATAGTATAAAGTTCTATTGTTAAATGCCTTGGACTCATCAGTTAAAGTCAGGATTTTAAAGTGAAAAGAAGTCTATTTTTTAAGAAAATGATGTTTAATTTATATTTGTTATTTGTTGTTGTATTTGGTAAATAGTTTTTAACTAGTAATTTTGATAATTTTTGAAAAAATATTTTAAAAAAATTACAAAAGTCCTCGTGTTATTTATCGAGGGACTTCAGCGCATTTTTGACGCAGCGATCAGTATTTGATAAGCATCAAAATGCGAATCAATTAGCAAACAGCTCTAAATTTTTGCCTTTATCAAAACATAATCGTTGTATTTCAATAAATATCAAGCATTTCGTACAGCAAAAAGTTTTTTGTCCGTTAACGGTTTTTGAAACTATCCCGTCATTTTTATATTATTTATGTGAGATAATATAATGAACAATTATTTTTTAACCAAATAAAATAATTTTCACAACAAAAAAACTCTTGAATTCAACAGGATTTGTCACTAAACCATTTTCTTGAATTCAAATGAAATTTTCATTTAACGGTTTTTTGAGATTCAAATATTTAACGGTAGAAATAAATTTGAATCTCTGAACATACCCTGAACAATTTTTAAAGCGGTAGAAAAAAATTCAAATTTTTAAACGTACTCATCACGTGGTTTTGTTTATGAAATAAAAAAATCATTAATTATAGTATTTATCCATTGTTTTACGGTTCGAAAATAATCTTAAAGCCAATAAAACAATGGACCTGAACTAATAAAACAAACTAGAACTCTGTACGATGTCTGGTTAATGAGATCTCAGAACCAGCCGAGCAGTCAAGCAGCCGATCAAAGTGAATTTTTAAGCTACCTTTTGGAAACAAGTTTCAAAAATGCGCTAAAAAGGGGAGAAGGTATTAGACTGAGTTTGGGCATAATTCATAGACTTAGGTGACTTGTTGAAAGAACTCACAGTTCTCGCTATCAAAATAAAGCTCACAATACTTTCCAAATTTGGCAACGTTATTACAAAAAGTTCAAATATACTAAAGCTAATAATTCATCAAAACTATCAAAAATAAACTTTTTCAGCCTTCTTCAGCTACGCTGATGCTGGTGGCGAGTCATTTCAAGAATTCTGTTTCAGAATTTGTGCTCCATGCAGTGATGTTGAAAACACTTTTGGCTGTGATTGCAGTATTTTGCCATATTACCCAGATGCAAGATGTGAAGTACCATCATTCCCATTGGAACCAGAACCTGAACCTTCTTCTTAAGGACACACGACTTTATTATCACGAATTTTAATAATTATTGAAATTTACTGTTAATAAAAATTCATTGTTGATTTATTAGTAAGAATTAAGTGTTTTAAACTGCTTTTTACCAATTTTTTAGGAACAATACGCTTTTATATTCACTTTGTCTGGCAGGCTGGTACAATAAGATCTCAGCAATGAAAGCATGTAAAGATTTCAAAGTTTTTGCATTCAATAGCTGTCATGTTGGAGGCAAACCAAATCCACTTTTTAAAACATAACTACGTACAAAATCTTGGATCAGTCAAGAAAATTAATGTGTTTCGAGGTTAATTTTTTACAACCCTGAACATTGATGAATTTTATAAAATGTTGTCCTTCTGTTCATAATCCTTATAAGAATAGTTTTAGATTTATTTTTAAAAAAATTAGATTAAAATAAAAGGAATCAATAAACTTTTTTTTCTCTTATTTAAAACCTTGTTAATTCACTTTTAATCTCGGATTCAGATTCAGATTCAGTGATCTCAGAAAATAGTAAACAAAATTTTTTTTAGAAAAGCTGTAAAATCAATCTGAAAACTGCAAACTTAAACAATAAATATTTATATTTTCAAACAGTGTCGTTAATTGTTTTGCTGATCATAATATGTCAGTCAATCAATTTTCAATCTTATCTGCAAATCGTTGAATATGATTTAAAGCTGAAAGTGAGTGAAATATTGACAAAATATTTTTATATTTGATTTATTTCTGGCATTTACGTATTTGAGGAGATTACAATTATTTAAAAAATATATAGTTTATATCAACTCAATTCAAATGTCTAATAAATATATAAAATTAAATGAATTAAAATATTTTAATATTTTTATTAATTTTTTTGAATTTTGTAAATGCTTAAAATTTCTTATATTTTTTAAAATGTTTTAAATTTTTTAATTTTTTAAATTTCTTAAATTTTTTATTTATTTTTTAATTAAAAACTTTTTAAAACGATCATTACGTTCATCTCTTCTTAAACTTATTAAATTTAAAAAAAATGGATTAAGTGAAAATTAATTTATTATTTTTCTATATTAAAATATTTTTTATGGTTTGCATATTTTAAAAAATCAATCAAATTTTGACAGATAAATTGAAAAAAAATCTTATATAATAGAATGATTATGTTTACTATTCTACAATACCAAATGATCATATCTCATTTGTTAACATTGCTTTACAAGATCATCAACATTTAAATCATCTAATTCACCTTAATGCACAGATGCGGTTGCATTATGATCATCATCAACCAATTTCATTGTTGCATTTTCAAAATCATTGAATTTTCTAATCGTTGGACTGACTCGAATCTTTTTGTAAAAATTAAATCCAACCACTCCAACAAGTGTCACTGCCATCAGAACAATCACAGTTATAAAAGTCACATCACGTCCTTCCTTGCCTTCTTTAAGTGAATCATAATTTTGGTTTAATCTGCGATTCTCTTCAAAAAGTTTAAAGTTCTGCTCGCGGATTTTTGATAGATCATTTTCCATGTTCTTTAAAGTTTCTTTGTCAGAATTGATTCTATTTTTGAGATCGATGACGATTCCATTTGTCGATTCCGATTGTTTGTTCAAATCACTGCGAAGTCCAAAAAGTTGATTAACAAAATCGACGCCAGTTTTTTCAGTCTTCCTTAAATTTTCTTCAAGAGTTGCCAATTTTGTTTGTGTTTCATTCTGCTCAGCTTTTAACTTCTTATTCTCATCATCATACTGGACAAGCCAAATCATTGCCTGCTCGCGTTTCTTCTTTAGCTTTGCAACTTCATCCTCAACTGTACGAAGTTTTGCTGTCAAACCTTGAATTATTGCTTCTGTCTCATTTGCTGTCTTTTCCTCAGGAAGTAGTGTGTCATCATAGTCATCATCAATGGATTCACCATCTTTTGGATTGTATTTTGCATTTTTAGACTTAACGCCGCATGAGATTTTAATCATGTCAAGGAAGTACATTAGACTTGTAGGATTATCAGTGACAGATTTTGAAATGCAGTCATTATAGGCAAGATAAAGGCTCTTGATTCCTAAACCTTGAAAGACATTGTCATCGATAAACTTAATTTTGTTGTTGCTCAACCAAATCACTTCCAATCTTCTGTTGAATTTGAATAAATCAGCTTCCAAATATTCAATTTTATTCTCGAAAAGGTCAAGATAGCGTAAATCTGTGAATGGTTTGAGATCAGTTTGACGAATTTCCTTTAACTGTACGAGATTCAAGAGAATTACGAGCAAATTTGGGAATTGCTTGTCAAGATCTTTAGGAAAATAATTGATGATTGATGCATCGCCTTTAAATGCTTGAACTTCATTCGTCTTTCTGCCTTGCATGTGATAACCGTCAATACGATTAATTGAAGTTGCACGTCGTGTAATATGAAGTCGTCCTGATATTTCACATGTGTAAATATCGCGTATTAAGCCATAATTGTAGCTGGTTGTAAAAAGACATCGTACATATTTGACCTTGTCTGATGATGATGTATTTGAAACGTCTGCGGAAGAAATTGAGTCGATGCCAAGGGTCATGAAAACAATGCAAATTGCAGACAAAAGAATGAGGATTCTAGAGCTGTAGAAGAAAAAATTTTATTGAGATTAATGAAATGGAATTTGAGTTATGATGAAATATAATAAAACATTGATCCTTTTTGTGATTTTTCTGTTGCGCAGATTAAATGAAGGAAGTTTCTTATCTTATTGCGCAATAATTTTTAATATTGCTATTAAATGGTCAATTTAATTTTAACTGGTTTATTTACAGAAATAAATTAATCATTTGTAATTATTTTTAATAATTAAATCATTTTAATGGTTCGTGATTCGCTTTCAACGAGAACTTTCATCTCTATTAGTATCTTGTGTGCTGTACTTTTTGAGTCAGAGGATTAGCCAGGGCACATTGCGATTGAGCTCAAGTAAATTTTAGGATGCTTAATAAGGGGTCGCACTTTATATCGATCGTTTAATCGATCTTGCGACTACTAGTTTTTATCGTGAACATTCGATTTGATATCACTACATTATTCCCAATAGTTATGGACACATCACTTAGATCACATATAGAGACAATAAACACAAAGAAGTTCTGTTTCCAATAACTTGTATTTATCTTTCAAGTATTCAACTTCAAGAGATTCACTCAGCAAGTTCCTCAGCACGAGGCCGGGCCGCTACACTAAGATCGGATTGCCAAAATTCCCGGAAATATTCCCGATCCCGACCCCCATTCCCGGTCCCGTTCCAGATTCCCGAAATTACACAGGAACGAGAATTCTGGAAACCCTATGCCTAATAAACTCCGCAGTTGATCTTAATGACTGCATCTTAGTGATCTTTTGAATGAGTCTAGCTTAATAAATTTACAAAAGTTTAAACATTCTCATTGATTAATATGTAAGAAGGCATTATTAATTATCAGAAGCAAGGACATTCCTGATATTTGAATACATTTTATTTTAAAACTTAATGCACAAAATAACGACAAAATTTGAGCTTTGATAAACTTTGAATTGGTAGACTTGACTGGTACTGGTGGCGAGTTTACACAAACTAATGCTCTAACCAGGGGGAAAATTTCTGGGATGGTAAAAATTTTGATGGGAAATTTAACATTTTTTTCCCATTTTCCCAAATTTTTCTGGAAAATTTCGCATCATAAAGTTGGAAAAATGGTAAAAAAATGGGGAAAAAAGGTAAAAATGGGAATTTTACCCTTTTCTCCATTTTATACCATTATTGATGAAAAATTTCCCTTTTTTACCCATCAGTAGTTTTCCCCCTGGCTAAAACTACTAATCCATTCACCCAAAACCTCAAAAATAGTTTTTAGCAAGCTATAGCAAGACAGAATTCGAAAAGACTAACTTAAAGCTTGCCTAAACTCAACTTTTAATAAGTCTGGTAGCTAAAGCTCTATTTAAAACACTGATTTATTTGAGTTCAGTTTTTTTGATTGAAATATGAAACATAATTTTTTCAAATTTTATTTAACTTTATTAATTTAGGTTCTAATTTAATTATATCTGCATCGCATCCTCTTTAAAATCTCAAGTATTATTGAATATTAAACACTAATTTAAGCTTGAATTGAAAAATCACAAAAAACTGACATTTCAAGGTGGTATTTTCACAAATTCACTTACCGTGCCATATGTCCTGAATTTGTTTAATAATTCTGCTGTAAATTCTTTCAACAATTTCTCCTTTCACTTAAATGTTCTATTTGAACTCTTCTTTAATTCTGATATGTCTTCTTCAAATACTTTCACAATAAATACAGAAGATTCTCTTAAACTTCTCTTTATATCTCCTTCCTACTGCGATGAAATTTTGACAATTCCGTCTTAAAGACTTTTACGCATTTAATAAACTTTAATCAAAACAAGCAAATTGCGAGTTAATTTGATATAAAAAAGTGCGTTTTAATTTAAATCTTAATATTTCTCTTAATCCTTTTTCAAAGACGTTTAGCTTTGAGTAGCTCAGAATTGGTACTGAATGATGAAATCAAAAACGCAAATCGATGATGGATTTAAAGGAGATGAAAAAAAAAAAACAAATCAGAAATTGGTTCATCGAACTGATAAGAACAATGAGATTTGTAGCAATAAGGAGTGGGAAAACGAATGTCGGCAATTAATATTTATTGATGTTCTAGCCTCTATCATAATCACAACTAATCAGAGTGAGGAGCAATATAAAAAAAAACTTAGAAGAAAGCTAAATTGGCATATAGGAGATTTATATGTAACCTAGTTGCAAATTTTATGGAAAAATTTAAGATTTGATGATTGTAAGTAAGCCATTGAGAAATGAAATTCACATTTATCGTTATTGTCTTGAAGATCTTCATTTATTTTCATTTCCACATATTTAATGGATTTCATTTCCTGTCTTAACAACAGCAAATCGTAGCCCTATGAATTACTAAGTAAAAATGACATTAATTGTATGCGAAATTCGCTTAAAAATGCTCGATTCGATTTAATTTGGCTCCTATGAGTGTAGATCTCCCTTTAACTGCTTTATGTGGATACTAATGTAGAACAAGTCGGGTTTGATGGGAACCGAACCCACAACCTCAAAAGAGGCGATCTCTAACCACTCGATCAGAGATGTAACCAGTTCAACACGAGCCCTATGCTCAGGCTTATCTACTTCAATGCTCTTTGAGCCATATCCACAATGAGACTCAGAATGTGCACAGTGATGAAACATGAAAATTTGAATGAAAAGCTGCTGACAGCGACATTATTTCATTTGGTATTAGTAATTGGCAAACAGTAGAGCCAGCATTAGGCGACATCTAAAGGAGGCCATTGATCACAACTAATCTATAACAACAGTAAAGTAAGTAAATTTACCAAAAATATTAAGAAATTCTTTCAATAATTAGAAAAATTGCATCATTTTTAACTAATCAACAACCTAGTTGATTAGCACTCAGACTAGATTTAAATTCATTAATTTCAGTTTTTTTTAATCAATTTTGTTCCCAAAATTATGAGCTTTCAGGTCATTTACATTAATATTTAATGACTAATCTTCTTTAATCATAAGTCGTAGCTAATTTGGAACAATGATCGTCTAGCATTAATGTAGGTCAGTTTGAAAATTATTAAGCTCTTGTTAATTTTTCAACTTATGCGATTATTTTAATCTTGTTGACCGCGAAATAAAAATATGTTCTAGCGCGGTTTACTCAATGATAAAGTCTTTAGTAAAATTTTGGGAACAAAGAATTGAAATGTGTAATTAAGCTTGAAATGAAGATGCTGTTTTTCTTTGTTGGTCAATAGAAAAGCATACAAAAGCAAACGATTATGAGCTTACACGATTTTCATCCAAACTTTTCTTCTACGAGTAGCACATAATAATATTAATAATATTATTTCAGCTGCAGGGCCAAGCCTTTCAGCTGGAGGCACTGCGATTCAAATTAGAGCAGAACCAATTGAACTATACCCTTTAGACCTACAGTTTATAGTGGGATCCAAGCCACTTGCAAGCTCTGCACATTGCAAAGACAAGAGTACGTCATAAGAACTGATGTACCCTGCAATATACCTAGTCACAATTCGTGTGAGCAAGATGCCGTAAGGAAGTCATCCAGATACTAGTATATCCTTGTATACCTAGCAAAGGAGGCATATTCTATGCCAAAGACATCAATACTACACCCAACACACGAACCGAGCTTCGTAACTAGAAAGATGAAATGGAAAAAGAGCTTCAATAATTAGACTCGTTTTAAGATTGAACCCAAGACCTTTGGCACGGAATGCCAACGCTCTACCATTTAGGCCACTGATGCGATTTTACCACTGAGTGTTTTATAAATAACATCGATTTATTTTGTTGTGATCTTTATTTCTATGTTATTCGAGTCATGTCTCATTCTCTCAAAAGCTTTAATCGTTATCATAAAAATATTTTTTTTCCTCTCCATCTTCAAAGCAAAACAACTTTTAGAGAGACTTTTGTTTTTAAGTTTTATCAATAAATTGTTTATTTACAAAAATGACTCCAGAAGAATTGGACGAATGTTTTGAGTTTGTGCAAAATTTAATTAGACAATGTGGTGATATTTTTCTTGATGGCTTTAAAGATTGCGGGAAAGTTGAGAATAAAGGATCACATTATGATCTTGTTACTGTTTATGATCGTAAAATCGAGAATGTATTGATTAACGGAATCAAGGAGAAATATCCGAATCATAAGTGAGTCAAGTTGTGAATGTCAATTTTTAAAGTGTACATAAATTTAAATCTTATCAATTAGGTGATGGTGGTAAGCAAGTAACGTGATTGAAGATAAGAAAATTGACTTTTTTGCCATAAATGGATATTGTTTTTGTGACTCAGTGTGTAAGATTGTCAGCAACATTGAACGAGAAATTGTAAATGAGCACTTTTTTATTGGATTTATTATTCCTTGATGATTGTGGCAATGCCAAAGCTCCTACTAAGTTGATTAATTTTTACTAATATTAAAATAAATGTTCATTAATTATTTTTAGATTCATAGCTGAAGAGGATCAATCATCCACAAAACAACCACCAATTTTAACTTCTGCTCCAACATGGATAATCGATCCAATCGATGGAACAACAAATTTCATCAAAAAGCTTCATTTTGTTTGCATTTCAGTAGGATTTGCTATAAACAATGACTTAAAAATTGGATTCATATTCAATCCGGTCTTAAATGAGTTTTATTCAGCTAGAAAAGATCAAGGTGCATTTTTAAATGGAAAGAAAATCTTTGCAAGGAAATCAGAAGAACTAAAAGGTTCTTTGATTGCTCAGTGTATTCACATTGGTGGAATCCCTGCATTTAAACATCAATTCATGGAAAGAACGACAACATTTCTTCGAAAAACGATTGGAATCAGAGTTTTTGGATCGGCTGCACTGACACTGGCATATGTTGCATCTGGAGCTATTGATGCATACACTATTGAGTATCTTAAACCTTGGGATATTGCAGCAGGTGTCCTAATAGTTCAAGAAGCTGGTGGAATTGTGATTGACACAAACGGAGGAGACTGTAATATCATGAAACCAAATATTATTGCTGCAGGAACTATGAAAATCGCGATGGAAATAAAGAATGTATTTGATGAAATTGACGCGAGACTTGAAATTGAAGGAAAGCTTCCAAGACAATTGATGGACAAAAGTAAAATTATTAAAGCTAGACATAACAAGTTGTTCTAAGGATACAATATATTTTTATATAAAAGACTAAGTTTCTAGTCATATTTTCTTTTTAAAAATTAATAAAGTATTAATTATTAAACTTGTTTTTCAATACTCACCAATGTCTCTCACCATCACTCTCAAACCACTTCACACTCATCACATTTAATACTCAAAAAAATAATTCTCCCAAATTTTCTCTTCAAACAAAATCAAATCTCAATAAAAACACAAATTTTATCATCATTTTATTTTATTTGTTAAAATGACTCCAGAAGAATTAGACGAATGTTTTACTTTTGTTGACGATTTAGTCAGGCAGTGTGGTGACATCTTGCTAGAAGGTTTTAAAGATTGTGGTGAAGTGACAAACAAGGGTGCAGATCATGATCTTGTGACATTATACGATGGCAAAATTGAGAATGTGCTGATCAATGGAATTAAAGAGAAATATCCAGATCACAAGTGAGTAAAGATTTGGAGGAGATCAGATAACCTTTGTACTTATCTTATTAAATAATGTAAAATCAGATGACAAATTGTGTTTTTATTTAAATAGTTGTCTGATCTTTAAAGCTACAATGGAGATGTTTTGATAGTACAGTGGTTGCCTAACTTTAGGAAAAACTATCAAAATCCATAAATCACCTTATTATTGACCTTATATTGTTAGCTATAACAGTGTAATCCAAACCATGTAAAATGACGATCCACTGATGTAGCTCCAGGAGAGAGTAGTGGGTAGTCAACTGAAGGAATGCAAATTGTACGCATAAGACTACTGTCTGACACTATCATGCTCTGTTTACACTTTGACTTACGATACTTTAAGATAAGAAACCACAATAATAAAAGAAATCTTGAAAAACTGATTGTGGCTTCAAATAATATCATAAAGAGAGCCAATATTGCATATAAGATGTTTAAAGACTAGCTTTTAATCTCTTTTAATTTTATTATATCTCTTCATTTTTTCGTCAAATTTAATTAAAAACAATTTTTATTCTCATCACAGATTTATAGCAGAAGAAGAGCAAGCATCAGCAAAAAATCAGTCAATATTAACTTCTGATCCAACATGGATTATCGATCCAATCGACGGAACCATCAACTTTGTCAAAAAGCTTCATTTTGTTTGCATTTCCGTAGCATTTGTTATTGACAGTGACTTGAAATTCTCCTTTTTGTTTAATCCAGTCTTAAATGAATTTTACTCAGCACGCAAAGGTCAAGGTGCATTTTTAAATGGAAATAGAATTTTTGCAAGCAAAGCTGAACAGTTGAGAGGATCATTAGTTGCCCACGAAATTTCACTCGGATGCGTTCCAGCATTTTCTGCATCGTTTATGGAGAGAACAGTAAAGTTCCTTCAAAAGACAATTGGTATTCGTGCACTTGGTTCAGCTGCTTTGACACTTGGTTATATTGCAAAAGGTGCAATTGATGCTTACAACATTGAATACTTAAAGCCATGGGATATAGCAGCTGGTGTTCTAATAATACGTGAGGCTGGTGGTGTTGTGATTGATAAAAGTGGTGGCGAATACAACATTATGAAACCAAACATAATTGCTGCAGGAACAATGAAAATGGCAATGGAAATTAAGGAACTTATTGACGAAATCGATGCAAAATTAGAAAGTGAAGGAAAACTGCCTGAACAATTATTGAATAAAAATATTTAACTTGTGATTAATGACTTTAATTGAATCTTTGGTGCTGTTCTTTGTATTTTGCTCATAATTAATCACGCTGTTTATATGCTGTCTGCCTTTCATGGGAAGCATCAAAGTTAGAAAATTGTCAACGAGCATGCAGTCAGTTTTTTTTTCAGTTCCGATCAGCGCTGTGACTGTGAATCATTTTTTGACGTCAAATATTTGAGACCATCTCGATCCTCTTAATTAAGTTTTGAACTTTTATCAAATCCTGCTTTCGGACCATCAATTAATCCAGAAAATGAAATCGACTCGAAAAAAGTTGAAAAAACTCGAGTCGACTCGAACCCTATCGACTTCGAGCTCTGCTGTTCATTCTTTAAATCACTAGCTAAGACAATCTAGTGTGAAAAATAGAAAACCATCAAAACAGGAAATGTAATATATTTTAGTTTTTTGCATTTTAATATTTTTCTTAATCGTACTTCACGACTTTGCCTTTAATAATGAAAAAAGAAAAAAAAACTTTTTAAAAAACACGCTTTTTTCCCGAAGACTAAAAAACAAATAACATTTTTTTTCTTGAAGTTAAGTCTGTTGTTAAGAATAAATACTTTATAAAAAAAACTTTTTAAAAAAACTACGTTTTTCGCGTAGACTAAAAAGTAGAAAATAACTTTTATTCTTGGTTGTAAAGAATTTGGTTTTAAATTTTCAGATTATATTTAATAAATTTTTATATCTTAGTCAATATTGTTCACAAAGTTTCGAATAAGTGCACTTTGATCTTATCGTATAACTCAACAACTTAAAAACGTGGGCGCATTATAAGAGAAGAAATAAGTTTATGTGAAATCAATACTTTATGATAAACTTAAATTAATGCGCCCACGTTTTTAAGTTGTTGAGTTATACGATAAGATCAAAGTGCACTTATTCGAAACTTTGTGAACAATATTGACTAAGATATAAAAATTTATTAAATATAATCTGAAAATTTAAAACCAAATTCTTTACAACCAAGAATAAAAGTTATTTTCTACTTTTTAGTCTACGCGAAAAACGTAGTTTTTTTAAAAAGTTTTTTTTATAAAGTATTTTATTTTCTACTTTTTTAGTCTTATTCTAATGAAATAGAGAAATAAAGATTATAGGGGGTTTATAGGTTACAGGTGTGTTGAACTTCACTTCGTTACGTTCAACTGTTTATAGATTACAGTAGGTTTATAGGTTACAGGTGTGTTGAACTTCACTTCGTTGCACTTCGTTACGTTCAACTGTTTAAAGATTACAGTGGGTTTATAGGTTACAGGTGTGTTGAACTTCACTTCGTTGCACTTCGTTACGTTCAACTGTTTATAGATTACAGCAGGTTTATAGGTTACAGGTGTGTTGAACTTCACTTCGTTGCACTTCGTTACGTTCAACTGTTTATAGATTACAGTAGGTTCATAGGTTACTGGTGTGTTGAACTCCACTTCGTTGCACTTCGTTACGTTCAACTGTTTAAAGATTACAGTGGGTTTATAGGTTACAGGTGTGTTGAACTCCACTTCGTTGCACTTCGTTACGTTCAACTGTTTATAGATTACAGTAGGTTCATAGGTTACTGGTGTGTTGAACTCCACTTCGTTGCACTTCGTTACGTTCAACTGTTTATAGATTACAGTAGGTTTATAGGTTACAGGTGTGTTGAACTCCACTTCGTTGCACTTCGTTACGTTCAACTGTTTATAGATTACAGTAGGTTTATAGGTTACAGGTGTGTTGAACTTCACTTCGTTGCACTTCGTTACGTTCAACTGTTTAAAGATTACAGTGGGTTTATAGGTTACAGGTGTGTTGAACTCCACTTCGTTGCACTTCGTTACGTTCAACTGTTTATAGATTACAGTAGGTTCATAGGTTACTGGTGTGTTGAACTCCACTTCGTTGCACTTCGTTACGTTCAAATGTTTAAAGATTACAGTGGGTTTATAGGTTACAGGTGTGTTGAACTCCACTTCGTTGCACTTCGTTACGTTCAACTGTTTATAGATTACAGTAGGTTCATAGGTTACTGGTGTGTTGAACTCCACTTCGTTGCACTTCGTTACGTTCAACTGTTTATAGATTACAGTAGGTTTATAGGTTACAGGTGTATTGTACTTCACTTCGTTGCACTTCGTTAAGTTCAACTGTTTAAAGATTACAGTGGGCTTCTAGGTTACTGGTGTGTTGAACTCCACTTCGTTGCACTTCGTTACGTTCAACTGTTTATAGATTACAGTAGGTTTATAGGTTACAGGTGTGTTGAACTCCACTTCGTTGCACTTCGTTACGTTCAAATGTTTAAAGATTACAGTGGGTTTATAGGTTACAGGTGTGTTGAACTCCACTTCGTTGCACTTCGTTACGTTCAACTGTTTATAGATTACAGTAGGTTCATAGGTTACTGGTGTGTTGAACTCCACTTCGTTGCACTTCGTTACGTTCAACTGTTTATAGATTACAGTAGGTTTATAGGTTACAGGTGTATTGTACTTCACTTCGTTGCACTTCGTTACGTTCAACTGTTTAAAGATTACAGTGGGTTTATAGGTTACAGGTGTGTTGAACTCCACTTCGTTGCACTTCGTTACGTTCAACTGTTTATAGATTACAGTAGGTTCATAGGTTACTGGTGTGTTGAACTCCACTTCGTTGCACTTCGTTACGTTCAACTGTTTATAGATTACAGTAGGTTTATAGGTTACAGGTGTATTGTACTTCACTTCGTTGCACTTCGTTACGTTCAACTGTTTAAAGATTACAGTGGGTTTATAGGTTACTGGTGTGTTGAACTCCACTTCGTTGCACTTCGTTACGTTCAACTGTTTATAGATTACAGTAGGTTCATAGGTTACTGGTGTGTTGAACTCCACTTCGTTGCACTTCGTTACGTTCAACTGTTTAAAGATTACAGTGGGTTTATAGGTTACAGGTGTGTTGAACTCCACTTCGTTGCACTTCGTTACGTTCAACTGTTTATAGATTACAGTAGGTTCATAGGTTACTGGTGTGTTGAACTCCACTTCGTTGCACTTCGTTACGTTCAACTGTTTAAAGATTACAGTGGGTTTATAGGTTACAGGTGTGTTGAACTCCACTTCGTTGCACTTCGTTACGTTCAACTGTTTATAGATTACAGTAGGTTCATAGGTTACTGGTGTGTTGAACTCCACTTCGTTGCACTTCGTTACGTTCAACTGTTTATAGATTACAGTAGGTTTATAGGTTACAGGTGTGTTGAACTCTACTTCGTTGCACTTCGTTACGTTCAACTGTTTATAGATTACAGTAGGTTCATAGGTTACTGGTGTGTTGAACTCCACTTCGTTGCACTTCGTTACGTTCAACTGTTTATAGATTACAGTAGGTTTATAGGTTACAGGTGTGTTGAACTTTACTTCGTTGCACTTCGTTACGTTCAACTGTTTAAAGATTACAGTGGGTTTATAGGTTACAGGTGTGTTGAACTCCACTTCGTTGCACTTCGTTACGTTCAACTGTTTATAGATTACAGTAGGTTCATAGGTTACTGGTGTGTTGAACTCCACTTCGTTGCACTTCGTTACGTTCAACTGTTTATAGATTACAGTAGGTTTATAGGTTACAGGTGTGTTGAACTTCACTTCGTTGCACTTCGTTACGTTCAACTGTTTATAGATTACAGTAGGTTTATAGGTTACTGGTGTGTTGAACTCCACTTCGTTGCACTTCGTTACGTTCAACTGTTTATAGATTACAGTAGGTTTATAGGTTACAGGTGTGTTGAACTCCACTTCGTTTCACTCCGTTACGTTCAACTGTTTATAGATTACAGTGGGTTTATAGGTTACAGGTGTGTTGAACTTCACTTCGTTGCACTTCGTTACGTTCAACTGTTTAAAGATTACAGTGGGTTTATAGGTTACAGGTGTGTTGAACTCCACTTCGTTGCACTTCGTTACGTTCAACTGTTTATAGATTACAGTAGGTTCATAGGTTACTGGTGTGTTGAACTCCACTTCGTTGCACTTCGTTACGTTCAACTGTTTATAGATTACAGTAGGTTTATAGGTTACAGGTGTGTTGAACTTCACTTCGTTGCACTTCGTTACGTTCAACTGTTTATAGATTACAGTAGGTTTATAGGTTACAGGTGTGTTGAACTTCACTTCGTTGCACTTCGTTACGTTCAACTGTTTATAGATTACAGTAGGTTTATAGGTTACAGGTGTGTTGAACTTCACTTCGTTGCACTTCGTTACGTTCAACTGTTTATAGATTACAGTAGGTTCATAGGTTACAGGTGTGTTGAACTTCACTTCGTTGCACTTCGTTACGTTCAACTGTTTATAGATTACAGTAGGTTTATAGGTTACAGGTGTGTTGAACTTCACTTCGTTGCACTTCGTTACGTTCAACTGTTTAAAGATTACAGTGGGTTTATAGGTTACAGGTGTGTTGAACTTCACTTCGTTGCACTTCGTTACGTTCAACTGTTTATAGATTACAGCAGGTTTATAGGTTACAGGTGTGTTGAACTTCACTTCGTTGCACTTCGTTACGTTCAACTGTTTATAGATTACAGTAGGTTCATAGGTTACTGGTGTGTTGAACTCCACTTCGTTGCACTTCGTTACGTTCAACTGTTTAAAGATTACAGTGGGTTTATAGGTTACAGGTGTGTTGAACTCCACTTCGTTGCACTTCGTTACGTTCAACTGTTTATAGATTACAGTAGGTTCATAGGTTACTGGTGTGTTGAACTCCACTTCGTTGCACTTCGTTACGTTCAACTGTTTAAAGATTACAGTGGGTTTATAGGTTACAGGTGTGTTGAACTCCACTTCGTTGCACTTCGTTACGTTCAACTGTTTATAGATTATAGTAGGTTCATAGGTTACTGGTGTGTTGAACTCCACTTCGTTGCACTTCGTTACGTTCAACTGTTTATAGATTACAGTAGGTTTATAGGTTACAGGTGTGTTGAACTCCACTTCGTTGCACTTCGTTACGTTCAACTGTTTA